CCAACCACCACTAGCTTGGGCTGTAACTCCTGTTAATGGCCACTGCCATAATGCTCTACTGCCTGGATGTACACCAGCCCAACGTATGGATGCTACCTCATAGTACGGAGCAGCTTGGAAGTATTTTGATGTAGAAAATGGAAATAGAATTGTTTGTAGGCTGTGTCAGGCTAAACTGGCATAACCACTTGATCAGAGCAATGCGTAACCAGAACAAATGAACATGAGCTACACTCTACAAACCAATTTGACATTGTTTTCCAGCAGATGCTGTGATCCTGTGTTTAACATGGTTGAATAAATTGTCCCTTTATTCTTTCGACAAGTCATGTTTCATCGACAGTGAAAATTAGTCACTTGGAACATCCCTAGTTTGTTGTATTAACTCTTCCTTTCTTTGCTTTTAAGACTCTACTTACTTACTTACATGAATATGAATGTCTTTACCCCTACAGCTATGTGTCATCCAAGTTTCCCAATTTTTTTTTTTTACTGCTCCACTGCAGCAATGTTAATGTGTCCCCTCAGTTAACTTAAAGGTGGAGGCACGCAAACAAAAAAAACAAGCCCCCAAAAGGTCAAGGGGATATTGTTGAGCGCCCAGACAGTGATGTCTAAGAGCCCCGGGGGCCACAACCAAGGCGTTGGAACACTGAGGGCCCCAGGATGAGGCTTGGAATTCAAAAGAGGCTGGAAAACAAATCCAAAGCCCAGAGGAAAACAAACCTAACAAGGTAGAGAGTACACAGTTCTGTTTGACAAATGCCCTTTGAATGAATCATCTGTGTCAAATAGATTAATGTCAACCACTACATCCACAGGTCAACCACCAGCAACCTTTCTAAACATCAGCAACATCCTTCAGGTATGTGCTGCCTTCAAAAATGAGAGGGATAACCTCTGAGCACCAATTTCAAAGTTAAATGGACTTGAAACTATTGCGCTGAGAGCACCTCAGGGCACTTCAGAAGGTCCGTGTACAGTTCCAAAAATGAAAGGCTGTTTTAATATTCCAGGGCAGGTCAATGAGAACATGAAACACAAAGAAACTCAGTGTAGTCTGCCACACTCCTCTCTCCTCCTCTAATTCTCCCCAAAAAAACTCCACCTCTCTCTTTTGGCATTCCTGCTTAATAGCATCATTATTGACTCCGTCCAGCTAAACGCAGGCTCCTTGTAATCTCACACGGGTGGGGCGGTTCAGACAAAAAAACTGCTGCTCTGCAAAGAAGGACACAAAGGGAGTAAAGGGGTAGGTGGAAAAGGACGCCGAACACCAACAAAGGACGTTCCAAGATGAGTGCCTTTGATCATACAGAGGAGGTAGAAGCTATCCCGTCATCTTCTCTTATCACTCCACGCCCACACCTTTGCTCCATCTCCTTCTAACTAAAGTTGACTCAGAAAGGGTAGTAATGCAGGCCATCAACCGAGCGTAACCAATCTACAGAGCACATAGCTGGAACAACCGCTGCTTACCAATTAAACAGAAGCAGAAGAAATCAGGAATCATTTTGGAATGTCTGAATCTGAGTTAGGACTTTTTTAGTCAGAAGCAAAGTCCATCTGAGAATATTATTAACCAAACCCCAAATGAAAATCCAGAAGGGCACATACAATTCATGCAGGGATTGAAGTATAACAGATTTGAACTCATGACCACCTTCGTGACTTCTTGCATTGGCAAAGGTTGTAACACTGAGAAGGCCTTTATGGAAGTAGAGCGCCAAAGTGTGTGCCATTATTTTACCCTTGGATATTTCATGTCTGCGCCATCTCTACGATGGCATTTTCAAACCACTTTGGGATTACAGTCTCAACAGACAACAAGATCAACCAGCTGGCAGCTCTTCCAATATCAGTGTTACAGTAACACAGTCCTACACCTTCAAATCTAATGACTTGATTGACTTAGATTTGAAGGTGAAGGACTGTGTTAACATTGATATTGGAAGAACTGTCTTGGACTTGTGCCCTTATATTGAATGAGCCGACCACATTAAGCCATTTCAAAGGAACACCAAGATAGACATGCATGAAAAACAATCTGGATGGATGGAAGGATGGATGGATAGACAGACAGACAGACAGACAGACAGACAGATAGAGCTACAGTACTAGGGGCCCCCACTAACCCGAGGCCGTAGGCTCTGACCCACCTCATCCTCAGCTAATTAAACACTCAAACAAGCATGTATAAGAAGACAGACACACACACATCCTCTCACAGCAAGGTATTATTTACAAGGACACGTCTGTGTGTGTTTGGACGTCAGTACAGCCATGACCAACGTAGACTTGTACACTTCACTGGACACAAGTTTGTAGACACGTGTGCACGGATATTCGTCATGTTACTTGTCTGTACATTTTAATAGAGCCTTAATTTCACATATTGCAGATTTGTTTAATTGTTGTTAATTTAAAAGCTCCCCAATGTGACACTAATGATGTGGTAAATGCAAAAAAAAAATTGGCCTACAGTAAGACTTGTGGGAGAGCACTGTGAATCAACCTTTATTTGGCTGTAAAATCTCAAATAAATGTTCCAAGAAGTGAGTCTGCTTACAATACACCCTTGAGTTCTCAGCGTAAGACAGGATTCTTTCATGAAAGAGAAGTCATCTTTCACTGGATTTTTGCAATAGAAGATACAATCATTTTAACAGTCCTTGGTGGTGCTTTACGGTGGGCTCTCTCATTAAGCGACAAAAGTAACCTGGGTATGAAGTGATAACTAAACAAGCCAGACAAAATTCAGCCTTTCCACTGATTCATTGGAGTGTTTTCAGATGGTAGGGCTAAACACACAACCCGAGCCGCAGTAAAATGACTTGTGAAGTATCCTCTTGCTTTCTCTCTTTCTTTCGCTCCCTGCAGGATGGAGGAAAGAGGGGGGGGGGGGGGCTTCCTGACTGATCTTCCCACACAAGCCTGACCCCAATATCCAGGCATCCTCACTGACACTCTTGCTTCTCACACACACACACAAACACAGGCCTGGAGAAACACAGATACACAAACACACTCACTCTCTAATGTTTACCGTGTCAGATTGCCGTGTAAATAAAGGGGGGAAGCGCCGGAGCTCTGATTTAAAGGGAGCCAAATCAAACAGGAGGGACTGCGTTATCGCACTGGGTAGGATGTAAAGCGGCGAAAGTGGATCCGTGTCTGAATGAAACAAACCCGTTGAAAAAAAGTTGTTACAAAAACAAAGCTGGTTCTCTCTGAGGATCTGGGATATTGTTGGAAAAGGAAAAAAAAAAAGTGAGACAACAGAGACAGCAGCAGAAAAAGCATTTAGGGGAAATGTTCAGCAACCCCTGCTTGCAGTGTGCTTTGCTAATCATTCCTCTATGTCCCTGAGGGTTTGGGAGAACACATTCTGACATCCTCGTAAACATTTCAAGAAGAAAACCAACGTCATTCGGTGGTGAGGGACAAACACAAAGACAGCACGCAGAGAGAATTCAAAACAGAATTTATGAACTGAGTTGTTGCACCTTCAGTGTAAGAGGAGAATGATATGACTTCCTATAAAACGTCAGTAACATTGCTGTTAAAGTAAGGCACATACTGAAATATCATTATTCTATTTACCAATGATGTTTTGTCTAAGATTCAAGCTTGTACCATCTGCTAATGATTTAACAGTAATGGGTTCATTGTTGTGTATTTTGGGCATATTTTTTCAGAGACTGTAATTATTATTCTAGGCACAAAGCTGCAGCTTGACTCTACGATGGAGGAACTGGGCTTCATAAGAATGTGTGATATGCTGAAGTTCAGCAGAGGAGGACAAACATCTGGAATAGGAATCTGGCTCTTCACCACACAGCTCACCTCTGATCATTCATCTCCTCCTTTCTCTCTCTCAGATCTCTTGGATCAGTTTGTTTGTGCAGTTGCGAAGTGTATTCAACTTAAAGTGAGCAAGTTTGAAACATATGTATTTGCGATGAGGGCGCATAGAAAAAATAAAAAATAAAATGATGAAAGGATACATTGAAAATATTAAAACTGGGAGTCTATGGTGAAAAAAAAAAGCTTTATCCTTGAATGCCTAAATTTGGTGGATCCGACGCTTTTCTCTGTCCACTGTCTAAATGTCAAGCACCATCTGGGTTGTCACCTTCTTTTGTGGTTGATGGAGCTCTTTTTTCCACAAGTCCCACTTTAAAATCAGCAAACAAACTCCGCTGGCATGACATGACAGCAGACTTTGATTGTTTTGTTTTTTTGTAAGCAGATAAGTGACCTCCCCTCCCTTTTTAAAAACAGTAATTAGAGGAACTTTAAAAAACTCTTTCACAACGTTTTTTTCCATTGCCGAAACTTTCAGACTTTAAATACCATCTCCCAATGAAGCTGTTGTTATGATGGTTAACATGAATTTTACAGCAAGTGATATAACACATTGAATGCATCATCCGTATTGTTTGGTTTGAATTCTCATACTGCCACTGTATTGCCAGGAACAATACAAGTTTAACTAAATGCATATAACCCTGATTATTTAACACAGATTCTGTGTTACACGTCTGTGTCTGTGTGCCTGTACCTCTGACCTAAAAGCCAAGGTTACTGTTACATGGCCCAATGATTGACGGGGCATTAGCAGGTCAGAATGAGAGAGCACCTAGGGGTGATGATAATCATCAAGCTGCATTGCAAACCTAAAGCCCCACACTAACCGTGGCGGAATGCTAATGATAGTGACCGCCAGGCTGAACATCTGTGTGCGGAGTCAGAAACCCCCGGAGTCCCCTCCTCTGGAGGTGTGAGGAACATTAGGCATTCAAAGGGCGGACTGTGAGCAAACTATCACATTTCTCACTTTTCTGTTTGCCTTTGTTGTCGCAACAGAGAGTAAACGGCAAATAATCTTGAGAATAGTGTATCAGAGAAACAAGAAAAGGTGACATGTCAAGAGTTAAAAAAAAAAAAAAAAAAGTTACGAAAGCAAGCTGAAACTGTCATGTTTGAAATGGCATTACCTGGGTCATGGAAGGGGACCAGAGCAAAGTTATACAAATTTTTCTTCGGTCTGTTCAAGGATGTTTCCAGAATCTTGGACGCGCCCTCGATGACCTGCACGAGGTCGTCGTACATGGAGCCGGTTACATCAAAGACGAATGCCAGGGTAGAAGCGCCCTCCGGGATGTCCTCCTGTGTGGCCCCGGTCCCCGTGACCTGACCGGCTGTGTACGCCACTGACAGCGCGAGGGACAGCCACATCAATCTGCTGCCCATTTCAGAGCCAAGGCTCTTCTCAAACAAAAGTTTCTTGGCTGTTTGGTTCTCTCCAGTTGCAACCTCAGGCTGAATCTCGAGTTAAAGGTAGAGTCATCTGGCTCTTAAAAAAATTAACTGAGAACAATTCGCAAGGAGTAAAACATCAGGGAAACGAAGGTCAATAAAGAAAACCTCTCGTTTTCGTGCAAGTCTTTGGGTTTCCTCGCAGCCTCTCACTTCTCTGTGAACGCAAACTCTGCGGTCTCAGCAGCTGCAGCAGCGCCTGTTGTCTGCAGAGTCAGGAGTCCTTGTTCAGCTCTGTCATACAAAGACCACCTCTCAGCTGGGCAGAGAGTGTCCTGGGCGCAAACTACCCCATGCAGGTTAGCAGCGCTGTGATTGGACGAAATGTTTTTGGGTGAGGGACCATGGGTTGCGTACATTAGGCTATTATAGCTTACTCATCTTTGCACAACGGCGATACACAAAGAGCTTCAGGGTGGTCATGTTTCCCATAATTAAAAATCGACGTTGAAGAATCCACAGGCTTACTTGGCTATGAGTTGATTGGCATGCACGTAGGCCTAACGCAATCTCCTGCGCCAATTCATTACAAAATAAGTCCAAACAGATCATGTGCAAATGTATAGGAGAGTAAGTAATGTCAAACTACTCTGAACAAGTATATGCAGAAGCAGAAATGAAGTCGATGTATTAATAGCTGAACTCAGCCTATATGAAACAAGCTGATGTGAGACCAGGACAGTGAGGTCTTCAATGATTCTGAGCTCTGTGTTGCCACCTAGCGGTTAAAGTGTGATTCCACATTCAACTGAATTTAATTGCATTGGCGAAACACATCAAAACACAGCAAAGCACCATCACAGTAAATAAACTATGACAAAGAGAAAAAGGGACATATCAGGAGGTTAAAATGGCTTTGAGGCTCAGAAGTTTATCAGTTTGTAAGATAGGCCTGCATATACTTTTTAAAACATTAAGTATTTAGTCAAATTATTGTGCAATCCATACACTTTATTTTATACCAGTTTATAATAACTAGTAAATTTAGATCGTTTTCTCGAGATCTTGGGTTATTTATTTCGCTCTCGTGTTAAAAACGCTGGCATTCAAGTGGTAACGAGTTATCACAAGGTATTACCTCTGTATCGTGGGGAAACCAGCTCCAAATACTGCTTTTATTTACTCAATTATTTCACACAATCAAGGGATATATTTCACACGTGTGTATCTCTGTGTTTGTGTGTGTCACTTTGTTGCTCATGATGTGTGGCCATATTAATGCAACACCTGGAGGATGAGTTTAATTGGTTCAGTTTTCCCGGCCTTTCTGGCCATGCCGAGCTGCATGCTGGAGAATGAACCATCACATGCAGCCACATTTGACTAATTATACGTGTCTCACTCTTTATCTTTATGATATATAGGTCACTATGAATGTTACCACCTCCTCCTCCTCCTCCGTCCCTTCAGTCACGTCTGCTCATCGACTGCGGGAGCTAACACTGACCTCTGGTGGTCACACTGTGAAAACACAGCACTGGAATAAAGATACAGAAGACCTCCACAAATTGTATGTAGTGCAAAAGATATTGCCACACCTTCAACCATCTCAGAGTTTATGATCTATTGTCTCTGAATCATGATATAAAGGAAGAGACTAAGACAGTCATTAAGACCACTAGTAAAGTGTTTAGTGAGGTAAGAAGTCATTGGGGTTAGAGACTTTTATATAAACAGATTTGCAAACAGTGGAGGCGCCACCGGAAAAGAACAGTTTTGGTCGGTGTTGTTTGCAAAATTTTAATCTGTAACTGAGAGACGATTGAAACCACCTGCAGCTGATTGGATGACTTTATTGGCATTAAATATGTCTTCAGTACTGCAGCAAAGTCTGAAAGAAACACATTTGAGATAGTGGTTAGCCACGTGTTACGCTCATCGTGTTTGCAGGAGATAAATATACACACACACACACAAAGCACACAGTCCTGTGCAAATAAGAAGTAGACTTGTAAATGTTGACTTGCTGATTAATTATGTGATTAGAGTTAAGAAGGGAAAATAATTAGTTGTTTCCAACCTTTCTCAGACGTGCAACTTGTTTTTTGTTTTTTTTCTCTCTGACAGAAACTCACGTCACTGATCCACTGGGTGAAGGAGGAGGTGCGAGTGAACACAGTGGGCCTCTGCAGGGTGTTGCATCCCATGGAGGAGACGAAGCTGGTCACCCCCTGCACGTACCACCTGCCGTCACCCCCCCTGCAGTTCAGAGGGCCTCCTGAATCCCCCTGCAGAGACACACAGGAGAGGGAGAGGACTGATGCAGTGATTCAGTTTTTCATCATGTGGTGTTGATCAGGTGAGGACAGTTGGTTCATACGTGGCAGCCTGAGCGGATGTCTCCACCAGCACAGATCATGGTGGGTTTCACGGAGCTCCCCCACCAGCCGCCGCTGCTGCAGACGCTGTGACCCACCACAGGGAGGATAGCCTGCTGGAGCTTAGAGGCGATGGGACCCCCATCTGCAAGAAGGGTAGAAATCAAAAACCTGGGTCATGTCTACCAATGTCTGAAGGGGACTAATTGGTTTAAATAAAAATATATATTTAAGAGACCTTCACCTGGTTGCATGCTGCCTGTGTCCCTGAATCAGAATCCTGTACTTACCTGTCTGCCTAAGACACCTGTCTGTAAGCCCTCTATCTCCAATATAACTGAGATTGACATACTTACACTGCACTGATCATGTCTTTATACAGTCACATTTTAGTGTTTTTTTTTTTTTTTTTAATTGTAATGTGTTGTCACATTAAAAGCACTCACTGTAGAGTCTTCCCCAGCCGGTGATGTAGCAGGGGTCGTTGTGAGGAGCGACCTCTCCGCTCTCTGGCACACAGGACGGCTGCACCTTGTCGTTCAGAACGGCAGGCGAGGACAGTTTGATCATCGCGATGTCATTACTGTAACATGGAAAAATGATGCTAAAGCTTAGAGGAGCGTTGCATGCAAAGGCAGAACTCAGTTTTGTTTCAGAACAATGTTTGGTATTGGGATCACAGAGAATGCTTCCACGTGTTGGGGGCCATTAATTGGGTCACTGGGGCATTTTATCTTTCACAGAAAAGATAAAACGGTTTGGTAACATTGACTGACAACAACGCGTGTCCCTCCTTCTACTAATGTGAAGCCAAAATAACCCCCGCAACGAGCCCTGACATATTTTTCACTGTAGCAAAGACGAGTGCAGATTGGAGCTGGCTGGTGGAACTGACGCCACACGCCCTCCATTAACTGAAGAATACATTAAACTTAAGATTCAAAGATCTCTCAGCTGGGTGCATTCCACAGATCTTTTAACAAACTCAGTAACTTTCTTTGGGAAAGCCCACCGTCCAAATATCCTTCCAGTGCACATCTTTGAAAAGATTGAACCTCCTTACCCACAGGACAGGCAGTTATCATCCCATTTGGGGTGAACCACGATCTTCTCCACACTCCTGATCTGCTCGTAGCTCTCCTCCCTGGTGAGGTCGAACTCGCCCAGCACCACACGATAAGTACGGGGTCTGAAAACACACACACACACACACACACACACACACACACACACACACACACACACACACACACACACACACACACACACACACACACACACAGAGTTTAGATCAAACCTTTGAATAAAACCATACCAGAATGAGAGTAAAACATCAGTGACAAACCCGATGCAGTGGCCGGCAGTCATAACCCAGTTGGGGGCGAGCAGAGTTCCTCCACAGGTGTGACGGTAGGTGGAGAAGCTCAGATACTGCAGAGAGATCTGAGACGGACAGACAGACAGACAGACAGGCAGACAGGCAGACAGACAGACAGGCAGAGTGTAGATTTAAAAATGTTGTTACTATGTTAAAACTGCATCGTCTCCATCATATGAAATAAATTCAGTTCAACCCTGGTGATTGTGGACTCACCTGCCAGGGCCAGCTGTAGGGTCGAGCATCCTCGCCGTTCACAACGCGGCTCACAGACGGCTCGTAGGTGGGTGTGCCGCACCCGTGAGCTGGGACACACAAAGAACTGCAGGTTACAAAGACTGATACTGAAAGACGTCTACAGGGCCATCATTCAGAATCAGAAATACTGAAATAAATCAATAACAGTTTAATGACAGAGGTGATAAAGTGTTGGGTTCAAACTTTCTATTCAAACAGCAAAACCACTCATTTTGTGTTTGAATAAATTCACTTACTGATTTGTTGAGACCAATCCATTGACATAAGATCACTTGTTTTAGAAAGAAAAAGCTAGGGTTGGAGATGGAGGTGAGATTCATTTTTGCGCTTTATGTTTCTCAGGTTGAGATAATACACATTATTTGTTGCGACCTCAGCTTTCCCTGGCCTGAATTTATAAATATTTATGGTCTTGGTCTTGGTCTTGGACTTGACTCGATCTCTAAATGTCTTGTTCTTGACTCGGTCTCAGAGCACTCTGGTCTCAGGTAGGTCTCACTTAGAGTGATCTTGACTACAACACTACCTAGTATACATAAATGTCATCTGTAGGTTGATTTTTGAGTTTAGATCTAAAAAATCCTGAACAGCTGCTTACAGTTGCCACACTTTGTCTTTCATGAGATGCAGGTTTAAGAAGAACACAGACTAACTCCGGACAAACAGAGAGGCCTCCCTTTTTTGAATGAATCAGGTAGATGAGACTCACCGTAGGCAGCGAACAGCAGGACAAGAGCCACTTTCATGTTGTTTGATCAGAGTACACAGTCTGAGTGTTTCTGGTGGGTTTTATATCTCAGACTCCTGAGCAGTATTCAGATACAAACACACACAGTCCAGTGTGTGACCTGAGAATCTGCTCTCACTCTACATCTGCTTCACTTTGTCCTCACCCGACCTCCAGATCAGGAAACACTCAGAAGAACAACAACACTGCTCTCTCTTCATATATATTTTAATCTTCTATACCAGAGGTTCTCAAAGTTTTCACAGTGAAAATATTTTGCTCTCCAAGTACCACCGTTACTGCCTACTACATATACAGTTTACACAGTTTTTATTCCTGATATGCATATTATTTATTATTGACCGCACACCACGACCTGGGCTCATCCTCTGTGCCACTCCAAAAACAATCCAAACTGGATGTGACTCGAGTCGTATTTCTGTACTGTTCTGCATTGTGCTTTCTGCTAACGTCGCCAGACTTCAGTTCCTGCTGTGCTGCTCAATGCATCTGCCACACTTAAAATATTTCCCCGTTTGGAGCTGCATAAATGTAAACCGTCATATGCAATCACAGCTTTAATTGTCAAAAAAGTCAGAGACCCCAGGAGTACCACAAGAGGGATCCTGCATACCACCAGTGGTCCTCATACCTCAGTTTGATAATGAACGTTCTGTACTATATGAGTGTGTGCATCACTTTGTTTTCATTTTAACTGCTTTGATAGATATATCAGACTACTGACATTCATTTCTTGATGTTGAGGTTAATGTCACTGGACAAACACGACCACACATCAGGAATAATTGCTTTATTTTTGAACAGTCAGAAGAAAAGAAAATCGCCTCTTGTGATTAGATGTGATTTTAAATACTTTTATATGGTGTCAGAGTTAGAGTATGGTCTGGTATTTTTCCCAGGAGTCTGTGCCCTTGACATTTCTGTCAGGGAAATCTGCTCAGCAGGCGCAGGTGGAAAGAACGGAGGCGTGCCAAGACCTGGTCCAGGGTGTCAGGAGGAGCCAAAACACAGAGCCTGCGAGGAGGAAACAGGATTAATATACAGTAGATGTGCGGATACACATGTGCTTAAAGCATCTAACTGTTCTTCTTCAGATGTTGAAATCAGTAGGTTGAAACCTTCAGAAATCCTTCAGGGTGAACTCATACTGTAACACCTGTGTTCCCTCAAGGGACACTCACAACTAACACACTCGTCTGGTCAAAAACATGAGGACAGTTTTTCTTCCATTCAAAACTTTCCAGGACGTCCTGACTTCACTGAATGACTATATCCAATAGCACACATGCACAGACCTAACACTATCTCCTATAATACAGCTCCCCCCCCCCCCCCTTACCTGATGTGGTAGTTCTGATCCTCTTGTCCGTTCTCACAGCCCGCTCCCAAACACACACCTTCTTCTTCCAGTAACCTCTGACAGTAGAGAACATCTGCCTTCACGCCCAACATCTAAAAAATTATATCAAAACACCTTTTAAAGAACTGGTTCCCAACCTTTGTCCTTGGAGTCCCCCCCCCCCCCCCTCTGCTCCCACCTGTAACTGATCCCCCCTAAGACCCGGAAAGAAAACAGTTATACATTGCTGTCAAAAAAATCAATTTGACTAATGTTCTTTAAAACCTGAAGAAGAAGTGTGTCTGATGAAGCAGCCTGATGTTTTCGGTGAGGAAACGTGTATTTTATTACACAGTTAAATCTGCAGACCTTTGTATGAACTATCTGAATGGGTCATTATTTAAGTCAATATGTCCAAATCTGACTTTGACAACTTTAGAGCAGACAAAGCTTTGCACCCCCCTGAGATGTTTAGTCGCCCAAACCTCAGGATGGGAACCAACTGTTAATAATGTAAATGTATGTTCACAATGATTTAATTAATTATGTTTATCAAAACAGAGTCAAGCTACATTTCTTGAAGTTTCTAAAGTTGTATTACAGAATGACAAATTACAGATTTAAGTATAATTATTGTCAAAAGAGTATTTTTATTTAATTGCGATAAATTGCTGAATTTCAATAGTTGATTGCGATTATTGGCATATTTATCACAAGTTAAAAATTCCATTATTTTGCGATTCAGAACAGTTTTTGTTAGGCTTTTATTTTGATTTTTTTACTGTCTTAAGCTAAGGGTACTTCACTTCCTGTTTGGAGAAAAACCTGCTTTTATTTTGAAAGTTTTCTTAAAAGTGAAATGAAAAGGAAAAGTGGTGTTTGTTTCCCATCACTATGACTATGGGGAGACGCTGCAGTAGCTTACCTACGGTGCGCCTTAAGTGACAAAATAGCACGAGAAAAAGAAATGTGTTAATTTCTGACCTCAATCACATCCCAGTTGACGTGTTAATGCTGACTAGTTTTAAGCCTTCATTACATGATCATAATAAAGTGCATATTCCTGCTAACAATAATCACTGAAGCAAACAAAGACACATCAGTGATACCAGGACAAATATGTCTTAAAAACAGTTGTAACATTTTGTGTCTGAATCTGAAATAATAATGACCTAAGGTAAACTCTGAGTACTTCAGGTCACATGCAGAGTTCTCTGACCTTGGCCTCCTCGATCATCTCAGTCGGTAAGTGCAGACAAGGAAAAAGAAAGACTCCGGCCATCGCTGGCTGGCAGGTCATCCCTGGAAGAGCATTCAGGAACTCATGAGCACGCTGAGCATTCTGGGACAGCGTTGTCTTTATGTGAAGAATCTCCTTTAAATGGAAGAGGGGGGGAGGAGAGGAAAAGCTAAGGAGTCTCCTATAAATACTCCATTGACTGAAACCATAGACAGTAAGTCATTCCTCCACCTTCATTCCTCTTCCCTCAACCCTACTCCCTTCATCCTTTCTCCCACCACCCCCCACCCTCATTCCCTCCACCCCTCATCCCACCACACTCATACCTCCACCTGCATCCATCCACCCTTCCATCCTCATCCCTCGAACCCTAATCCCAGCATCCCTCCACCCTCATCCCTTCATCCATCCACCTTTATCCTTTTACCCTTCATGCCTCCAACTTCATCCCTTTATCCCTCATCCGTTTACCCTCATCCATTCTTTTCTCCACCCTTCATCCCTCTGTCCAACCTCATCCCCTCATCTCTCCACCCGTCATCCTTCAACCATTCGGCTCTCCATCCCCTCCACCCTCATCCCCTTCATCTATGGATCCTATAATCTTCCTATCATTCATCCTCACTCATCATTCTGATCTCTTCAGTGCACATTACATTAAACTCTTTCATTAATATCTTTCTTGGCGTTGTCTCTGGTAGTGAAGCGATGATTCAGTGAAAACAATCACTCCTGTGTTGTTGTGTAAACATTCTGTGTGACATGTTGATGTTTCCTCTCACCTGTAAGTACGTTTGATAGGAGAGCTCTCCAGGCGTGGGAGGATTGACCATGAGCTGCAGAGCAAGTTGTGGTAACACTGGAGGAGTGTAGGGGCCCAGCATTCTTTTGAGGTGCTTTGTCACTTCTGGCTCCATGTTTATGATCTCCATATATCCTCCTCTCAGACCACACCTGCACACAGAGTGAGCACGGGACGGCCATTTTGAATGTAATAGGTGATGTATTATTCATTCATAGGTGACGTATAAAGAAGATTTGACGTTATGAAATTCAGAAGTAACGTTGGGGGGAATGTTGGACTTTGACTTCAGGTTTGGTTAAACGAAAACAGAAAAGCAGCATCACTGATTCAAATGTTAAAAAAAAGAAAGAGACACAGCAGATTGGCTCCATGGGGCGTGGCTTCAGGGCACCTGTCGAGAGGGCATGAGATGAGAGGCTCCAGGCTGCACCATACACTCACATATTTGAGGATATGGCTATGCATTTGCAGAGCATGCACGGCAAGAATGTTGCAAATGTCACGTGTAAAATGACAGCCAATGGAGAGGCCCGCCTCAGTTGTAATGATTTGTGAATATTTTCAGAAAGGTCACTTTTCTGCCATTATTAAATAAGTAAACATTTCAAAATGGGTCTACATATTTGCAGATATGCTGTGTGACCAGTTGTGGATCTTTTTACACATTTGTGTGTATGCATTTTCAAATAGTTTTGCCACAATAATAACTCCATATTTATCCAGTGACTAGAGCCTGCTAAACATAACTTAACCCTATAATACTTTGTTTTACCTCCTGGTTTGACTCCACCCTGCATTATTATGACTGCCACTCAAGGCCGCCATCTAACAATAAACGTAGATATGAGTCATATAAAGCTGCTTGCATTGACACCTATACAGCCATGTATATTATGAGGACCGCACGGATGATTCGAGTTACACTTTAAACCAGTAAAAATGTAGACTGCTGCAGGGAAACTATTTATCTCGCCGTTTATGAGAAGAGCATGACTTCATTCCACTGTGAAACTTTTGAAGAATTTGAAATTCATAATCCTGACAAAGTGAAAAGAAATGTAAAAACATCTGAGTACATTATTGCTTTTGCCAAAGCTTTTGAGGGTAAAATCAGTGCTACTCACTCTCCAATGCAGGGGCTGGATAAAGAGTGGAAGGAGACCAGCTCCACTGTCTCTGACAACTCTTTCCCCATGTCAAACAGAACTTTCTTATAGGAAAGAAACTCTTTGTCGTGCCCAAAAACACTGTCCTGGTACACCTACAGAGGGGACAAGGGAGCTGGTGTGAGACTGAAAACACATGAGGATAAAACATCTTCTCATTTGTAGCTTGAAATCACCTCTTCCGCTAACAGAACGAGGCCCTCAGCGGCAACAAATCGAATCAGCTCCTCCATTGTTTCCCTGTCTTGAACATGGCCTGACAGGACAAATACAGGTGTGATTTTAGCACGTTATAGAGCCTCATTAGTGTTGTTACTGTAAGTCGTTTACCTGTGGGGTTTCCTGGGTTGCTGATGTAAATGGCTCTCGGCTCACAGTGCCCCCTAGCGGCCTTCAAAGCTCGCTGCATCTCATTCAGATCTACAGCCCACCCTTGGTCCTCCATCAGGTGGTACAGCACCTGCTTCACCCCGCACATTTCCAGCAGGGCAGGCAGGGTGTGAGGGCAGGGCGCGGGGGTCAACACACCTGTCTGAGTCCTCCCCTCCCTGCTGGCCATCAGGTGCAAAACCATCTTTACACGATGAATGAGAGAAGATATTCTAATCATCAAATAACTGAGATTATACAACCACTGTTGCAGCAATGCACAGTTGGTTCAAAAGATAAAACACTGGCTGTCGGGATGAGATCAAGGTCAGAAATGAATGCTTTAATTTTTAAAATCGGCTTCGTCGCGTTCTATTATGTGTCAGACTTTCACAGTTATGGTCATTTCAATGACTGTATGTTGTTCTCCTCAAGTTATTTCTCACCCCTCCTCCTCATCACTCTGCTGATCTAGTTGAGAATACTGTAAGGAGCCTCATTTGTCAACAGAGCTGTCAATCATGAGACACCATCCGGTCCTTTTTTGGCATCAAATAATGAAATTAAAATAAAACTACTCAGAAAAATGAACATGTGAAGAACTAACTCAGGACAGACTCCGGGTTTGACAAAAAAAAAATTACTTGACATGTATTTTAACTTCATAGTTTGACTCCCATCTGTTAACATGGAGGAGGCGGGCTTTATGACCTATGCTGCGGCCAGCCAGCAGGGGGAGCTCTAAGTATTTTAGCTTCACTCTCAGGGCGGCTGTTTCTCTGTCAATCTTAATATACAGTCCAACAACAGCGGTTAATAAAAAATGTTTGGTGATGCAATGTTGACTTTATTAGCTTAGCAATGAGGATGCTAACACTTAGTTATTTGCAGTTAGCATCATAAACAATGTAATTAAGGCTTATAGAGATGTCATTAGCGAAAAAAGATGCTTCAGATGGCAAAAACATTGGCCTTCAGGCTCCGTTTTGACATGCAGCTTATTGTTGCAATAAGCAAAAATTAGCAAACTTAACACGCTTACACAATAAATTAAGATGGTAAACATGATAAAGAGGAGCTTATTAGCATACTTTAGCTCATTCTAAGGCTGGGCCAAAGTACAGCTTCAGAGAGCTGCTGGTATGGCAGGACGTTTAGTCACACAACCTGCCACTTTCCGGACTTAGTCCCTTCTGAAATCTTTGAAATATTTCTAAAATAATCTAGGCTATATCTAGCCATCGTACCGACACAGCCTTCTGAGAACCTCCACATAAGATGATGTCCTCCAGGCGTGACTTTACTCCAACATCTCTGCTCGTGATGAACTCAGCTACACTTTTTTGGACGAGTGGTAAACCGCAGCTGGTTGTAGAGTATGAACCTGTGCACAAAGATTACATGCTACACAAACACAGGCCGAAATACACACACATGCACAAACAGGATCGTGTGGACATGCACTAATGAAGAAATGTCAGAGTGAGATGGCTGCCCACAGCGAGCGCTCCTGAGCTCAAGGGCACCTCAGCAGTGCTCAGGAAGTGAACTGGCACCTCTCCAGCTACCAGACCAATTTCCAGACATGATCCGCACCAGGACTTGAATCGGAGAACCTCCAGTTCCCAACCCAAGTCCCTACAGACTGAGCTACTGCCGCCCCATTGGACGTGACACCAACTGTTTAAAGATGAACGTGATTCAACCTTTATAAACGAGTTCATATAATGTGATTCTGACCCACGCTCCTTCCTTCGCAGGCTCCCAGCAGCGTCTGTGCTCTCTGCCTGACGTCCAGCGGAAGGCTTTTGTCTTCAAGGAGCTCCGGGTACAAACACACGGCAAGGACCTGAGGAAACAGACACTGAGTTACAGTCACAGACAGGTGAGTTTAAAACTATATACGACTCATCACAGGCAGGCAGGCAGGAGAGCAGGTACATCCTTGGTGTCATCTTTGACCAAACCCTCTCCTACGACAAACACATCACCAAAACAGCCTTACTCCATACTCCCACCTGCACTCTCAGGTCTGCGGATGCAAACCTCCTGTCCCCACACTGCAGGACAAGCTATCGGTCCTGGGGGGACAGGGCTTTTTCCATTGTTGCTCCCACCCTCTGGAACCCACTCCCAAAAAACATCCGAGACTCCCCCACACTCACCTCCTTCAAGAAATCCCTCAAAACTCACCTCTTCATCACTGCCTACAACCACTTTGTTTTATTGTTTCATGTTTTTGTCAAAGCGTCTTTGAGTTTTCAGAAAAGCGCTATATAAAACCAATGGACTATTATTATTATTATTATTATGACGTCAGGTAGACAATCAAACGTACAGACACATTGTTTTACACACCTACCTGCCGGACAAAGGAGACTGGATCCATCCCTGCCCTGTGGGGGTCACATGAACTGACATCAATCACCTTCTTGAAGGGTTTATTTGCTCCCTGGGAAGAGCACAATCATTGTAAGACGAGCAGGTTGTATCTGTCAGTATTTTGACCTGCCGTAGTCACAATTTGAGCCTTGAAAAACAGTCTGACATATTCACAGTATCATCAAATGGGTTAAAAAGTATGAAGGAGTGCAGCGCTGGTGGCGCAGTGGTTAGTGCGCGCGCCCCATGTATGGAGGCTGTGGTCTTCCAAGCGGGCGGCACAGGTTCGCATCCCACCCGTGGCTCCTTTCCTGCCTGTCATTCCCTCCTCTCTTTCCCTGATTTCTGACTCTATCCACTGTCTCTCGATTTAAAAAAAATATATATAAATCTCTAAAAATAAAATTTAAAAAAGGATGACGGCGCTGCATAGCACAAGTTGTACATCATCACCTCCCTTAGCTCATGGTGACTTTTCCCTGATTACTTCTGGCTGCGTTAGCACATCAGCTTGTGACAGTTTGACTTTTAGACGAAATATTTGTGCCACTGTCCTACTCCTGGTTCATGACAACGGAACTTCCAGGTTGTCACAAGCTCACTGACTGACTTCACACGGGAATTTTAACGGAGTGTTGGCAGGAGAAATGACATGTAAAGTATTCTGTTTTTTGCATTCACCGAGACCACTGAGACTTTTTAGGGTAAATTATCAATTTGTTTCTTGTAACTTATTTAACAGACATAAATAAACACTGATGACGATTTACATGAGCTGCAAAAGAAACCTTGTTTAACCTTGCCTGCATAACCACTGCCAACATGTCAGACGAGGTCATTAAAAGCCTGCTGTGGTGAAACAGCCTTTGTTTACATTTTCCACAGCAAAGACTCGCAGTGAGTGATGCTTTCTTAGAAAACAGGAGGACGCTTTGAAGAGGACGTTACATGACTTGGAGGCGGACAACTGTACTGTTTACATTTGTAATTAGTCTTTTAATGTCTAGCAATGTATGTTTTTGTGTCTGTATGGGTGGCTGCTGTAGTTTGTGTGAAACTCTGTAAGTCGTGCTGCTGCCCGTCTCGGCCAGGATGCTCTTAAAAAAGAGATTTTTAGTCTCAACGAGTTTCTTTCTCGGTTAAATGAAATGAAAGTTAAATACAAATATAAACAAAGAAATGTAATGCCTGCATAATATACCTTTATAATGTCAAATTAGATATGATTAGTGGAGACAGATACGCTCAATAAACGCTTACAGGAGATGTGAGTGCTCACAATACTTCATGCTAGACTGGCACCAGTCAGTGTCCCAGTGATTTTAGAGTTTCCTCCCCGGGCCAGTTTATGCCTGAAATGTTGATTATCACCTGAGTATTTTCTGTTTGCTGACAGTTGGAATAAATGCACGAAAATAATGTACTGGAAGGTAAGAACTAAGCTCTCAACAGCAACAACACAGTGACCGTACCGGGAGCAAGGCTGCCTACAAAGGCAAAAGACCTTAACTCGTAGAACTGAGAAAAATTACTTTAAAGTCTTTTTGTTGTCCAGCCAAATGAGTTGCAGGTATAATATTGGAAATGTGGCAATTCTTTGTCTTTTTAATGAGGTTATTAATGTTCATGAAAATCTTTAGCTCAAACATGACCTTTGAAAGTTACCTAATTTGGAAGTTAAGGTACTCTGCCTTTGCATTATTTTACTTGGTTGCATGGTTAAAATAACACAACAAACACTATTTCTTTGCTACACTTTAGTCAAGCTACTGTGTGTGTCAGAAGTGCTTGATGACAGATATTAAAACAAAGGCATAACACCTTAACTCCACTGCAGTAAAACAGTAACTTCATTTTGATCCGCAGTAAAACAAAGGCAGAAGACGTGAACTCAGTTTGAGCGTTCCTGAATGCTGCAGTACAAAGGCAAAGACCCTGATGAGTGAAGTTACAGCACTCTGCCTTGGTTTCTCGAGGGCTTTTGGAAGTTAAGGCAAATACAACCTACTATTTTCTAAAAAAAACCAAAAAAACACAATTGACTCAAGATATCTTTCCACATAATAAAGCACATCCGTAATGTTCCAAAAATTGAAGTTACTGCCTTTTGCCTTTGTAGGGCAGAAGTCACCTCTCGACATAATCATGAAGGAAGCTTCTGGATTGATTTCAGTTACAAGTGAATACACCTCACAGTAGAGCCATGTGCGGCAGTTAAATTAAGGCCGCACTCACTAACAAACACATTTATATAATTGCTGCAGACATGTCCCTGCACAGCTGAATCTGTCCTCCTGCTCATTATTTGTTAACAGAGATCTCTGAAAACTCTGAGACACACTTTTGCCCTTGCTTGTTTTAATAACACTAAATAAAACAAAATCTGAAACATGTTCCTCAGTATTCTTCCTTACATAGCAAACGAAGTAAGCTATAATTGAAATACAGGTCGGATTAGTCCAGGGCCGTATCCGAATTGCCAAGTACATACTCAATCTTTCAGTATGCAGTACGTACTATCCATGCTGCATACTGTTAGTACCTACTATTCAGTATGCACACACAGTAGGCAGATATTTGTTCCTGCTTCGTCTGATTCATTCAGTATGGAAGTGACGTCATTTACGTTTCCCGAACCGGCCGCATTCACCCGTTTTTTTTTTTTTTTTTTTTTTTTTGTTTAGCTTTATTCAAGAAGGGTAATGCGCATATACAGTCAGGTAAACAAAAAACAATATCCCAATGTAAATCAAGTAAAAGGCAGATTAAATAACTAAATCACATACAGTACATAAAGAAAAGTACAAATGAAAGACAGTAATATACAGAATATAGAATAAACCAATAAAGACGCATTTAAATAGTGAACTCATTATTTAAATAGAGGGGGAAAGGTTTTATAATAATGCAGACATTTGTTATATTTTCTGTTGTTAATTTAAAGTAGTGATTTCAGTCGGGACTTTAACTCTAGATTAAAAATGTATTCAATTAATCCACGCTCGTTTGTTTTGATTTGGAGGCGCACGTGACGTGACGATTTACGTTTAATTTCGCACAGCATTGTGGTCGGTAAAACGTAATATTTACAGTCTATGGGTAAAACACAATTCATTTCCTGAAAGCACGAATCCAATCCATACTGCATGAAACCCGGAAGTTAGTAGCCATGCTGAAATGTTCAGTATACTAAGGTGGACCCAAAAAATGCATACTGAATGACCACGAAAGTTCAGTATACTGAAACTCCCTACTGAAAAGTACATACTGCCTACTGAACTGTGACAATTCAGAAAGGGCCCGGGTGTATTTGTCTGCACCTGTGACTCACCTGTCTGATCTCCTGTGTGACGCATGCAGCCAGACTCTGAAGCTTCGAGGGCTCCCTGATCCCGAGCACCCTGGGGTTCACCTGCTGCATAGAAGTCATCTCAGCCGCTCTCCTGTCTGACCTGATGAGCTCTGACTGACAGGATCACACACACACACACACACACACACACACACACACACAGACACGCCTACACACAGCTTCATGTTGTCATGCCCCTAGAAATCTCCCTCTTCCACTTTTGTTTATGAAAGATGCTGCCTTATGCAACACCTTCAACCGGATAAACTCACTCTGCGGTTTGAGGCGAGTCCTTGCAGCCCTTGCAGATTTTGTACTTACTTTAGTCAATGTCCTTTTCACTCTTTCTTCCTTGTGTAACACTTAACAAAAAGGGTCAACATAATGTGATTAAGTGAAGCGTAATTAATGCATGACAAACCACGATTTCATATATATAATAACAGGATTGTATTTTTATATTCTGGTCATGGTGAACAAATATTCTCGTCACTGGCTGGATTTGGAGCTGGATAATAATGTATTTAAGAGGCGTGTATTTGCTCTCTGGTGGAGACTGGAGGAGCAGGTTGTCGTGTAGTTAAAGTGACAAGAAAAACCGGTGCCACAGAAAAAAGTCTTTATCTACCATTTAGATATTAGCAAGAGATCCTGAGCTTGTTTGCCTTGTAGAATTTTGCTGCAGACTCATCTGACTCCAACTTTACAGGTCAAACCAACAGGTGTTGCAGTGATGGAAGCGAGCAAGAGAACTGGTTCAGATAGAAGTGATTGTACCCGACTAAAAAGCCTCCTGCATGTTTCTAATAAGCTCCACGAGCAGAAACGTGCTCAAACTAGGATCAATATTGGAGATGCTTTTTGAAAAATGGAGAGAAGTTAGAACACAGAAAGGTTTACAGACAGATGCAGAGCTGGATAAACACTGAAGCTTCAGTGTCCACCACATGGTGACCTGCGTGAGCATGGACTCTAGAGAGGAGGGGGCGGGGGGGAGACAGCTCTCTGCAATGTTTTGAATCTGGACTGCAGTACCCATTTTAAACACTAGGTGTCAGAGTTACATATTGCTCCTTTAAAGCTTTTTATTCACAGGATTCAAATCAACATCACAGGCAGAAAAAGATGAAAGAGCTTTTAATCAATGTAAACTTGAGCAGTATTTGTAATGCAGAATAATAATACTGGACAGTAAGCATAGATACAGAAAGAAATAAAAACATGAGTCAAATTTCTACTAACACACAAACAATGGCTTTAAGCCAAAACGTTGCATAGAAAGACGTCCCTGCTGTAGCGTAGGGAGAGAGAGGTCTGTGTCTTTGGGGACTTTTGAAGGAACACAAAATACATTTCTCTCTTCAAACAGAGTCCAGAATCATACCTCTTGTGATTTGTTTTCAGCTATGGACCATGTTAGATAAATAAAAAGTTATATACAATGAGAACTCAGAGAGGAGCATTGATGGGACGGTGAAGTAGCCACAGGGTTTTATCAGACACAAAGACATGCATTGGGGTCGGATCGATGCTGCTAAACCAGCTCAGACCAAATCTGTTTATTAGTTCCAGATGATGGGCTCTGATCCGGGTTGTTGGGTTCAGATGAGAGGCTGAGAGCTCCAAGCGGGAGTGTAAAAAAAGTATTTTACTAGTGCTCAGTGATAGCCCTTGTATGTAGTGTGCGTTTCATTACTCGTTCAACCTTCTCTCGTCTTTCCTTCGGTACTGAGATGATAAAAAGCGTCTTTGGATTTGTCTGAAACACTGAAGTGAACTTGAGGAGATCCACTCTCAAAGGAGCAGAGAAGAGCATTCTGGCAAACAGAAAACATAATGGTAGCGGTCGCATGCAGACAGTCTTTGCGCCGTGCAGCAGTCACGGGATATAAACGTCACTCCCCCCTCCTATTGGCTTGAGCTGAATTCTCCTGATAATATCCTGCTGCAGTCTCACGCCAGTTTATCCGGACTTACTGCGGAAAAAATACTAGAGGTCTGGCAGGAGAAACTCAGCATAAAGTCTGAGTGAATAATTCGGCTGTTTGCGTTCACACATACAGCTCCTCCTGGAAATATCCAGGAGATTTCTGCAAGAGTGAAATCATTATCAAAGGGCCGAGGGAGCGAGTCAATAACAAAAGGGTCTCCTGATGTCAATGTTACCTAAAAAGCTTTGCTGATAATCCTTTGGTGCAATAACATAGACCCATGGTTTGCCAAGGGATAATAATGCAGGACTGTATGCTTCAGCAGAGCTCTTAGATGTCTTACTGTGCACACCTTAAAGACCATTATCAGGCTTACAATGTCCCAACAGATGACGTCATCACAGGAAGACCAGCGTTGTTAACTTCTGCCTACGTTGAGGCTGACAAAGGTAAGTGTGTCCCGTATCAGTGACCCTCCTGTCCTCTCTAAGTGTCGTCCGTGTAACCTTGACTGTTACCTCACACCAAAGGCTAAGAGGAAGAGAATGTGGTGAAGAAGAACTCCTAATGAAACGCAGCACACATGTTCTTCGAGTGTGACAAACACACCTGAGCCCTGAGAGGAATGTATTGTTCCTTTTCCCCTCTCCCCTGCTCGATCCCCTCGTGTCTCTTTGAAGGTAGTACAGAAATATTTAGAGCCCTTTTTCTGAAGTATTAATCGATTTCTCTGTGCAGTTTGGTTATGGAAACGTTAGATGCAGTTCATCCAGTTTTGCTCTCCCAGACAGAAGAGGAGCTCATGACATGAAGTTCAGCTCCCCAAAAGTCTTTGTCTTGATTAATTAGGAAAAACAGACATCAGTTTTTTTTAGGATCCATTTCAAACCCATTTCATGAGTAGTGGTCCGAGCTAAACGAGTGACTTTCTCCTCCTGTAGATTGTGAGTAGTTCTCCCTTTAAGGTCCACAGTTCCAGTTGTAGAGAAAGCAGTCTTTAATCATTGGAGTAATTATACTCCACAAAGACATCATCAAAGGCACACACATGATTTGTATTTTTGCTACATGTGCCCGCTGCTCCCTTTTTCAAAAGATTTGAATCCATCCACGAGTTTAACCTGAGTTTTCCTCTCCCTTATATCCTTTTTTAAACTGAAAACCAAAACACAGGAAGAGTGAACCTGATCTGTTGTTTTCAGATCAGTTTTTGAATATCATACTTTAACGTCTTTGCTTAAGACGTTGGCGTTCCCAACAGTATCAAGAAGCAAGCAGGTAAATATTAGAGCCCGACTGATTAATTGGCCAGCCGATAACATCGGCTGATATTAGCATATCCAGTGACTTCTGGTGACATTTAAGTATCATTGTATCACACTAGCAGTTTTTTTCTGGCTGTCACCAGCAGAGGGCGCTACATGGATTACAACAATCATCATCACTCTCCAGAGTGTCAATTGGTGATGCACGTACATGCTAAGTTACTTTCCAGTTGAGTGAGCGTCTTGTCTTTATGATAAATCTTTTCCAAAAGTGTTTGATAACTGCATTTGAGGGATTAACGTAATTAAATGAATATATCTATTTCTATCTATCTCTACGGATTGAACATAAATCTAAAAAAGATATCAGCTGATATATACAAATATCAATATCGGTATCGGCCCGTAAAAATCCCATATCGGTGTGACTCTAGTAAAATCTTACTAAAATCAGGAGGCAGACAGTTCTGGACTGATGTCATCGTCTATCTGATAATACCATATTCAGATCTCTTTATACTTTGATTTTTTGTTGTGGTATGGTTAGCCGCCAGCACACCTATGCTAACTAGCAGACTACAGAGAGGGGTTCATTTATTTAATCAATAATCACAAATAACTTTTTGTTTATAGGACTGAGATTGTAAAATCAGACACGTTTAATCACACAACAGAAAGAAAAGCTGCTAATCCTTTTTTACAACTTTTAACTCTCCTGTCTGCAATTGTGTTAGTGAAGCTCGTCCCGGTTTACTCTTCATGTGTTTCAGCCTTCAGCTCATGATTGTTTTATAGCTTAATTTTTAAGTTTTATTTTAAGTCCATGAGATGATTTTTTTTTTTTTTTGTCTACTGTTTCTCCAACGCCTTTGAATCTCACATTTTTAGCACATGATTTTTCTTCCAGTTATAAATGGATGGCACCTCGCTGCTGTAGGGAGCCTGACATATTCACAGGCTGTTGTGCTGCACAGCTCCAGGCACCATTTGTGTTGCAGTTTAGCGCCCTCTTGTGGACATGAGGATTAGCTGCGCTTTGCTGCCACCTGCTGCCTCAGCTTCTCCCTCCTCTTCTTCTCCACCAACCTGGAAAAAAGAAGAAATATGTTAGTGTGTGAAGGATTGAGTGAATGTGTTTTTTATATTTTATATTTAAAACTTTAGGTTATTTGGTATTTTATTCATTTCCTGAGTGTGTGTGCTGTAAAGTCTGTCACCTGCGGTTTCGAGCCTCTACCAGCTCACTGAGCTGATCCTGAGCCGCTCTGAGCTCCTCCAGACTCTGCTGGTAGCTCAGATCTCCTGAGCCCGACCTCTCCAGGAGGGACACCTGGTTCGACAGCTCGCTGGTCCGATCCCGGAGCCGCTGGATGGACATGTACAGATTCTCATCGTCCTCCTCCTGCAGCCAGAGTGAGGGTCACACAACAGCCAGGCAAGAGTTAGTCAATTAAAACAAAAGAGTTACAGTGATGTGCAAAAGTCTTAAAGCCACCATTACTATACAATATTGTATTAACTAAATAATACAGTAATATCACAATAATGAAAAGGGATTGATGGGATCCATGATACTCGGCTGTAGGTAAGAGAAAGAGAGAAGGACACCTTTGCATTCACAATCTCGATATGGACCAGGAGTGAGGCTAACTCCAGCTCTTCACTGTAGCTGTTTTTCAGAGGGATGCTCCGATAGCCTGGAAAAGACACAAAAAACATCAACAAACAGAACATACAAAATAAAAAAAGCTGCATGCATTTAGAAAGGAAGGCAAGTTCATTCATAAAGTACATATCAGCAACAAGGTGATTCAAAAAGCTTCACACAAGACATCAAAAATAATAACTCTTGAAAGCCTTTAATCTGTAGTTTCATATGTTATCCAAAATGTATTATTTACATGTCCAAAATCTCATTAGCTACAAGAAACATGAGTCATCAGCACAGTTATGAGAAATTGGCTGGATGTATAGACTTGTTGATGTACAATATAAAAAGCATGGCCCAACACTGTACCTAGGGGAACCCCACATTTGACCTTCAGCAGAACATGTTGATACCTATTGTTGAAGTAACTGATAATCCCAGTGAGTGCCTTTTACTCTTATTTCTTATGTTTTATTGATCAACAGTTCAGGGTCCATTGTGTCAAAGGTTTTATTGTAGATCAACAAGAACTCCCACAGCATATTCTTTTTGTTGCTTTGGGATCTCTTCTACAAATTGCAGTTGAAGTAGTCCTGGTTTTCCTGAATCCATATTTTTGGTCATACAGTATATCTTGTAATTTGTTACTCTTTAAGTGAGGTCACTTAGTTTAATGGTTTACCCCATGGACAGCAGAACCGGTGTGGCCAGAGGGGTCTCGGACATGTTTATACAATTAATAGAGCACTGCTGCCTTGTGTGTCCTTCACAGCTTATGAGAACGGCTTTCTAAATGAATGTAAACAGAGCTTTTCTCACGTCTCACACCATGTCTAGCTATCACTCACAGAAAAATTGAGACATCCGAGACAGCCTTTATCGACTGATTCTGTAATTCCATATTCACCTGTTCGCAGCAGGCGGACCGGGTAGGTGGCCTGTGCTAAGAAGTTTGGATCACTGAACATGTCCTCCTCGTAGACGGTGAAGCGCAGGAAGGAGAAGGTGGGGTTGTGGATGTCGAACACAAACTGCCTCTGCACCCACACAGGATTCAGACCGTTATCAGCTGAGAGGAAGAGGAGGGAGAGAGACGGTTAGTGCATAGACAGGATGGATGTGAATCAAGGTGTTTCTGTTTCACTGCTTTGCCTTCTTACCTACAACGTCTGTCTTACACTTGCAGCTGTCGTCGTCAGCTCCACAGATCTCCACCTCCACGAAGGGACAGACGATGCTGCGGCCATTTTTAGGCAGATGTCGAGCTCCCAGCACCTTAGAGAGAAAGTCTGAATTTAATACGACCCTCTGAGGGCTGTTTCTGTTCTTTGTTCTCCTGTTATCCTGACCTGTAACTGGATGGTGATTGGCTCCACGTGTAAGGTGTCCTTGTCGAACGGGTCAAAGGCGTCGTCCCTCATGAGGTCAGGCTGGGGAACATAGCCGCTGCTGCCTCCGAGCATGAACAAGGCCTGGTTCAGCTGCATGGGTTTATCTGGACACCACACACAGTCGCACACAGTTTTTTTTTCATTCTTTCACTTTGATTAATTTGGATCTTTATCAGCGCTTCAACTGCAGGTACTTTCCCGACGCCAACACTGACCAGGAGTCTGGAAGTTGAGTGCGACCAGCTGGGAGCCACACAGCCACATGGGCAGCGGGTCATAGTTGGACGAGTCCAGTCTCTGTCCTCGGGGATAAACTCTGGAGAGCTGCCGCCGGTTGTACTGCAGGAAGCGTTTCCCTCTGCTGCGCGTCGCAAACTTCTCCGCCTTTGTCTCTGGGAAAGAGGACATGTCCCGATAACACGCCCTCTCTGTCCCGATCTCTGGAACAGCAGAAAAATCCAAATATTACACTCATTGATTTACTCAGGAAGCAAAGAGGAGAGCTTTTAAATCATTACTGTCTTCATTGAAGGGGACTGGTCTGCAGTAGACCACCAGCTCAGACAGCTCCACCGCGATCTTCTTCCTCCTCTCCATTTGCTTCTCCTCCTGCATCTGTTGGCATGAAGAAAAGACAAAAATTCTGTTATGATAAGGAATGTCACAACAGCAGAATTTCACATTTCAAACAGCTGGCTATTCTGTAGTGATGTCATCAGGAAAATGATCTCATTATATTTAGTTTTCATGAGGTTTCTTGTACTGACCCGAGCATCAGCGTTCTGTGTCGCCTCTCTGATCTTGCTAACCCACATGGTTAAGTCCTCCTGACTGTCGGCCGCCACGTCCAGCGTCTGGACTGGGTGAGATGACGGCTGCTGGGAGTGAATCGTGAACACGTAGGGCCGTGAATTCTTCCCATCTTTGTGCACCACTGGATGATGAAGATAGAGGAAGAAGGAGATGAAAAGCAACCCAAAGTTTTATGTGAGAGAGCATTAAAGGTCACATATTCTCCTCCTTTTCAACAAGTACAAATAAGTCTCAGAGCTCCCAAAAAACATGTCTGTGAAGTTTCTTGTTCTAAATCCACTCTGATCCTGTATTTGATCATGCCTATAAACCCCTCTATTTCTGACTGTTTTATACATGAGTTCCTCTATGCTAAGGTTATCCTTCAGCTTCTGTATTTCTATATCAGCAGCTTTTCGATGATATGTACAGTAAATGTATAGTAAAATAATATTGAACCTTAAATCCTCAGGCTCCAGATTTCCATGCTGAACAAGGTTAAAAACATAATTTGGTAATAACATCTGATACAACTACGTGTGACTCATCACCTCTGATTGGCGCAGAAACCAGTTTGTTTATGGGACTTACCTACATGACAGGTGGGCACATCGATGAAGCCCTTTAGAAATGTCCCAAGAGGACTATTCTCTGTGGACTGACACACCAGCATGATGGAAAAAAAAGACAAAAAAGATTAACTAAGATTGGAAGAGCAAGTTGACTGTTGGACATTAGGCTCCAAACATGAATCAGAAGAACTCACTACTTCGTCCAGTTCTTTGGTGGGAGAACTGGGAACCTCCTCAACGTAGTTTGCAGGAAACCACAGCTGCTTCTTTCCTCCATAATCTCCTCTCCACCTAAAGACAACACACCAATTTATATCTCACATAATGCTCATTGTTTAAGTATGGTGTCCCTCAAGGCAGCGTCTTAGGGCCACTCATTTTTATATATTTATCAATTACATGACGCTTTTGTAACACAAAGCCAATGACCCCACTGTATGTTTATTCAGACACAATCTGTATTTTTAAGAATAGACTTACACTTTCCTGTTTTTTAAATTGTTATAGTTAGGGCTGCCGCTGGTGTAGACCAGCTCCTAGTTATGCTGCTATAGGCTTAGACTACCGGGGGAACTGGCACCTTGAGCCTCTCTCTCTCTCTCTCTTTTATCTGCTTTTTGTAACATAACAATGAGTAAGGTCTTTTTACCTGCTCTTTTGTAATGTTAAAAGACAAAGAGTAAGGTCTTTTACCTGCTTTTTGTAAAGTGTCTCGAGATAACACTTGTTATGAGTTGACGCTATACAAATAAAAATTGATTGATGGATTGATTGATTCTTTTACTGTAAATTATTGGTTCACTGGCTGTAGTGTTGCTTTATTACAATGTAAACTACATACACAGACACATAGAAAGTCATGTGCACTCTGAGATCGACTCACCAGCCGCCCTCCTGCTTGTCCACGTTGAGGATGAGTGCCTGTTTGGGGAAACAGAGCTCGTCTTCCCTCTGAGCTCGATAGTCATACAGAGCTTTGACCGTACACTGAAACACAGAGTGGCAAGGAAAACTATCAGACTTTTTGTTATTGCAATGATGTTTTTAGATACATCCACTGAGAAGAGCCAAAGTCACTGGAGATGTGCCTCTATCCATATTAGCTCTAAAATTTGTAATTGGATATGGAAATCATTACTGAATATTTTGAGAATGATAACCTAAAAAGTGTAGACTCACTCACCCGTGCCGATGGCATCTTATTTGCCTCCACATAGAAATGAGGCGTGCGGACCTCGTACAGCGCCCCATAGTCGAGCTCCTGACAACAGATCATCACATTACTGACTGCTGTGTTTGTTTGTGTGAGTTAACTCCTGAGTTTTACATTACGCATGTAAATGTGAGATACTTTATGAAGATGGGTGACTCTTTAGGTGATACAACAGTCTTAAACAAAACCAAAAGTGTGGTTAGGAATAACTTTTAAAAATAATTCTCTACCTGCTGCATGAATAGACCGACTGTTTATTTTACTGATAAATAAATGTTTCCTCTTTAACTGGCCATCATTTTGGCTGTTAGTGCATATGGCACACATTTCTGTAAGAAAGTCTCTCTCGACAAATTTTGGAATGGGTTAACCTTTTAATAAATCAATAGAACACTGTGAACATTTTTATCAAATATTGAATAATTATCAGGAATGTAACCCTTTAAATGCCAGTTTGATTACATGATTCTGGCATTTAAAGGTTTAAAATCCTGATAATTGTTCAATATTTGATAGTTTTGAGCAGGGCTGAAGTTGTTTAAGAGATGTATGCAGAAAAAGGAGAAAAAAATATCAATCTGTTCTATTTTTATAGCAGTTTTTGGAAATGGAAATGTTTGTCCTTAATGACTTAAGAGTGTAGTAAATTAAACCGATGCCTGAGGAGAAGTTTCATTTGCCACTGGATCATCAGATGAATCTGAACCGACTCAGGTGAACTCAAAACATTTGATGCTCTTTATAACTTCTTACCGCAGTGCCCATCCGGTCCAGTGTGTCCTCGTTGATGGGGTAGCGGAGCCTCATCTTGCGGTACAGCGGGTGTTTCTCATAGTAGTTCACGAGGTCGACCAGACTCTCAAACTCCGCAGAACTTCCCAGCATGAAGAGGCGGCCCTCCAGCTGAATCCGACAGTGTTTGATTTTACCCTCCGCCCTGCACAAAGTCAAAGGAGGAGGAAGAATTAGCCCCAGAGAACAGAGGGGGTGGTAGATGCAGTTGTTGGGCTTGTCCCTTTGTGTATGAAGATAGTTTTTGTTTTACCTGAAGGAGATGGCGTAGGAGTTGTGTTCGCTGCGTTTTCGCACCAGGAAAGCTCCGTCTCTGGGAACACGCATCAGCATGTGTTCAGCCTGAACCCGGGACAGACTGGAGTGGAACCACCTGGAATTTGTCACATTTGACATTAAATTGTTGTTTTTTTTAGCCATTCTCTTTCACACCATTCATTTCCGTGGTCAGGGATCACTCACTCTCTGCTCTCGTGTGCGTTGGGCTGAGGCACAGGGCTGACCAGCCTCATCTCGAACTCGTTGCAGCGCAGAGGCGTGTCTCTGTAGTGGCAGATGAGGCGGTAGAGGCTTTCAAACACCAGGTTGTCTGTCAGGTAGAAGCGGGTGGAGCCAGACTCCTGACGTGAGTGGATCCTGCAGTGCTGGACTCGACCGGAGCGCCTGGAGGACGAGGAGGAGGAGGAGAAACAGGAGTGAGTTAGTGATTTAGAAAAAACATCTTATCAAAAGCTTCCAGATTAGGGATGGGGTCATCTTAATGCTTGAGTACTCGTGTTACCTTTTGGAAAAAGTCGGATACAGACCTCCCTGTGGTACGCTGTGTCTGTAGGACAGCGGGCTTTAAATTTCAGCTCTGAATGAAATCACAAGTGACGGTAACATCTGACTGCGTCGTCAGAGCTGTCTACAAGTCTGTTGTCAGAGACACTTTCCTGTTCTGCACAATTCTGATGCATCAGTCGTAGCTGTTGTTAGCCGTGATGCGAAAGCTTTCTCTCCTTCGACAAAACTTAATGGGATCAGATCTCCAGTCATTTTATTATTAGCTTAGATTAGGGCTAGGGTTAGGGGTTATCTGGTCATAAGGCTAATCTTCTCTTCTCTGATATCATCACAACAACGTGTGCTAACAGGGTTAGCAAAGATGTGATTGTGACTGGCTGTTGTCTGTCTCTGCTGGTTTCTCCTCGTGCTTTAACCTCGTGGTTAAACACTGAACTCCTCTCCCCCTCTGATGCCCGTTCCTGGGAGCTCCTCCTGCTTTTTTTTTACCAGCTAATTAGAAGCGGGTCTGTTTTAACGTTTAACTTTTAAAAGCACAGAGACAATTTGACGTGCTTTTAACTCACCACGCTTCGATTACTTTAACAGCCTCTTCACCTCCCTGATCCGTTAATCTGCAGATCGATTCCAGATGGTAAAGAACTCAGCTGCCAGGCTTTTTTTTAACCAGGACAGAAGGCACGACCACATCACACCTGTTTCAGCGTCTCTACACCGGCTCTCTGCATGTTTAAGAATCGATTTGAAGATTTTACTGATTACTTTTAAAGCTCTCCATGGCCTTTCTCCCAAACTAAAAGGGACAGGGCATTTTCTACTGCTCCTAAACTGTGGAACGATTTACTCCAAGGATATCGGGTCAGCTGAGTCAGTCATCTCGTTTAAATCCCTTCTTAAGACACACTTTTACCAGCGACTCTTTCCTGATTTTACGATCATTTTCATTTTGACGTGTACGTTTTAAAACTCCTTGAAATAATTTCATCTTTTACATTTCTTTCCAATTAATCTTATGCCTTCAAATGTTTATTTCTTAATTTTTGTTTAATTAAGGACATCCTTGTAAAGCACTTTGTAACTATGACTTTGAAAAGTGCTCTTTACATAAAGGTTATTATTATATTATTTGTTAGGTAAAACCTTTTGTATGTAACCTGTTGGCGAGTTCGTCTGTTTGCTGTCCTGTGAGGGGTCCCATTACACATAAAATGTGTTGGTAACACAAAAAATTAGGTCACATTATTCATTAACTGGCTGCTTATTAGCATGCTAACTAGTAGCATGCTATCAAATGCTTATGAGAACCTTATTCTACATGACAAGACATGCTCGTTAAGTTAATTGGTGACTCTCGATTGCACGGAATTGCACTTAATAATGACCAATAAGCAGACAGTATGCTACTAGTTAGCATGCTAACAAACATCAAGTTAATGGTGAATATTGTGACCTACATTTCAAGTGTTAACAATTTGTTAAATGTTTTGTGAGTAAGTGCTTTGGGACCACAGATGAAGTTTAGCTATCAAGCTATCTCAGGCATGTTTACATGAGTGGTTTCTGCTGACATGTCGATAAATGTGCACTGTCTTGATTCCATAAATAAGGATCTCTCCCGTGGTGTTACCAACCAGAACGAGAGGGTGTAGTCTCCAACAAACGTCTCGCTCTCCCTGACCAGGAAGGTGCCGTCTTTGGCTCCGCCTTCGCAGTACTCCTGCAGGAGCTTCTCAGCCACCTGCCGACCATCACGGCCTCCGCCCAGCTTCCCGTGGAACCAGCGCTCCGCACAGTGCTGCTCGTTGTTGTTGCACTCCTGCTGAATAACCGAGAGGAAAACCGCTTCAGCATCTTAACTTGATATATACCTTCCTTCTTTTTTTCAAATTTTTTAAACTTAAAATCCACGCTCTACCTCTTTGCCTTCATCGTCCTCCTCTTCGTCGGCCGTCTGGTAGTGAGACGTCTCCTCTGAATAGTAAATCTTATTACTGGTCAGGACAAAATAGTGAGGGGTCCATGTCTGGAAAGGGCACAAACACACTATTTAGACTACATGTTACATCTACAAATACCTCACAAAAAGTACTTCAGAGTCACACACGTGGTCGATGGGGTCCTCGAGGTAAAGGATGCTGTTCTTCAGGGAGTTGCTGATGTCGTTTTCGGAGTAGCTGGCTGATGTCACCTCTTCGTAAAGCGTGCCTTCCACCAGCTTCTTGTGCTGTGACACAAAGGTAAAAGATGAAACTGAAAGCTCTCTAAAGCCTGGCTCACACTGCAGGATAATCGGGCTGATTTGAACTCCGATTCTTCCTTCCAGACAATCGCAGGGTCGCTCCCGACTCAAGGCTGCTCGGACCCGATTATCTGCTCAGATTATCTTGTAGTGTGAGTGGTACAAAGATCCAATCTTCACGTTTACTTCAAACATGTTTGATATTTAGAATTTAAAATCTTGAAGATTACGTCATGAAAGGGTCCGCCAGAAGTTGTGTGTGACTACAATATAACAACGAGAGACAAGGGAGGACTGTTGTCATGGCGATCAGTGGACTACAGATCATCAGTGCAGCACTTTTCTGAAACTTGTATCCATATATCTACAATTGTTTTAAATGTCCTATTTCCTACAACAACTTCCACTCCCTTCCTCTTTCACCAACCACCATCCAATGGCGTTTTCAAATGAAACTTTATTAACAATTGTCAACGCTCCGTCCCATTTCACTTGTACAGTTTGAGCTCTCCGGCCGTGCCTGACAATCGGGTCGTACAGTATGAGCACATAAATCGCAAGGTCTGGTAGAGCGTCGTAAACAATTCAGTCGTTCAGTGTGAGCTGACATGCCACCCGGACTTTTATACAATCAGGGGAAAAATCGCACAGTGTGAGCCAGGCTTTAGATCTACACACATGAAAGTTTATTTTTACTTTTATTTTCACTCCTCACTCCCCCCAGAGACACAGGCAGAGGTGGTAGTAACAAAGGCCAATCGCTCTTTTATGACAGACTCAGTCTGCTAACTTTCAGTCACTTACTTCCTCCATAACTTCCAGTAAATATGAATTGGCCCACCTACCTTGATGAGGATCTTCCTGCGGAGCTGGTAGGGTGACGGTAGCTCCTCTGCGTTGTTATCGACGGGCTTGGTGAGCAACAGATCTCCGAACACTTTCTTAAAGTGCGTGGCCATGTTCCTCTGCTGGACCACGCTGCAGTGGTCCTCGATGGACAGGATCACAGGGTATCTGCAGGTACAGAAGGCAGGTGAAGGTCTTCTTTAAAACTGCGATCTTATTACATTTTTAACGTATGAAAAGTGTCAGCGACGTCGATCTTAACCCACTTACTCGGACGTGACGAAGGCATGTTCTTTGATGGTGTGCAGAACATCCAGGAATTTAATCTTTGAGGTTAACGTGTGGCCATGGTAAATGATCGGCAGGTCGTCAGGTCCGTCCCAGCAATCCACTAAAATCAGAAACAAATAAATTAGGTCTTCTGTTTTGGATTTTGGAGATGAAGTAAAAATGCTAGTATTTCATGAAAAAATACATTTATTTCTATGAAGCTTAAATTTTTTCATGTCAGTTTGTATCATCACAAAAAGTTCCCTGTTTTCGACTAGTAAACCTTCAAATAATAAAGTCACATTTTTTTAGGGCGCTACCCACACGCTTAGCTGTGTTGCACATTCCACGAATGCATCCACGATCCTTACAAGTTATACCTTGTTGTAAAGGTGACTAATCAGGCTTTCCAACGATATAAAATACAACACCAATTAGTATTATTAAAGGGGCGAAATAAGTGACCGAAATAACATTTCCAAACTTTTTTTGAGGAGTTTATATGTATATGACGTTCATGAAAGGTATTTCTGAATTTTGCATAAAATGGCTTTATGATTAAAAAATAGCAAAGTCTGAGCTGGCCTGTGCTTAAAGCAGTCCAATCACCTTCAGGACATAAAGTGTTTCAGTGAGTTTGTAATTGAATGCCCCATGGACCACTGGACCACACAGTCCAGTATATGAAGTCTTTAAGCAGACTATATTTTGATAGTTACGTTCGATGCAGCGGCAGCCCATCCTCAGGCAGCGGGCGTACGCTTCCAGAGACGACTCACTGGAAAACTGGTCACCTGTCAGGTAGCTGAGACAACAAGGACATGGAAGTAAGTAAAAAACGTGATAAGAGGATGAGTGTGATCAAATCAACCACAGAGGAATTTTCTCTGATTGATTACAGCGCACTTAGAAGAAGAAGGGAAACATGGGTCTGTAGAGAGGTGTTTACAATGTCGACAATGTTTGCAATCAGGCGACTCAGCATTAACCTGTGCTTACGATAGAAGCTCTGTAATCAAATAAATAAAAATCATTCAAAATCAATGAAGCTTTAGACCAACGTGTTGTGTGAGGAGGAGATCCAGTACTGAGAAAGCGGCCTCTTCATGTCATCGGCAACAACAGGAGAGAGTCGAGGATCACACACAGAATTCTCTTTAGAGAACAGGAACGTCAGGAACTAAAAGTAGAAAGCAACATGGTTAGGCTGTGAGGTGGGGAAACATCTCCAGTTTTAGTGTCTCTCTGAAATAATTCACCTCGTCGAGTTGCAACGTGGGCTCAGGCTGCGGGCCGCCCCTCATGTACCCCATGAGGAACTCTCTGACACGACCGAGGTCACATGCCCAGGAGTCCTGAGGAGAGACGGGGTGAAAGAAAAAGTGAGCACAAAACAGATTCATGGAGCAGTTTTTCACAACCTGGACGTGTTCAGTAGATACCTTCTGGTCCATCTGTAGAAACTTCTGGAAGTCGTAGAGGGAGATCTGACAGAGCTCTGGTCGGTCAACATTCCTACAAACACGACAGGTTTCAAGATATTAGACAGCGGGAGAGAAAGTGGAAGGAATATGTCCAAATTAAAGACACACAGATGTCAGAAACAATCAGTATATCTGTAAGATCCATCGTAGGGACAGTATGTTGTTAAAGGGAGGTGCAGAGGAGTAGGGATGAGAGTGTGGGGACGTGAGGAATCAGGAGAGGACACTGAGGAAGAGGAGGAGGTGAAGGTGGAGGGACTCACCGAAGAGGGAAGGAGAGCTCCAGCTGCTCAATAATCTGAGGACAAAAGGGGGAGGAGCCAGGCGACAGCCAGGTGGGAGGAGCCATGTGAAGCATTAACAGTAAAGGACAAAGTAAACGTGGGGTCTGAGTGCAAAAGTGCTCAATTTTGTTGTGTGTTACTTTGATTTGTTCTCTTAGCTACATTTAAAAGGACTTTGACAATGGCACTGACTTCACAGTGTACACAAAAATTAAAAAAGGAACTTCTTAGCGTTAAACTGTCGGCAAAAAAAATAACAAGGTAAGACAAAACACATAAAGAAAAGACAGGAAATGATACATCTAGACGAGTCAAGACAAGATACAACATGACATGACAAATCAAGACAAGACATGACATGACAAGATGCAATAAAACAGGACACTACCATTAAGACACAATACAACAAGACATAAGACATGACATGAGAAGACAAAACTAGTTGTATTTCATTTGTTTCTATTCAAATATTGATATTTGGCACTAGAGATTCGTTACCTCACGATATATTGTATTATTAATATTTAAATGTAAAGTGTGCTGTAACACTTGTACATGGTCACATGACAGGAACGATCAGGTCTTGTTACTCTGAACCTAAAGACTTCTACTGGTGTGTGATCTGTGTGTGTGTGTGTTTGAGGAGCCAAAACTGACACTCACACTCTTCTGTGCGTCAAACATCAGAGTTCTGTAGAGCTGTGCAAAGTTGGGGTATGACAGATCGCTCCTGGCCTCCACCTCCTGTTTGAAGACGGAGATGATGTGAGTCAGTGTGATACAAAAAAAACAAACGTATCAAATGAGAACAACATATCAGACTTATAATCAGCTCTGACCTGCAGCTTGTCTTTAAGAAAGCGCATGTTGGGGACTCTGTAGTTGATCTGAGGCAGCAACGTTTTCACATCCTTCACTGTGATGCTGAAAAAGAAACACAAGAGGAGAAAAATGATTTCACCAGGAGATGGCGCCATATGGTTTAAAGAGCTAAATGTGAATGCAACAGGATTCTATATCACCAGGCAGAAAGAGAGCGGTCCTGTGAAGATTTTGTTATTACTGTTAAAAATCAGAAGAGATGGCAAGAAGGAGACATGGGGTTTAAGATTTAAACAACTTGAACTCTACTCACAAGCTTTTTTCATCCATGTTTAGCAGGTTCTAAGGTGAAGAGTAAGAAATCTGCCTGCCCCACTTTTCGGAAAATGTCATGCAAACATGCCATTTACAGCGTTTCCCTTCATGACATCACAAAGGGCAGTAGCCCCCCCCCTTAAACTATACAGCATGGAGTGAGAAAGACCAAGCCCCTGCTGACTAAGCAGCAGGAGCAGCTTTGAGTTTAGCGTCTTGCTCAAGAACACATCTGACATGTGGCTGCATAAGCTGGGGATCGAACCCCCAACCTTTTGGTTGAGAGATAATCAACCATACCACTAAGCCACAGCACCCTGTCTCTCATTATCTTTATCCAGATACAGACTTAGGAAAAGCAGTGATCTAAATGGGAGTTGGTTATGCTTACTTTGTCCACAGGGGGTGCCAAAATAAACAAAACGAAACAGCTCTAATAGCTTTTTCCACAGCCTTAATGTCCACCTCTTCTGCTATGTCAATGTAGTGACTCAGAAAGTTGTGAGTACAACATTTTTTTTTTAAATGTCCAAAAACTCAACATCAGTTCAAAAATGTTCAGTTTGACCGGTTTAAAAGTTTAATTAATTTTTGCTCCTGCACCTTTTCAAACAGTCCCCTGTGGTCTAAATGAAACATCTGTGCTGTGCTTTGGTCAAAATATAACATGAATCAAGCACCGGAGGAGGTTTGTGACCCTGTATAAACCAGCTCTCTCAGAACACTCCGTTTTGGTGTGTGTGTCTCTTTAAATGCAATGAGCCCCCCCTGAGTTTTCATCACTCATCACTCCTCTGTAGCAAGAAGTGAAATGGTGGACGTGTGCAAAAGTTTTGCTTTAGGTTGTGGGTGGAGTCCATGGGTGGAGATACCAGAGGGGGAGGGGTGGTGTTTTTTGTTTTACCAGAATCCCACTGTGACATCACAAGGAAAGCACATTTGAAATGGAGCATTTTTCTCTGTGTAGTAAGACTTATGCAGACCACAAACAAAGGACTAGATGGGTTTATTTCACATTGTGTGGGTCGGTAGACACTCAGGTTACCCAAATATATGTTCAAAAACACAGTAAAAGTGGATTTTTCATAATATGTCCCCTTTGATGTTTAATCTGCATGATTGCTGACATTGGATTAGCTGATTTAAACTGTTTCTTGATCCTCTTCGTTGATTTTCTTGTGAAGAAACCCGCTTCAAGATTTGATCCGATAGCTTCAAACTTGAACTACTTTAAAACAAATCTGCAGAGGTTTAATCATTGAAACAGCATATCTGCACACCAGTTTATCATCTCTTCACTTGTGCATCTTTTCCTTTCTTCCAGGAAAAACAGCACATGGACAATCACTTTTACTGAGTAACAAAACACATGCACGCAAACATCATCCGTCAGTGAGAGGACGAGGAAGGAAGCGAGGAAAGCAGGTAGAAAGAGAAAAGTAATCAAGGCCGGTGCTTTGATTTAAAGTGAATCTTTCGGGGTCAATGACCGCCGTTAGTGCCCGCTCTGATCGTCTCTCCGCCCACTTCCCTTGTCTGGCTACTGTAACTGTTACTATTTTCACAGGAGACAGGAAGCTGCCCTCTCCCAGCCCAACGCATCACTTCCTGCCGCTTATCAGGCGATGGCAGGCTGTTTGTCCTGGAGCTGCTTCCACCCAAACAGAAGCCTGGACGTATTAATGCCTGCACGGCAGCGAGGAGACAGAGAGTGTGTGTGTGATACGTGGAGTCAGACTGTGGAGGTTAAGGTCAGGCCAGATCCCTGAAGGAGCTGTGACACGCTCTTTGATGACATCTGGATCAGGTTTCACCTCAACGCTCCACCTGCTGTGACCGACCGGCCAATAAGCATCCGTCGCAGGCTGCAGTAAAAGCTACGATTGGGTGTTGACGTGTTTGTTGCGATTGACCCACCTGCCCTCGTGGCTCCTGTCCATAACTTCAAACTGTTTCCTCAGCCACCTACATAGAGACAGAAAACAGGAGTGGAGGAGAGAAATTGTTAAAGAACATCTCATTCACGCAGTCCATTTAAAATTGTTCAAAAATATCGTGATTAACAAATATAAACTAATCTTTGTCGTCATTGTATCTCTTATTTTTGCCGTGTTTCTAATCCAAACCTCAAAAGACAAAGTCAACTTTATTTCTACTTTTGCCATAAGTACTGGACATCATACAGTATATCTATCTTTTTAAGTTGGGAGAAATGTTGGAGACACACACACTTAACAAACAAGTATATATGTTAGTGAAACACAAACCTATAAATAGTAGAATCAGAGTTCAACGTATTTTTTGCAGTGGTCTCTTAATTTTTTCCAAAGCTGAATGTCTTAAAGATTAGGTATAAGAAGCTTAAAGGTCCAACCAGTAAAATGTGTAGTGAGTGAAATGATAAAGTGAGCTTACTATATGATCAGACATTAAGGAAACATGCTATGTTGAAGTGCTGGCTTCTCTGACAACAATGCAGCAGCCAGTGTGTCCTCCTTCTAACTTCAGATTCTGATCCTGAATGCTCTGGATTTGTTTGGACCAGAGAAGGTAGGCGGTTTTAAGGCACCCCCACACAGCCGTTTTGGACGCCCCTCGGTTTGCCAGATATGAGAGCAGTTTTCAGGTCAGGAGGAAAGAGAACTGGTTCAGATAGAAGTGATTGTACCCGACCTAAAAAGCCTCTGCATGTTTCTAATAAGCTCCACGAGCAGAAACGTGCTCAAACTAGGATCAATATTGGAAAATTATATTTTGAAAAATGGAGAGAGGTTAGAACGCAGAAAGATTTACAGACAGATGCAGAGCTGGCACTGAAGCTTCAGCGTCCACCACATGGCAACCTGCGTACCCATTTTAAACACTAGGTGTCAGAGTTACATATTGCTCCTTTAAGTTTCCGCCTACACATTTTAGTATCTGTTTTTGTTTCTTCTGTTATTCAATCCCTAAATGTTATGTATTTGTAATGTAAAATAGTATTTTAGCCGGTAAATTGTAAATAAAGACGTAAAAAAAAACCACTTCTTCTCTAAGTGACTGAGTGACTCGCTCACTGACAGCTGAGATTCACTGCAGGAAACTCTGGACAACTTTCCGAGTTTAATAAAAACCTAAATGCTTAATAGAGTAAACAAAGGCTTTCATAACTAACAGGTCATAAAGCTATTGAAGCCAATGCTCTGTGGACTCTAACAACGCCTTGTACCAACATGAATACAGATACGATACGGTCAGAATCTCAGCACCAGATGTAACAGGATGTCAGATATCTACCGTCAGGGTTAACCGCCACGGGTAGAAACCTTTATCAAATGTAAAAACTAAAATGCAGAATGGCTGCAGTGCTTCATGTTTACTTCCTGTAGTAACTGTGGGCGAGTCTATACTAACAGTTTGAACTGGGGCCTTTCTGTATTCCTCAGAAATGGTGAAAAAAAAATCCCGTTCATCTGATGAATCTACTCTTTAAACAGTTTACACGATGGTCATAAACAGACAAAATTAGCTTTTTCATTTCCTCTGACCATTTCCAAACATCGAGCGCTCACATTATGTCAACAACAAAACCTCCTCTACACATCCTCACAGCCTCGCTGTGTTCGCCTGCTCACACCACGCACGCCACAGCGGCGCTCACACTTCTCATCTGGAGTAAACATTTCCAACCCAAAACAAATATTTGTCTTTCCTCCGTCCAGAAGCTAACCCTTTAGCGTTCAGGTTTATTCTTACAGTGAAGCCACCAGACATCATCACTGTAGTTAATACAAGAGGTGCAATTTTTTTATAAACGCACAATATGATGAAAACTCGAACACGTCGACTCAAATCAAACTGATAATTTCAGTGATGACTCCTGACCTCGTAGGGGTCATTGTTGTATTGATTGAGAGCCCCCTGGTGGCGGAATCTACATACTGTATCTTTAATTTCGAACTAAAGTAATTGTTTGAGTATGGTTCCAGGAGATTATTTAATTTAAGAGATTTAATTTTCTTCAGAGCCTATTTGATTATAAGCCATGATGTCATAACCATCCACTGTAGCCTGACCACGAGCTACCTGTGTGAAACGATTGTTTATGCTCCTGTAGGAGACACAAGTTTGTATGATATCAAACTTGTTTATAAAAAAAAACACATTACACATTATATCGGGGGAAAGAACTACACTACCCATGACCATAGAGTGTCACAGTGAAGTGACCATGGCAATGTTTCCCGCCCCCACGGCGCCGAGTGTGGACGGATAGTTTAGCTAGCAGGCTAGCTAGTGAATAAGCCACACAAAATGTACTAATAACCTTGTTATGCCGCAGTATAAACACGATAACACAACTACAATTACATTTAAGAAGAAGAGATATCATTCGCAATGGATTGTGGGAGGTGCAGTTCCTTGAGTCTGGACGGAAGTTATGTACACAGACTTGTACTCTTTGTCTTTTTCACAGTTTTTTATTGCCTTTCAAATGGAGCCGAATCAAATGTAGTACAGTCATGAGTATTGGTGTAGCTGGTTGCCATGGTTACAGGCGTCAATCTCTTGATATAAGGATTTTGTGAAATGTCAATGGAGGATTTGAACGGGGAAATTTACATATGGAACAAGAGCTGCTGAAAAGTGGGCGGTCACTGTTGAGCTCTATTCAAGCTCTCATGGGAAGTTGTTGTTGTTATTTTTGACTGATTTGGTTCATTATCTAAACTCATGCATGGATCATTGGACCGTCACACACACACACACACTGCAGCCCACACACCTGTCAGTCTGTTGAGGAGCGGGCGCTCGCTGAGTGTCGATCATGAGCCAGTTAAGACCAGAGATCCACATGTTGACCTCCTCCTCACTGAAGGCTGCACACACAGAGACAGGAGACATGAGGAAGAGGAAGGAGAACACATGTTTGACTTTGGTGACTCCCAATCCTGCAAGCTTTTGAAAGTGAGAAAGGAGATCTGATAAAGCAAGGACACATCACTGTAAAGAGTCATACAGGGCCGAGCAGACACAGTGCTGTGATGTGATGTGACCACATCGAGTAAGCACACACTGACCAGCCACACTGAGCGTCCTGAGGCGAAACTCCACACCGTACAGCACGATGAAGCAGTGGGCGGAGTCCAGTTTACGGGCCTCCTCAGGGTAGCGCTCGAAATCCCTGGAGCCCTTCCCCAACCGCAGCTCCCGGATCTCTCGTATGTCGACTAAGAGGGGGAGGAGGGAGGGAGGGAGACAAGGAGAGAGAGGGAGGAAGGAAGGATAATGTTGCATGAACACAAATATGCACGACCATAAATCACAGTTTGGCACGTTGTACGTTTCCCTGCCAATTACACAGAAATCTGCTGCCGGAAAGCTTGACAAATGTTCTCTGTGCGTGTGTGTGTGTGTGCGTGTGTGTTTGGTGTGTGGGTGTGTGTGTGTGTTTTCAGAGAGCCCAAAAACAGACACACAAACATTTCAGCTGTCGGTGGCAGGATGCTTGAAAATCCTGCAGAGGTTTCTGGAAGCAGCGGTCGAGTAGACAGTCTCTCTTTCTAACATTTGCTTCACATTAAAGAGAAAGATTTCCTACATGACAAATGGACTTCAGCTTGTTTAGCACTTTTCTAGTTTTCTGTCTACTCAAAGTGCATTTACACTGCAGGTCACACATACACATTCACACACTGATGGCAGAGGATGCTGAGTAAAGAGTCCATTCACACACATTAATACGCTGCTGATAAAGGGTTAGGGTCTAAGTGTCTTGCTCAAGGACACATTGGACATGTAGCTGCAGGAGCTGGGGATCAAACCCAAGACCACCCGGTTGAGAGATGACCGACTCTACCAACTGAGCCACACACTCTTTCCACTGTCCTGTCTCTACATTAAAGGCACAAAAAGCCAAAAGATAAAACTCTAAAACCTACACTTCCTTTGTCCACATATTTCTCACTTTTAAAAAGTGATCCGTGTACAGATTCACAGAGTCACAGTTGTTGCAGCAGTAGGGTTAACAGCGTGGCTGAGAGCGGGCCGGCAGACCACAGAGGATGATGTAAACTCTGGACTCTGCCTCCACACTTGCAGCAGTCGACACACCCACAGAGAAAAGCCCGGCTTATTGACATGGCAGATGTCTTGTGCAAACACACATAAACATACCTCATGGATGCCAAACACAGGTATTCTATAAGACACACACACACACACACACACACACACACACACACACACACACACACACACACACACACACACTTACATGAAAGTCACTCTTACTACATTCAACCACAGAGAAACTTTGGTCAAATGAAAACAGAGCTACAGTAGGCTAAAGAGAGAGACTATCAGGACTGTTATCTGCCCAACAGGTGGACAACAGAGGACGCAGAATAAAGTTCGCTCCAGACTCATTCCTGTCTTTATCGGGCCAAAACAAACCTCAGCAGGTTATATATAAACCTGAATCAAACCGCCCAGGAGTTTCAGAAATGTGGTTTTTATCTTAGCGTCCTGCGTGAGGAGATGACAGGGAGCACGTTTGGCATGAGATTAATGGAGAGGTCAATTACGCTCAGATGGAAATGTGTCCATACTGTGCTTGGGGGGGGGGGGGGGGGGGTGCTGGAAAGAGCTAGAGCAGAAGAATTCTTACCCACAGATGACCTCAGTTTTCAGTTTGAAAAGGAAACTCTCTGCAGACACAGCACGATAACTTCTGTCCTCAATGAAGACAGCCTCGAGTATCCATGTTTTAATTTATCTTTTAGGTGGGACCATTGATACTAAAACAAACATCATGCTTTGACGAAGACGACCTGAAACCAATCATCGAGACCATTAATCTATCAGGCAAAGGTCAAAAAAAGCTAAAGACCCAGCTCTTTACCTATGACCTTAATAACGATGATGATGATGTTTTGTTTGAAGATGATTATATTGAGGATGGTTTTGATGCTGATTAGAGCTCTCAAGAACAGCTGTCATTGTTGCCTCTGCCTGGTCACTTCCTGACAGCACCTGTGTGTCTGATCAGACTTAAAGCTGTTTGTTTGAACTTCCTGACGTTCTCGCCTCCTCTCTAGATCTTTGCTCGTGTTGTTCTTACTCTCTGATGTACGTCGCTTTGGATAAAATGATCTGATAAATGAATTGTAGAATTGTAGATTTCATGTGGCCAAATTTAACAACGAACACTTGGAAACATTTATCACACATGACAAAACCTGTGATGAAAACGAGCGTAACACAGCAGCACAGGGATCGTTTGATCTTGATCGTCTTGTTTTTCATGATCGCTAGAAGACAAAATTCTACTTTAAACTAAAACTTGATTGATTGCTCAGCCCTACCTGACTGCTCACATACGTATTTCCGCTGTAAACTACCTCCAATAAAGATTTTTGGTTCTGTTGGTACAGAGTCATTTACAGTAGGAGTTGACTCATTTTCCTCCCATACTATTAATAAAAATATGGCAGAAGCTGGTATTTGTTTTCCTCTGCTCTTTCCCTTTATTACTTCCTGCCATTTAGTCTGGACGTTGGACAATGAGGCAAACACATGCTCAGCTCTGCTCGCTTAACGTCACACTCCGCTCACTGGGACTGCGTTAACACACACACTATTCTGGTTCACTCAACACACACAGTGATAGATAAGGAGAGAACACACACACACAAATCCACAGCACCAGTCCTCCCACTGCGGCCTCAGATCCTTGTCCAGGCTGTAAACAGGATTTTGATAAAGACGAACACACACTTTTCTTTGAAAAACTACACTGATGTAAACGTTGATGAAAGCAGCAGGACAGAGAGTGGAGAAGAAAAGTGCAGTGTGCCAACTGGAGATACATCAGAGTGTCCGATACTTTCAACAGTCCAATAGAAATGAAGCAGAAAAATAAAACATACTTTGAAGTGTTCATTAAAGGACGGTGCATCATAAGAGAAGCTGTTCCCAGTGCTGGACGGGCATTGCTCAGGCTGGTTTCAGAGTTCCTGAACGCACCGCGAGCTGTGTGCACTGCTGACCTGAAACCACCAGCCGTTGATAATTGCAGTGCAGCTCCAGTGAAACAAACTGTTCCTGGTACAGCTGCTGGTGACATCACTCCCTATACCAGATGGCAGAAGTCTACATGGTGATTATAAAACTCAAGGGAGCAAACAATGAAAGACAGGAGCGAATAATCAACGAGAATGCACGTCATACATTTCATGAATCTAAAGAAAGATGGGATGCTGATGATAAAGTTGCTTTTAAGTCGATCCAGAGTCTGATGGACGGTAACATGAACGAGGGTTAAGGGTTTACATGAATTAGAGGCGGTTTAACTTTAAGGACCTGTACAGGTTTACATTTATTGTCTGTAGGAGTATTCAAAGTAAAGTATAGTAAAGTATAAAGTTTTATACCTTAAGGTCAGGACAGTGGTTGCTCTTAAAATGAATCAGCGATACCATTTGATGCATTTGTAATCAAAGTGAAGAGCTAAAAGTGGAGAAGGAATTTAGCAAACGATTGCTGATTTAATTATTACAACATAAGAGCAACTGAGCAACATTAGATGGAGAAATTGATGGATGGATGAATGGATGATGGAGAAAGGGATGGATGGATGGAGGAATGGGTGGTTGGGTGGATAGATGTATGGATGGAGGATTGAATGGGTTGATAGAGGAATGAATGGAGGAATGGATGTATGTATGAATAGATGATGGAGAAAGGGATGGATGGATGGAGGAATGGATGAAGGATTGAATGGGTGGATAGAGGAATGGATGGAGGAATGGATGGATGGATGGCTGGATGAACTTTGTTGGCAGCAATCTCATACAGCAGCATTTCTATTATCTGCTCACATATAAAAATATTTCCGTAGCTATGTGCCTACAAAAATATATCTCTGCTAAATGAAAAGACTAGAAAAGTAGCTGAAAGATAGGGGGTAGATGTAAATAAAAATTGTTGGTCAGTAAATGAATAAAAGACAGTTTAAGTGTGATGACTGAATAATTAAATAATTAATCTACAGTGACTGAATACTTCACTACATGGGGTTAAACATGAGTTAAAATCCTGCCATGCACAACGCGGGTTTCTTTCAAACGTTTGCAACACGAGTTATTCTAAAATTAGATGTTTTCTTTCTTACAGCCAAGTTACACCACACTGTGGTTTACCCAAATGCTCCTTATTGGAGCAAACCACCCTTAATGTCTCAGGCATCTCACGTCTCATTTGGGGTCCATGTTTCGAGCTTCCTGCAGAAGATGCTGGAGTTTTTGTTTTCCTGCAACCAGCCAGTCCTTCAATCAGAGACAGGAAGGGAGACACTCCCTGATAACCCCGCACTTCCTGTGCCTCAGGGTTTAATACCTACACTGTTTTCCAAAGCGCTCATCTCAAAGACAAACACTGATTCCAAGTGTGTGTGTGTGTGTGTGTGTGTGTGTGTGTGTGTGTGCGTGCGTGTGTGTGTGTTAGGGGAGAAACTTAATTTCAAAACAAACATTAGAAAAAAAGTATCATGCAACCAAAACAAAGGAAGGAAAGGCAGGAGAGACGGGAGGTGAGGGGAGGCAGAGTAAAGGGGTCATTTCGATAAATAGGAGCTAGATTTCTGAGAACAAAAAGCATCAGATGAATGACCTCGAAACTCCAAAAGAAAGTGAAAGAAAACAGACGGAGAAAGTGAAGCTGGGGGGTCAGGGAAAAAGCGAAAAAGGAGAAGCATGTGAAGATGGGTGCGTGGGGGGGGGGGAGAGATCGGGAAAGGACAGCTGGAGGAGGGAAAAGGAGACGAGAGGCAGGAGGAGGAGGAGGAGGGAAAAGGAGACGAGAGGCAGGAGGAGGAGGGAAAAGGAGACGAGAGGCAGGAGGAGGAGGAGGAGGGAAAAGGAGACGAGAGGCAGGAGGAGGAGGGAAAAGAGCGGGTAGCTGAGAGATAGAGCGGCGGGAGATAAAGTGAAGGAGAGACCCGCTGAGTTCCTGGAATGTGCTGGTTGGTTTGTCCAGTGGGAGGCTGTTTGTAGAGGGCCGTTTGTGGCTTATGAAAGCGTATGTGTTTGTATGAAAGGAGAGGTTTTCATCAGTGTGTGGGATTCTGGAGATATGGTCTGATTGAGCGGTGTAGGAGTTCTCCGTGGTTTTCCGTGCACGCTCAGACTCAGCTTGGATTAGCACATGCAGTTTATGATTATGGATAAATAATTGACAAGGCACCCTGAGCAAGAAACAACTCCTACATGTGTGCAGCGGCCATTAGTCACTCAGCCGTCGTAGAATGACTGGGGGGGGGAGGGAGAAGACTGTACTGGGGCTAGAGCTTCAACCTTGAAGAAATATGTATATGAAAGGACACAAGGAAATGAAGAAAACATCTGCACATGTCTTTAACAACTGCTAAACTGTGCTGCAACTATAGAAACACTTTTTCTTGTCCACAGACAGAAAACCAGGTGGAAATCAAGGAGCTCCCTGCAAACACAAAAACAGCTTGCACATGTGCAAATAAAAAGCACTGGAATAACAGATACAAGCTGCTACTGCAAAAGTCACACCACGAGGCATTGCGGTTCAACAGAGCGACTACCGGGACAAGGGCAGAAAACAGATTAGAAATGAAGTGTCAGGTGTTTACTATCTTGTGCGGAACAGAAACACGAGAAAGGTTCTGATGCTAACGAGAAGACATTGCACGCACAGAAATGACGCACGAGAAAGTTTCTTGTGATATATAGAAAGTATTGCATGCGCCAGAGTTTGTCCCACTGAGTGTTTCTTCCATCCTGTTTCATAGGATGAACTACAGGTAAGTCGTCTTTTGTTCTTTTCAGTGAGCTGGAGATACTTTATTATGAGATCAGACATTTCTGCATGAGAATGGCTTAGTTTCTCGTGCGCGTCAAAAGAGTTTTTTTTTTTTTTCATTCTTTGTCCATAATAAAAACAACAAACCTTCTAAAAACGTGCAGCAAAGTTAAAAAAAATCTACAGATACAGAAATGCAAAATCGCCATTCAAACACAAGAATTGTCTGCAGCTACTTCAACTCTGAAAAAACAGATTGAAGCCTTGTTCACGCTTAAAATGAACTCCTGAGATTTTCAATTTAAGCTGCGTGTGTGAAAGCAAACAGCTGGAGTTTTCACTCTGACTTTATCCAGAGTTTCTCCTGCCGGCCCTCCTAGTATATTTCCCACATGAAGTCCGAATGAGAGAATGAGAGAACACAGCAGGTTATAATCAGGAGAATTCACCTGGAGCACGTTGGAGGGGGTGGTGACGTTTATTCCCTGTGATCGCTGCATGACAGTAGACTGTCTGTCTGACCGTTGTGATCTCCAAGCAGGTGATTAAACTGCTGCATTTTGAATGGATATGATGAATGCATTTCTCAACTACATGGTTTTAGGTGTTTGTCCAGTGGTGTCCCTGTCTTTCCTGTCTTTCTTTTGAGATACAGCAAAGAGAATCAACTTCAGCCACCAGACTCCTCAGTAAACCTATTTCCATCTTTTTGTGAAGGAGATTTTCCTTCTTTTTTTTTAACTGCAAGCTACCATAAAGCCTGAGAGTTAGAATAACACATGGCAGACAGAAGGAAACCCTATCGTGCCAGTTGTGAATGCCATAAGTTCTCCTGGTGCTAACAGACACTGTAACAAATCCTCCCCCAGGCCACAAAATCCAGAACGCAGACAATAGCCTCCACACCCAGACAGGCTGAGCTGTGCTCCAACAGGCCGCTGGTTCAGGTGAAACACTTTGACTCACCTATCTATACAAAAGCCTGGAGCCAGTCAGCCAGCCAGTCAGCCAGTCAGTCAGACAGCCAGTCAGCCAGTCAGTCAGTCAGTCAGTCAGAGAGCCAGTCAGACAGACAGAGAGCCAGTCAGCCAGTCAGTCAGTCAGTCAGTCAGTCAATCAGTCAGCCAGTCAGTCAGTCAGACAGACAGAGAGCCAGTCAGTCAGCCAGTCAGTCAGTCAGTCAGTCAGTCAGTCAGTCAGTCAGTCAGACAGCCAGTCAGTCAGTCAGCCAGTCAGACAGCCAGTCAGCCAGCCAGCCAGTCAGTCAGTCAGTCAGCCAGCCAGCCAGTCAACCAGTCAACCAGTCAGTCAGCCACTGTGGGCTCCATTTCATTTCAATGACAACTTGCTATGTGCATGTATCAGTCAGTCAGTCAGTCAACCTGCTATGTGCATGTATCAGTCAGTCAGTCAGTCAGTCAGTCAGTCAATCAGTCAGTCAACCTGCTATGTATCAAAGTGTTTATAGTGGATGTTACTTTGCAACACTCGTCCCTAAAAGCGCTTTGTGTAAACAAAAGATTAAAACAGTTCAAACAGAATGTGTAAACTCGGCACAGAAAAACACAATGAGACACATTTATCTGTGACAGAGCTACAAACAATTCAACATGAGTGCAGACTGTTGCTGAACTAACCAGGTGTTGAAGCCATTTTGTATGTTTACTCATATTCATTTTCATGTTTATACATTTTGCATTCTTTGGTTATGAATCTCGACTATATAGGTGCGTATGAAATTGTTTATTATTCGCCGCCGATTAACCGATTGTCTGACATCTGAATGTGTGACGTAATCTGAAGTTGTGGCAGAGCCCTTTAATTTAGCTCAGGTGTGGAGACAGGATGTGAGAGTGGAAGGGCAAACAATTTTTCAACCGCACCGCTTTTTCGGAGACTTTTTGTTTTGAGTTAAGGAATGTATGTGCTGCTCTAAATAAATGGCTCATCGTGATCAAAATCAGAGTGCGCGTTTTCTTCCCGACATTGTTTTCTGCATTCTGTGACCTGAAGAGGTTAAAAAAAAAACGCTCATACAGATTTATCAGTGATAGGTTTATGTTGGCCAACAGATTTACTGATCGTGCTCTCGTTTTAAGTTGGAGAATTCAGTAGAAAGTTATTTTAGAGCTATTTTTAACACAAACATTTCTAAAATTGGGTCACCAGATATTCCTTTAACATCTCTGTGCGGTTACCACGACTTAACCATACAGCAGACGATCTAATGATGATAACACACACACACACACACGCACACACACACGCACACGCACACGCACAGAAGGAGAAAAAGAAAGTGTCCCTGGTGTTGACTTTCTGTATTTGTCAGCATGTTGTCAGAAACTTCAGACTCAGCTGTCATTTCAGAATCTTCTGACACAGAACATCTGACCCGCACTCAATCTGAGTTTATTTTTTCTCTCTTTCCTCCTCACTTTCTCTTCTGAAGTATCCTGAGATCAGTAACAGCCTGTTTGTGTCTCTGTTTCTTTGCAGTCAATCGATGTATTTGTGTTCCTTGTGTAACCTTGTAGTACATTCTTGCTCTTTATTGCACTGCTTTTAACTTATTTTTGCATCGTATTGTATTGTTTGTTTTGCACTCTTTTTTTTGTCTCTGGTTGTTGCTGCATCTTTTAGATTCCTTCGTGTGTCTGCAGCAGTCCCTTTATATCCGTGTGCAGTGATTTCGTGTCTCTGATGTTGACTTGTATTAGCGGTTGCTGTTTTGCATCCCTGTGTAGCAGTTGTGTCACCTCCAGGTTTGTTAATGTCTCTTTTTTTGGGGGGGGGGGAATCTTTGGGTGTCTCATGATTCGATTCGATTTTGATTCTTGGGATCACGATTCGATTCAGAATCTATTTTCGATTCAAAAACGATTCTTGATTCACGATTCATGAGTCTATTTATGAATTAGTAAATACTTCAGGATCTACTCCAGTCATCTGTGAGACTGGCTGAATTTCTTGCTGTGCTCCATTTGCTAAAGACCTTTCCTAAGCTCTTAGCAGGGAGTGACTGATTAGCCAAAAAAAAGAAGATTTTTGGAAGTTGTGAATCTATTTAAAATAAGAATCTCGATTTTTACATAAATCCATTTTTTTTCACTACCTCTACTTTTTGAGGTTGCTTTTTTATCCGTCTGCTGAGGGTCAATCCGGGTCTTCCAGAGGTTTCTTTTTGGTCATTGGATTTTCTTTTAATGATTGTCTTGGGTCTCCTTGTGACACTTTTACAACTACTTCTAGTCATTTTGCCATAAAGCAGAATTGTCAAGTTCAAAAGGGCAACTTAGGTATTTATTTCACTTTCTGTCTAATGCTTCCTGCCACCACAGATCCACTGTCAATCCTCTGCACAGACAGTAATTAAATACTTAAAAACATACCATGCAAACACAAATTATACAAAGCTATACATGCAACTGACATAGGCTGCTGTTCTGATTGAAAACGTTGTATTAAAGTTGGTGTATTTGAATATTTTGTAGCCTCAGTTTGATATGCAGCTGTTGCAGACTTTTAGTTGGTTCACTGACCCTCAGATTCAAAGATCAGGATTTCCCTATCTCTAAACAGAAATGTGAACTGTGTGTTTAGAGCACTGTGCATGTATGCCCACTCAGATATCGGTCTGAACTCACCCTCTCCTTCTATCTTGTCCGGGTTTCGGCTCCACACTATCTGCCGCATGTCCTGCCTGATCTGGAAGGTTCTCCTCTCGGGCTTCTGAGACTTCTTCTGATAGAAGACGGTCATCACCGTCCCCATCTCCAGGCTGTGGAGGATGCGGGGACCGGCCTCTGTCCAGTCCAGCATCCTGGAGGCTGTGACAGGACCAGCAGCCCCCAAGGCACCACCAGTGGCGTCTTCAGCACAGCCATTGATGCAGCCACTGAACCTGGCTGCACACATCTTCACTGCATAGCTACGAGGACGCCGTGAGGGAATCTGTCCTGGTTTCTGGGTTTGTCTGCTTGTCCTGTTGTCACTTACTGAACGCACCAGTCATCCAACCTGTCCAAAGTTGAAAAAATCTTAAACTGTGCCACTCTTGGCAAGTTAAAGTTTTAAGTGCCAGTATAATCAAACCAAATCCACATTAAAACACGAGCAAGAAGACACCTCTCAGAGCTGAAACACTGAAAGATCTGAGATGTGGATTATCCTCTGGTCCTCCGGAGGGGGAGTGGATCCCTGTGTTATCCTTTCCAGATGCTTCTGGCAGCACACCATGCGAAATCCACCCGGAGTTGAGCTCTCATCACCGCTGGACTCAGGTTTCCACCCTCCCGCTCGTCCACGACAGCAAAGGCAACCCGGCTTGGACGACTCCGCAAAGCTTTTGGAGAAATGTGAAAACGGCTAAAGACGCAGGGTTATGTAATGACAAGTTGGGTCTAACAGTACCCGGAGGTGGGCGCAGCAGGGTGGCGGAGAAGAGGGCAGGTATTCTGTGGCGGATTCACGGAGACGGTGGAGCACGGAGAACCGGCGAGAACTGTGTGCGCTCCCATCCGCCGAAACCATTCTCGCTCTCCGGTCACACACTCCTCCTCCCTCTCCTCCTCCTCCTCCTCCCGAGCACATTACACCACTAACAGGATGCATTATAATCCGTACAGAGGCGTGCGGGGTTGTGGTGGAGACTGCCCCAGTTTCTCCTCAACAGCTCCTCGCCCCGGATCTCCCCCGTCTCCCTCCCTCTCTCTCTCTCTCTCTCTCTCTCTAACTCTCTCTCTCTCTCTGTGCCTGCGCGTCACCCCTCAGCTCCAACGCCAGAGGTCTTGAGAGGAAATTAAGGCTAGCAGACCGGAAAAGCTTGATAAGATTTTTTTTTTTCTTCCTCTCTGAGCTGTAGTATCTGAGGGAGGATGAGGAGGGTGGAGAGAGAGAGAGAGAGAGAGAGAGAGAGAGAGAGAGGTAGGAGCAGAGGAGAGAGGCAGACAAGGAGAGGAGGCGGAGAGCAGAGCGACCTCCGCGGGTCTCCAGGAGGAGCTGCAGCCGACGAGAGAGATGAGATTGTTTTTTCTCTTTCTCCAAAGCAGAAACAGAAACTGACCTTTAACTCTGCGGGTGATGATTCGGGTCCAGAGGTCAAGTGGGGTTCAGGTAGCAGAGGTCACTGGCATGTCACCTGCAGCAGTAAATCCTTCATTCAAGCAGCAGGGATTTGCTGCTGCTTTGTTTCTTCCTCTCCTGGAAGGATTCGGTTTTTTTTTTTAGTTTCCTGACAAAAAACAAAACTTTTAAAGTTGTGAGTGAGTGAGTATTCTTTATTCAGCCATCAAAGCCTATAATACAGTCAATAAAGATTTTAAACAATATAGACTACAGGGCCCGACCGATAAGAGATTTTTGGGGCCGATATTCAAATTTGAGAGAAGAAAATCCAAAAACCGATACATCTGCGGATATCTTTCTTAAATCTATCTTCACTTGTAGAGAGAGATATAGGCTAGATAACACATTTATTGCGTTAATGCTCAATGCTTGTTTTGTGCACAAGCAGAACTTCACGTCTGCTCGGAGGCTATGAAATGGAAAACAATCAGCTGAAGGCTCAGAGTGTGAGATTCACCTCCAGGGCCGACCGCCTCAGAGAGATACCGATGACATCACAGCCCCTCCGCATCTAATCGGCTCCATATGTGTGCCTTACTACAACCACCACCGCTACCACTGGTCAGCAGGCAGCCAATCAGACGCTGAGGAAGCACTTCACACATGTCCTGCAGCAGAAAAGTAGAGGCAAGAGGAGAGAGGAGAAATATACTTTCTCATGTCACTATTTAGTCTAAATATAAAATATCACACACAGGAGAACTTTGCACTGCCAGGTAGGCGTTTGTAATATGAAATATGTGCCATGAAGGAGTCCTTTAATTACACTAAATGAACCTGGAACAGCAATAAACTAGTAATGCAGCACATCATGTGACACCAGTGTGGGAGTTGGGGATAGACGTATTCAAAGACACTGATATTTATTTGTGGAAAAGAAGGTCACACCTGGTAATGTAGTGGCAGCAATGATTCATATTAGTGATCAATTATTACTCAAAGGTCTACTTAGTAATAAGCATCCTTTAGCATTTGTCAAAGGGAGTGCTTTCCATTTGCTCGTGATGTCTGTCAGACTTTATAAAGACACAAAAAAGCCCAAAAATAAACCTTTAAAAGAAAAAACACTAACAGTCTAATTAACATGTTTATTAATTTTATTTGGAAAACAATCGCTCTCCAAGCTCAAGAGTTACCTTTTCCTGTCGACAGTGGTGTTAACCTTTTGTTTACAGCATTTACAATCATGACGTTCTTATGGTTAGATTGTTGTTAGTATACGTTAGAGTATTAAAGGTCACATAACCTCTCCTCTTCAACCAGTGTAAAAACATCTCCGAGCTCCCTAAAACATGTGTGAAGTTTCTTGTTCTAAATCCACTCTGATCCTGTATTTGATCATGCCTATAAACCCCTCTATTTCAGCCCTGCTTAGAACAGGCTGTTTCTGTGTCTGTAGCTTTAAATGTAAATAAGCTGTGTCTGACCACGCCCCTCTCTGGAAGGCCTTGGGTGTACTCAGTCTTTCTCGCTCCATGTCCTATTGTTTACGGTGAGAAGGCAAACTCAGAGAGCAGAACAAACACCTAGCTGTGAGAGTGTCACCCACCTGGGGAAGGGGCTACTGCCCTTTGTGATGTCATGAAGGGAAAATCTCCAAACGGCCTGTTTGAGCACACATTTTCTGAAAAGCGGAGCAGGCAAAAGACGGAGAGGATGGACTTTTCTCATCATTGGGGGGTTTTGTAGACAGACTAGAGACACATTAGTGTTACAGAAACATGGTGAAGTGTATTCTGCACAATATGTGACCCTTAAAACTACAGTTACAGATAATTAGCAGTTTAAAATTCTCGTGTTTTTCTCAATCACTCAGAACAAACAAAAGTAGAGAAAACAAACAAGGTCAGTTCCATTTAATAACTTCTTTAGATGTCCACATCGTTGATATAGCGAGCGTAACTGTTTCCAGCAGAATGAAGTCCATGATGATGAGGTTAGGAAAAGGTGTTTTCTCTTGAGTGTCCCCACTGGGTTCCTTGTAGATTTCTGTGTTTTTAAACCCTCTTCATGTATGGACATTAGCTCTGAACACCAGATACAGGATGGTGGGACGGAGACTGTTAACACTGTTATTACTACAAACAGACTTTGTGTTTGAGGCACTTTGGAAAAGGTTCAAGTTAAAAAGAGAAACAGCTTTGTAGAATGATGTTTAGTTGGCTAAGAGAAAGTTGCTGTTGTTGGTACTTCCTCTTCGAATCTCTGTGACCAGGTTGTGTAGCTGCTCTGATAGCGCCACCTGTTGGGAAAGAAGAGACAAATAAAATCTCACATAATGTTACAGAAGTGCAGCTGGTGTAATGAAGCTGTATGGAGTTCGGGTTTTTTAGGATGCAGGTTTTGTGCTTGTGGGAGTGAAACTCACTGTGTAAGAGTCGGGCTTCTGCAGCTTCTTGTGTCGAGGGTGCAGAGTCTGGAGGGAGCTCTGGACCTTTGCTCTAGTTTCTGCAGCACTGCACGGAGGGTGTGTGACCTAGAAAGGGAGGGAGCCACATTAGGAAATGTTAAACTCCAACAGTATTGTCTTGATTTGAAGAGTGCAATGCCTTAAAGTGAACCCTTTTCACACATACGGAAATCTCCTGAAAAACTCCGGAGATTTGGCTACCCGGAGGGACTTTAGGCTATGTGTGAACGCAAACAGCCGCATTTTTCGCGCAGACATTACCCGGAGTTTCTCCGGCCAGACCTCTAGTAGTTTAACTGCAGAAAGTCTGAGTGAGCTGATGTCTGAATGCAGCAGCATATACTCCGGAGATTTCAATTCAAGCCAATGAGACCGAGTGATGTTTATATACAGTGACTGCCTAAAGTGTCTGCCCGCGACCACTACAATCTCCGTGCACGTAATTAAATGGCTGCATTCTGTTTTCTGTTCGTCAGTATGTTGTTTTCCACTCTTTTGTGGATGTTGTCATTCCACTGGATTACACATAGCATTGATATAAAGGCAAATATTCTCATTATAACTTCGTGTAGTGGACTCTGTTGCTTCGGCAGTCTCATCAAGTGTTATTCTTAATGATTTGTTAGGCTCCATGAAATGTTTTTTTGGCTAAAATTCAAATAAAAGTTGTCATTAGGTATTTTAGATCATGCTCGCTGGATACACTTTGCTTATAAATGCAATCCAGTACCTTCGCGATGCCCTCTTATACCCTCCAAAAAAGCAAAGTAACCCTTTCACATTTTATCTCTCAACAAGATGCAGCTCTTCAAATGTGCATATTTACTACATTTCCCACAATACCATCAAAACACTCCCACTCAAAACCCTTGAAGCTGCTGTTTTCAGACGTTGTTACAGGTATAAATTTAGAGAAAGAGAAACTCTGAATACAACTGAAGACTTAATGCACATGTTCTCCCCATCTCATTTATCAGGTCCAGAAGATGTACACTTTATCAAGACCTGACAGCTATTTCTAGACTTTTTAGACTTTGTTTGGATGTTAAACCACATTAATGGTTGTGATGGATCAGGAAGGCATATATAATGGATGGATGATGTCAAGGAAAAGGTGTCAAAATGAGTCTTTATGTTTGAACAGTCATGATCCATCCTCACCTGTCCCTTTGAGTACGCCTCCTGACGCAGACACGTGACCTGAGCTGGAGTGACTGAGACGGAGGACTTATCACAGGCCAGAGGGTAACAGCTCAGAGGAACTCCAGCCTCTGGAGGAGACTCCACAGCCAGACTCACCAGGTCCAGGAACGGATGGCCTGTAGGGAAGAAAAGAAAAACATGTTTTACATTCCTTAACTTTTTCTCTCAAAAGCCTCCTGTGGACAAGTGTTGAGAATTAGCAAGTGTGCTGAAACACTTGAACAACACATCCGCTTCGTCCAATGTGATTGTCATCCATCCATCGATTTTCCTTGTATATCCGAGGTTGTGGCAGCAGGCGCAGTAAGTCAACCTGGACTTTCCTCTCCCCAGCAACTTTTTTCCAGCTCCTCCTTGGGGATCCCAAGTGTTCCCAGGCCAGACGGGATAATAAATCCCTCCAGCGTATTCTGGGTCTGCACCGGGGTCTCCTTCATCCCAGTTTGGCATGCCTGGAAAACCTCCAAAGGGAGGCGTCCAGGAGGCATCCTTAACAGATGCCTAAACCATCTCAACTGGCTCCTTTCAATGTGAAGGAGCAGCGGCTCTACTCCAAGCTCCTCACCCTCTCTCTCAGGCTGAGCCCAGACACCCTCTGGAGGAAACTCATTTCGGCCTCTTGTGTCCGCGATCTTATTCTTATGATTGTGATGTCCATGGCAAATGAAAAAAAAAAATCTATCTATCTTCCTTTGATTGGCATGTCGCTAGCACAACAACCTGCAAGGATAGTGACAACACTGCATCTCCTCCTTTTGATCCAGCTCAAGTCACTTCTGATTCCAAAAAAAACACAGACGACAACAGCTGATTGGCTTCAGAAGAAGGGTTCAGAGCCACATCGGTGCTGTCACAGGTGGATAAAATCCCCTCTTTATGCAGTTTAAAATAATGAAACAACAAAGCGAGAACAATTTGTGTGTCGACCTGGTTTGCAGTAGGGGATAAAGATGGATTCTCACCCTCAGCGTCTATGAGCCTGTAGACAGCTTTCCTCCCCGGGACGGTGCTTTTCTCTGGGTCCTCGCTGATCTTCATCCTGGGATTCCCCCTCACCTCCACCAGCTGTGTCACAGAGACAAATGTTCTCCATGAAAATGTTGAAAAATAACTGGTAGAAGACATAAGTTTGAGATCTGCATTGAACACTTTACCTTATACACACATCCCAGTGAGGGCTGTTTGGTGCAGGTGACTAAATGTGTTCCAACACCGACCGTGCTGATCTCATTCTCCTGAAATGATCACATACAGAACAATCAGAGGTAAACGCTTTGAGGTCACACAACATCGACCAAGAGTAGAGCTGTCTATTGAAAGCGTCTTAAATTTAGATTTGATACAAGTCAAGATCAAACCAGATCCATACCTGTTTAAATAGAAGTCCACATATTGGGTAATGTCATGTTTTTATTTACCAAAAGATGCACACAAACTCCTGAACTCTGTCTTAATTGGACAAATACGTTGACACCGTCCTAGTTGCAAAATTTTGGTTATGAAACGTTGCTGACCTTTAGTGCAATTTAAAAAGTGAATTGTCACTTTTTTCACAAAAGTAGATGTTATTGGTCCCAACGATGGTGAGTGAATCAAAGGCGGGGATTGAGAAACTGCAAAGATGAAGAAAAAAAAGATTCAGAGTGAACAAATATAAAATCAGTCGTCATGAGGAGTGTGATATATTCTCATTCTCATTCTGCAAAGATGAAGAAAAAAAAGATTCAGAGTGAACAAATACACAATCAGTCGTCATGAGAGTGTGATATATTCTCATTCTCATTCTCTAAGTGACGCACACACACACACACACACACACACACACACACACACACACACACACACACACACACACACACACACACACACACACACACACACACACACACACACACACACACACACACACACACACACACACACACACACACACACACACACACACACACACACACACACACACACGCGGCAGCTCACTCACTGCTCGCTGCAGAGTCTGAAGCCACGACGGACATCCACCGACTGCCTGCAGAGGTCGCCGCTGTCCAGACGAACGCCGACAGGCTGGTAGCCCAGCTCACACAGAGCCAAGCCCACGGCACAGAAGTTCAATAGACCACTGCTGAGATGAGACACAGACACCGGGATGAGTCAGTAGATCACCTACAAAATGATGATTCTCAAGTATTTTACAAATGATTCTAAACAGATGAATTATTGAAAAGATTTTAGACAACAAAGTACTCGGACCTGGAATCAATACCACAGCACTGACACACTCCTGAAGTCAATGCCCTGAATTTACTAAAGGGGCAATATGTAACTCTGACACCTAGTGTTTAAAATGGGTACTGCAGTCCAAATTCAAAACATTGTGGAGAGCTGTCTCCTCCCGCCCCATCCTCTCTAGAGTCGATGTTCACACAGGTTGCCATGTGGTGGACACTGAAGCTTCAGTGTTTATCCAGCTCTGAATCGGTCTGTAAATCTTTCTGTGTTCTAACCTCTCTCCATTTTTCAAAAGCATCTCCAATATTGATCCTAGTTTGAGCACGTTTCTGCTCATGGAGATATTAGAAACATGCAGAGGCTTTTTAGGTCGGGTACAATCACTTCTATCTGAACCAGTTCTCTTGCCCGCTTCCATCACTGCAACACCTGTTGGTTTGACCTGATAACTGCTCTCATATCTGGCAAACCGAGGGGCGTCCAAAACGGCCGTGTTTGGGGTGACTTTAAACCGCCTACCTTCTCTGGTCCAAACAAATCCAGATCATTCAGGACCAGAATCTAAAGTTAGAAGGAGGACATACTGGCTGCTGCATTGTTGTCAGAGAAGCCAGCACTTCAACATAGCATGTTGCCTTAATGTCTGATCATATAGTAAGATTGCTTTATCATTTCGGTCACTAAAAACCTACAGATTGGACCTTTAAATGACCTATAATACAACCAAAGCAGAAAAAGGTTTCTACAGAAATCAACCTTTTTATTGCAATATTTTCTAGAAGACCCCGTCCTTTTTCTTGGTTTAGCTCTACCTTAAAGCAGCCACATGTCATCACATCAATATTTACCAGCCGACACTGTAGCTGTCGATCACAGGGAGGAAGTTCTGAGGGTAGGCGATGGCGTAGGACAAAAACGCAGCCAACTCGCCCTCACGGATCTTTCCAGGCTGCGCTTCCAGAAGCTCGCACACGCGACTCAACCAGCCCTTCGTCAGTGAGATGATGTCCACCGGATCGGGGTCCCCGTTCGCTGCCACAAGAGTCTGAGCAGAAACATACAGACATGTGACTGTGATTTCATCTCAGTTTTTTTAGTATGAAAGATCTGATCAGAGGAGACAGGAATAGGAACTCCTTCAACAGTAAAGTTTTATATCACTGTAGTCTTTCACACTGTCAAATCCACTGTTAACAAAAAGGCCCCTTGACTTTTCTCTCAAGTCTGTCCCAAACTTTGGTACACTTGGCACCCCAACAGAAGGGTAGCAAAAAGCAGGACGGTCCGGAACGGTTATTTTGGTTCCTTCCCAACTTGTGGAACCGTCATTAAATGTGTACAGAACAGACTCCGGACCGCTTGGTGGAAACGGGGTTGTTTACTCACTTGTGGCCAGACCTCCTCCAGGGAGGTGAAAGAGGTGACAAATGAGTGCGCCATGGTCCCTGCAACAGGGATCCCAAACAGGAAACCAGCCTGAACGTTACTGGTTAGATCAAACCCTGCAGGATAGATTATCAGAGTCAGTCTTTTTGTCGACATTATTAGATCAGCTGGTTTCATTATTTATAAACGTGCAAAAAAACTGAAAGGAATGAAGTGAAAAGCTCAACAGGAATATCTGAGGGACAGACAGAATTCACCTCCGATGTATGTGTACCGTGAGGCGGTCAGACCTCCATCTGGTCCCTGAGCCCTCCTGAGGCCCATCTCAAGCAGCTTCCTCTTGGGGCCGGCTGCCAGGCGGAAGCGGGCAGCGTTACTGCACACCAGACTGAAGGGAGAGAGAGAGAGAGAGAGAGAGAGAGAGAGAGAGAGAGAGAGAGAGAGAGAGAGAGAGAGAGAGAGAGAAGAAGGCAGGACAAGAAACAGACAGCTGTATGTCTTTTTACCAGAACCAAACTTTTACACAGGGTTATAAATGCCAAGCTCCGGCTGGCTGAGTTTGACACCAATGTGAAATATAACTTTTACATGGCTGCACCAGTTTCTCCTCAATTTTACAAAACTTTGATAACCTTGAAAGTAGCTGGAGAGCTGCATGTGTTGATCTCTTCTAAGTTTACAACCATTGTACCTAAAAGTTAAAATGACACACCTGTCCCTGCAATGGAGACACAGAGATCTTCATTAATCCTGCTGATTTACTGCTGTTTAAGGATGTACAGTATGGTGGAGACTCCCTCTGCTGGGGTGGACTAGTACCTACTTTGGACAAGTATAAATTAGTCCCACCTGTGTATGTTTTGAGCGTCTGCTCGAAACTATTTTGGAGGGTTGTTCTTATTTTTGTTCTTCTTCTAAATGTTCCTCATCCTTGGGGAAACTTTCTTGCACTGTTAAGGTGGCTACAGTGAAGACCATCAACCAATATTTATTTGCACAGCGCCAAATCTTATCTCAAGACATTTTTCTCAGAGAGCAGGTCTAGACTGTATTGTTTACAAAGACCCAGCAGAAACCTTTTTTTGCCTACATGTGTTTGTGTGGGTCGTTACCTGGCGTAGTTCACCAGACACAGTAAACTGGTCTCCAGCAGCTGAACCACAGCCAGCGGTCCCGACACCTCCATCAGAGGCACCTGCAGAAATATGACACATGTAGCACAGGTTAGTCCTCCTGACCCCTCGGGTATGTGACCTTTGACCTCCACCCTGACGCCCCTCTGCTCACCCTGGCGAACACCACAGCGCCCTCCGGGACAGAGCGGAGAGTGACAGCAGAGCAGTCCAGCTCCCGCAGGAACTTGAAGAAGGCGGGGTCTGTCACCGGGGGCAGCACGGAGCGCAGGAACTCAACATCTGGATTTGGGGGGGGGGGAACAAAATAAAACAACAGCTGAAACAATGTCAGCGAGAGCAACAGCAGAGGGCATCCTTCATGCTACACACACATGTGGTCTTACACAAGCAGCACATGTCCATGTGTCCCCTCCCCTCACATGTTCTGTCACCACACACACAGACACACACACACACACACACACACACAGACACACAGACACACAGACACACAGACACACAGACACACAGACACACACACACACACACACACACACACACTAAATGAGACAGAGCTAAATCTAATAAACCCCATGTGCTGCTCATCTGATCCAGTGGCTCCAAACAGACTTCAGAGATGTGAAATGTAGACTTTTAGTTTGTGGCTCTCTGATTGCAGCGTCACACAGAAACTCAACATTTTGCTGTTTAGACTTTAAACTACTTTTAAACTTTGCCCTACTGATGGTAGCCTATTTAGATATTACAGACAAGGAAAAAAGTGCTGATTCATCCATCCATTATCTGTACCGCTTTTCCTGATCGGGGTTGCTGGACCAATCCCGGCTGTAATTGGGCGAGAGGCTGGGTACACCCTGGACTGTTCATCAGTCAATCAAAGGGCAGACATACAGAGACAGACAACCAGCCCAACTCACAGTCACACCGGGCACTTGCATGCATATCTTTGGACTTTGGGAGGAAGCCAGAGTACCCGGAGAGAATGCACATGGGACAACATGCAAACTCCACACAGAGAGGCTCCTGTCCAACTGGGATTTGAACCAGGAACCTCCTCACTGTGAGGCTACAGGTTTCTGTTAAGTGCTGTCGTTTAAAAGATAAAAATCTAAGTTATGTTCCTCAGTGATATACTCCCAAGACTTTACATGCAGGTAATACGAGCAGTAACTGAAACATGAATCATTGTACTGTACCGCATGTAAAGCTGTTAAAATTAGCTCCCGCTCCACCAGTCATCCAATCACTTCATACATTCAACCGTCGTAAAATATCGGAGACGCTGACATGTCTTTACAAGTTACTCAGATGTGAAGCACAGTATTTTAACAGTTTTATTTCACAGAAAACAATGCATCAATGGCACCTGATTCTACATTAATGAATCGGTCATAACATGAGATTATAATGACGTTTACTAGAAAGCAGGGCTTCTACTTGCAGAGGCGTGTCCAGAGGGGTGGAATGGGCCCCCCTTTAAAATCGTATTGGCCACCCCAGGTGTCACCCCAAAAAATGCCCAAACCATGATCAGCTGTTTGCCTTGTCAGAGGCGGGACTTGTGTTAAAATGAACTATTCAGGTTGTGTTATTAACATGTCAGCGTGGCACGTTTCCTTTTGTGAGTACCTTCAATTCAGGGACGCTGGAAGTCGATGTTTCAGTTGGGGGTGCTTAGAAAAGTGTTACAGTTATTCTCCCGGCTGCACAAATTTGTGAGTTTACGTCTTTAAACGCACAGTATTGTAAACTCCTCCACCAGGGCGTTCTCAATCAAAACAATAACAAAAGATGATGTGGAGGCTGAAAGGGAAATATGGGAGGTGTCTAATATACACCCCTGCTGATATGGTATGTTGCCATCTCTTGTGTTATTTTCTTTTTTTAAATGCCACCCCTGCATAAGTCAGTGCCCCAGATGGGCCACCCCAGTAGAAAAAAGTCTGGACACGCCCCTTTCTCCTTGTAACGTGCCCCTTTAATATCTTTTTCAAACGTGTAAAAAGCTTTTTTTTTTTTTTTTTTATAGCGCCCATAAGTCATGTCTTTTAAAAACCACTTTTGGTGTGACTCTGTATAACCAAAATCCTGCGTCACACTGACTGAGCGCCTGCGGCTATTTGCACTCAGGGAGAAGTTTAAATGAACTTTCTTGACAGGCATGTGCGCCATGTTTCCAAATGTCCTGTTCCTGACTACACACAAGAGATTAGAGATCAACCTTGTGTGCTAAAGTTCACGGCTAAACGTCAGGCTTCACTGAAATACTTTCATTGAGACCCTCACACGGTCACGTATTGCGCAACCACACTGGTATGCGTAAAAGGAGTTGGGAGGGGAAGGAACGCAAAGTCACGCTGACTTGATAATAATAACAATAATAATAATAATAAAACACAGTCATTCATTAAATCAGTTGACATGCTGCTTTGTAAATAATAACAAAAAGACGCATAAAGTTTGTGACTCCTTCCTCACCTTCGTGTGTGAATCTGAAGCTGCGCAGGAACAGCAGGCAGTCGTGCAGCCCGGCGAACAGCGAGAAGCCGCCGCCGAACGGATTGTCCCTGAAGAAGAGCTCGAACACGGCGGGCTCCTGGTGCCGGCCGGCCCGCCAGTACGCGTACGCCATGGTGAACTGGTACAGGTCCGTGAGCAGCGGAGGGACCCGCTCCCGGATAGACCGCTCCATAGCCCAGCATGTGTTGCTGCTCGGCGCTGCCATGTTATTCAAGCGCTGGTTCCAGGTTCACTGATGCCGAGATCTCTGGGACTTGCAGTTCTCTGAAGTCCCCGCTGGCTCCTTCACCTACAGAAGGCAACAGCAGAGTAGGGGGACTCTACGCATACGCTACACGGGCAGGCAGGCAGGCAGGCAGACAGGCAGGCAGGCAGTGCAAGACTCGACGAGCTGAAAACATCCTGCACCTCCAGTTTCAGAGGGCACGATCAAATAGTTTATCAGGTGACATTTAAATTCATTTAGAGCTACAATAATTTTCAGATACTGTTGCCTTCTCCAGAGGAAGTCCTCCATGTCGCCATGTGATGTCCTGAAAGAGGATCAATGGTACAGAAGTGTTCAAAATGTAACCGTGTGAAAGGCACAGATAAACTAGCAGATAAAGCATGCCACTTGAAATCACAGCAACCAGTCAAATAGTTTCCAGAAGTTTATCACTCAACCGTTTCTGCAAAATGACCACAACACCATGCAAATGATGGGACATGAAATTATACACAGCTTCAAATATAAATACTTACTTAAAGGGAAATATTAAATGCACTTTTTATTTTCATATCAGCACATGACATGGACATGGGTAACATCTGCAGGAGGTCAAGTTTAACCATTTCTTGTCCAAAAATCCAGCACAAACAGAAGAGAAAGATCATCATTTACAATGTTGTTTTATTCAACGAGGATCTCACTGTGAACAATAAGTCGTAGCTTCTCAGATATTTCTCATGAGTTTGTTTTGTTTTAATAAAACACATTTAAACTGCAAAGAAACTCTTCTTGTGTTGTTAAGTTCAAATATGTTTTCTCTAAATATTATTCCATGAACATTAAATACTAACTTATTTAAATGTGTAGTTCCAATGTGAGCACACCAAGTGTACATATTCTCCATATTTAGTTATGATAGGGGCGGCTGTGGCTCAGTGGGTCTTCAAAGCGTGTCCACCCTGTCATCAACATATGGTCGCTTCCTCTTCCAAAAAAAAAAAAGGATGCAGAACTCAGGGGTTGAGAAGGTAGGTTCAAAAAAACAATTGGTAACATCACGGTGGCTACAGGAAGGCTGTGGCTCAGTAGTAGAGTCGGTCGTCTCTTAACTGGAAGGTGGGGGGTTCGATCCCCAGTTCCTGCAGCTACATGTCCGATGTATCCTTTGGCAAGACACTTAACCCCAAGTTCCTCCCGTTGCTTCATCAGTGGCGTGTGAATGGATGAGTTACTTCTGATGGTCACTTTACCCAGCAGCCTCTACCATCAGTGTGTGGATGTGTTGGTGTGACCTGTGGTGTAAAAGCACTCAAGTCCATTAAGCATTCAAGTAGCACAACTCAAAAAATGAGCAAAAAGAGACATGATTTAAAAATATATCAGTATTTATATGTTAAGTTTGTATGACTCAACGTGCCAACTTATCACTCTCTGCTTTTTTCTGCTAAAGCTGCCATCGTTACCTTCATATGTTCAGGATGAGGATGTTAAGATTCAGCATGCATGTGACTTGATGTGATCTTAAACATGAACACACAGCGCCTCAGAGTCTGAACACATGCAAGCTCGCCAACATTAAAGTCATGCTGATAAATAGAAAAAGGTATAGATCTGATTCACTGGAAAGAAAAGAAACCCATCTACAGCATGTTTATCTTTGAGACTTGTGTCCTTAACTTTGCTTTCTTCTCCCGACCTCTCTAAGACCAAAATTGAAATGAGAATCTAAAGAGAAATGATGAGGATCACATGTAGACGTTGCTTTGTTGTTTAAAGTGTCTTAAAGAAGACTGGAAACATCTACAGTAGCCAGTGAAACTGAACACCCTGGACCTTTGGGACAGGCTTTAAACAGCAACAATCATGATGTCACTGTTGAGTCTTCATCTTTTCCTCAGTTCTAAATTCACCTCAGAGCAGGTCTGTCATTATCCCAGCTCTCCTTGTTCTCCATCTGCAGTGGGGAGACTTGCTGCGAGCTCATTGCTCAGCTCGTGCTTCTGTCCTCCCCACAGGAAGTGAGTGGGCTGTTCTGATTGGCCCTGCTCTGAGTCATAAACGAAAAACGGGCTGAGCTCAATGGCCAGCGCCGACCTGACCAGACCGACGCCCCCTCCACGCTCCAAACAGGGGTGGTAAAGTCGTCCGCTCGCAGGATGCATGTAAAGAGCTTCAGGGCGGAACGGCGCGGTCAGCTTCTCCGCCCCGCCGCAGTACGAGAGCAGCTCCTGGTCGGGACTCTGCAGGAGGTGTGTGAAAACCACGGGACGGTCGTCACAGCGCAAGAAGTTCCTCTCCCTGCCGCAAAGGACAGGAAGGGAAAGTCCTCCTGGTAACGACCGCTCTCATTGGAACGCAGCCGACTGAAGAAGAATACCAGGAACTTTTTATCTGGTGAGAATAAGAAGGGATGATAAAATGTTAAAACACATTTATCATGTTGTGGAAAACGTGCACGATCGCTAGTCAGAACCTACTTTGGGAACATTACGACAATATCGTATGATCGGGGGAAAAAAAACCTTTGTCCCCTCGGCTTCTGAAGCTCTCACGAAACTCGCACGTTGACTTTTATTTTGGTTGCTATGGTTACTGATTATGTCCTTCCTCCTTGTATTTACATGTATCCAAAGACCAACTGTGCAAAGCTGTGACGACAAATTTCCCCCTGGGGGACAATAAAGAATTGTATTATTATATTGTATTATTTATCCTGAGAATCTGTCTCTTCTCTGTTTATTTCTCATCATCAACAAATTCACAACAAAAAAAAGTCCAGTCTTTACGATGTCGTGATTATTTGTAGGATATCCCAAGAAATTCACAAATTAATTTACATTTTATCGTAACAAAACAAAGCTGACCTGATGTTTTGAAATATTAAATTAATAAACATACGCAATGAAATGGGACTAAAGGTCAATGTTAGAACCAACATGGCGGTTTATATTTTGCCATTATATTTTCCTGTTTGTGTGTTTTTAAAGCCAATACTCCAGGTGATAGCAGACAGTTGACTGAAAAGAGAGCAAACAGTTTTTCAGCCTGTTAGAGTTAAAGTGATCTTGTGTTTATTGTTTTGTTCCTGGACACACTGGGATGTTGTTTTTGCTGTTAAATGAACAGATTATCTCTTCTGGCTCTTTCATGAGCTGGAGGTTATTTTAGTTCCAGGTAGAGAGTCTTGATCCGGGCAGAGTTAAGAGTTGTTACATGTTTACATTTCTAGTGTTCAATAATCACGTCGTGTTGCGTTGTGTGTTTGTGTGTTGTGTTTTTACCTTTGAAGCAGGTGACAAAGTTCTTCACTTTAGTGTCATCGAGGAAAAGCTGAAAGTGAGGCGCACACCAACATGTCATGTCAGGAGGGTATTTGAGTTCTTATCCAAATATGAAACAAATAACAAAGGTGAACATAAAAAACAGGCAGACAATAAATATTTATATCTAAGAGTGGATAGAAGTAACCTGCAGAAGAAAATGTCAGACCCTAAGTGATTTAATGAACATGTCTGAAAAGGAGTGTGAAGAAGTGAAAACGTATTAAATCCCACCCACTCTTCATTAAAGATCGATTCAGCTTGCTTTCTTTTAAAAATACAATTATTAATTAAGATTATTATATCATGTGAAAATTAAAGTTTATATATATTTAGCTTAATAAAAAATGATATGTTATATATGGGTGTATAAAATATGATTTTTAAAATATGAATGTATGAAAATATAACTTCAGATTACACACATTTCTTCATGGTGTCAGTTGAAATGCCCTCACCTGTCCCTGGTGGTCGATGTAGTAGAAGTACTCCCTGATCCGTGGCTCTGGGCTCTGGCCCTGGATGTATGAAGCGGTGGTTCTGGACGCAGTGTAGCCGGAGGGCAGGCAGCGCAGAGCGGTCACAGCTCTGCAGCAGAGAGCCGCGGTCCGGAGAAACAACATGGCTGAGCAGCGGCACGGAGAACAATGTTCCTGAATAAAGACTGGAACAGAAGGACAGACTAGTGAGTAGCGGGGAGCCTCTACCGTAATACAAAACTACTAACCGGACAGTAACTTTGGGCTCATGTTATTTGTTTACATCAGGGAAGGAACCGGAAGAAGTTGACAGTTGCAGCGCCGTCGGGTTTAAGTGCTGCCGCCTGGTGGACACTGACGGTATGATTCACAACACTGACAAAAACATGACAGTAGCTCTACAACGATTCAATAAACTGCATAAAAGGTCTGAGTGTTCCTCTGTTTGCATTCCAGAAAACCATCTCCATTAATGAGGAAGTTTCAATATATACTGTACATTTTTTTTAGGGAGATTCTGAAATACTCTTTTAATCCCTGAGGGAAATTCTGTTTTACACTCTGTTATGGAGAGACATGCTTCTCACACACATGCCCAAACAGGACCTGTGGACACGCATTAATGGAGAGATGTCAGAGTGGGGGTGCTACACAGGGAGCGGACCATAGCAGTTGTGGCTTCGGTGCCATAGTTTCAATACAGAACATGAAACTGATGTGCTGCACAGAGATTGTATAGCTGTTGCTGACTTCAAACTCCTAGATGTCTTATTTATATGTTAATTTCATGTCAATGCACATTTGTTGGTGCTGTTGTTTTTAAATGCACATCTTTTGCACATTAACTTGTACTTTTGTATATCTGTTATTTTGTCCTTAAATTTGGTATTTTTGTATTATATTTTTTAAAATCTTATTATACTTTGCTTGCACCGTGGTTTGGAGAAAAAGGTTGGGAAAAAAATGACAATAAAGATGACTTTGATGGCAAAACTATAACATCTCAATCTGGACTTGCTGTTGGCCGACTTGTTCCAGGTAGTTCCTGGTTGCCTAGAAGGTCATAGACCTTAGGGCTTGGCAATTGAACGAGTTATAATTTAGATTTTGGGTTCCCACGATCAAGAAAACAAGAGAATTGAAATTCAACGATTACAGTGCTGCATGTCGTGTTGTGCATGTTTTGTCTTAAGGTTTGTCATGTGTGTTAAATGTTTCAAAGTGTTTGTTGTTATATTTTGGCCACAGGATTACATCAAGACTACCCCAAAAACATAGTACATTTATTTGTTATTATTATATATTATTGTTGTAAATAATATCAATCAAAAATAGATTAGAATAGAAAAAAAATAGACAAAAAATAATTGTAACTAGGATTCTGGATAATTGAGCAGCCCTAACAGACCTTCAGCTTATCTTAATGTACTGCTATAAAGAATTTGAGCAGCCTACATATCGTATGATAACCAGGAATGTGTGACAGTGAATCCCAAACAGATAGAAACAGTGTTGAGGGAACACAACGGAGCTTTTCAGTGAGCTGCATGTTAATATCTTGGCTGATAATAGAGGCACATAAACATCTACATTCCTCTGCTATAACACAGCAACAGACAGACAGACAGGCTGACAGACAGACAGGCTGACAGACAGGCTGACAGACAGACAGACAGACAGACAGTCCTCTGGGTCTGCTCGTCTTGAAAGGTTAACACCCCCTTAAACAACAGGAGTATAAACAGAGGCTTCTTTGGCCTCACAGATGAGAATAACAACACAAAGCGTCTGATTCAGACGAGCTGCTAATGACTTCATCCAGAAACATCAAAACGCTTTAATAAACTCTTAAACACCTGAAGCTCCAGTTGTGACCCACATCCACCTGAACGCGTCTCTTCCGCCTTCCTCCTCCTTCAGATAGGGTGGAGCTGTTTACACCTGGACTCTGCAACGCAACGAAGTGGAGAGCGATTCGAGGACTCAATAATGGCCTTATAGACAAACTTTGGTAGTTTTCATCGATTTTATATTCACGGTAAGCTCATCTTTGACTCTTTCCGGTCGAAACGACACTGCGCATGTCATAAAAACGACAGCAAGACAAACGTTTTGGGCTAAAGTTAGCTTCTTTCACCTGCTTGTAAACCTATGGCTACTCTTTTTGACTCTTACAATCTGTTTAAAAACTGCTCCAAGCTCTTTGACACAAAGTTTAAAAAGCATATTTGATGAAAAATATGCCCTTTTAGTGTGATTTCCATCATAAAATACTCTTAAGAAGTTTGATATTTGGACTCAATTCTACTTTTAACGTTTTGACGTTCTGACGTAATCTTACGTCAACGGCAGTTATTCCCCTCTAGGAAGCCCAGTTTGTCTCTCTGTTATTTAAACATTAATGTTAAAATTAAATTAGATAATGTGCGTTATTTTAAGATTCTGTATCAAATTATAGTTTCTAGATTGATTGGGACAATTTTTATATTTCGTTCAAAGGACGTTTTTTTGTGTGCCTAGGGTGACGTAAGGTGACGTAAGGTGACGTTATGAGCCAGCCGCCCCGTTCAAACCGGGTACACCGGGAGAGAAATGGAGACCACCGAAACTACCGGGACTCACACGGTGACAGACCTTCATCATCCGACAGGTTTGTAGTTAATGTAGGCTCTTAATACTGGAATTTTTATTTTATTTTATTTTTTAATTAATTTAGTCAACTGGTGGTTGTTTGAAATAATAAAAAAATAAAAAAACATTTTAACAGCCTGACACAGTCCTTAGGGGTTTATGTGAAGCAATATTTTCTCAGGACAAAGTAACTCTAGGTCAATGTTTGTGATTAACCATCTTAAATGTTTATGTCTCAATGAGAGATAGATAGATATACTTTATTGTCTGTCCCAACAGAGACAGAAATTCTCCTTCGACAAGGCTCGAACAATAAACACAACTTACATTAAAAACAGAAAGTGCAGTACATTAAAAGAGGACTTCAAACAACAGTTTCTAAAAAGGGGGGTCTATTTGATTTTGTTCAGAATGGTTATTGCAGAGGGAATGATTTTTTGTAGATGTTTTTCCGGGCCAGAGGGACTTTGTAGCGTCTGCCTGATGGCAGTAACTGGAAGGAGTGGTGGAGGGGGTGAGAGGGGTCATCGGTGATCAGGGTGGCTCTCCTGATCACAGAGCGATTATACAGTTTGGAGAGGGTAGTTTGTGGTGAACCGATCATTTTGCTGGCCTGATTAACGATGCGGGAGACTTTGGTTTTGTGTTTGGTGGTGAGGGAGTTGTACCAGGATGAGATGTTAAAAGTGAGGATGGATTCACTAAGTGATTGGTATACCAGAGTTAAAATATGTTTGCTGACATTAAAAGTCATTAGTTTCCTCATCAGGTGGAGTCTCTGTTGTGATTTTTTGTAGACAGAGTCAGCATGCTGTGAAAAGGAGAGACAGGTGTCAATCTCTGTTCCCAGTTATTTAGAAGAAAGAACCTGCTCTACAAGCTGACCCTGGATTGTGAGTGGTTGGAAGAGAGGTGATGGTGATTTTCCCCTGCCCCCACAGCACACCTTATTAGTCTTTGTAATGTTGAGCTCCAGTGAGTCTTCTCCAATTGTCTGGACCAGGTTGTTTACTGCCTGCTGGTATTGAGTCAGGGCAGTGGTGTCAGACAGTTGGGCAACCAGGGCCATGTCGTCTGCATACTTAAAAAGTGTCATTCCTTCACTGTTGCAGGAGATGTTGTTTGTGGTAAACAGAGAAAGGAATGGGAGATAAAACACAACCCTGGGGAAGACCTGTGTTTGAAACCAATTTACTGGAATCACAACCATTTAAAAACACCTGTTGTGGTCTTTCATGTAAAAAACTCTTAATCCATGAAACCAGTGTGGGGTGGACATTAAGGTCCATAGGGACCTCAGTGTCTTTTTTGGGTGATTTTTCACCCTTCTATCCCTCTCCTTCAAGGGACTCTTTTGTCATCGATTTTTCTTTTTTAACTGCTTCAATATTTATGCATCAGATTAAACAATGGCATGGGGGTTTCACCATTTTTTTTATTAGCAATGTAATACCCCCCCCATAACAAACAAACAAACACCACAATAACCAATAACTATTCCTATATGCTGTTGTGCATGAAATAAAACAGCATTTGGAACGATTACTTGCGACAGTAGCTCCATACATGCTTTTTAACAGCCCAAAATAAGATTGAACTGTTTTTATTTAACTTCCCACGTGTCATGCATTATGTTTTTTGTGTTCCAGGTCTTCCTCTCGACCCCCGTACTACCCAAGAGAAGCTGACTCCCCTCCAAAGCATCAAGGTCGGGACGTCCCTCGAGTGGAGCACCATGACTCCCAATGCACAAACATTTGCTCTCGGAGAGGTGAGTCCTGATCGGAGTAAAATAATCAAACGACATCTCTTCCTGTATGAGCAGCTGAGTCACAGTTTCAGTCTCACTGCAGCTTAGTTCTTCCTTCTGTGAATACTGGACGGACCGGTTCTCTGGGGGCTACACGCCTCCTTTCTCACAGTCTGGCAGGGCAACACTGCCTTTTGATAAATGAGCCATGTTGAGGTTTAATCTAATGTACCTATAGCTGTAAAATAGGCCATAGTCTAAACGTTAATAACATGGCATGATGTGTAGAGCTCAACGTGTTGGTCAGAACACAAAAAAAACAACACTTTTCATGTTCAGTTAATCATTTGAGTAATTTATCGAGCATAAGAGCCTGTGCATGTTTTATTTTCAGCTTCAGATCTCAGGATTTTTTTTTTTCAGTTTCATCGCATTTCTTGTGTAATATATTTGGGTTTTGTTGTGAGGTTAGACAAAACACGATACTAAGAAACACGACCTTGGGCTCTGGTAACTTGTGATAAACATCCTAGCTGTTGTTTAACATTTTGTGACTCTAAATTAATATATTTAAGGCAGGGCGGTCAAAGGATTACATCTTCAATCGTGCGATTACATTTGGATTCAGGTCAAAGATTCAGTCATGCTTCCTCAGACTTTCATCCTGTTTAACGTTGTTTTTCCTCACTTGCTTCACGTGTCGACCCCCGTAGGCATCGTGCTGATCTGTGCTGTTCTGACCAACGCCCTGGTGCTGATCTGCGTGGTTGCGGCTCAGATGGTGACATCAGGCTTGTCCGCCATGGGCGGGCTCGGTGGCTTCGACATCAACTCCAACTTCAACCTGCAGGGCACGGAGCTGCAGAAGGCACGAGATCTAGACATGCAGTACAGCCAGATGAGGGCGCCTGGCATCTACGGCGGCATTGCCTTCAGCCTGACGTTTGGCGTCCTCTCCTTGCTGTTTGTGGTCGCCGGGAACAAACCGGCCCATGTGATGTCCAAAAAGCTTCTGTACGGATCTCTGGTGTTTCAGGCGGTGGGTGCGGTGATGTATGTGGTGGCTGTGGGGCTCTACCTGCACTTCATCATCAGGGTAAACTCTACAGATGTTTGTCAGCAGCGCGAGAGGCTGTACTCACGCGGCGGCTACACCTGGATGAACTGTGATGTAAGCGGGGCGGACGCAGCCGTGGCGCTGTTTGGACTCATCACCGCCATCCTGTACATCGCCGGCACGGTGTTCACCGTCCAGACGATCAGAGGAGTGAAGCGTTATCATCAGGAGCGGAAACGCAGAGAGGTGGAGAGGCAGCAAGCCAGAGCCAACCCTCAGAGAGCGCCACTGAGGGCGGAAACCACCGCCGTGTGAGGGGCCTTAAAGCGCACAACCAGAGAGCCTGTATGACAAAAAACACGAGAGTGTTAACCAGCTGTCTCTGGACCTGACGGATGTCGTCTGGTATCATGAAGCCAGCTCATTTGAAAAGATTACGCACGGCTAACCTGCTCGGATTCTGATCAGAGCATCGTGAGCAGAAGTTTACAACAATGTGAATATAAACTAATCAAGTGAAGTTTTACATTACTTTAATCTCTAACTCTAATCCATAAGAGAAGCCTTTGTTTTTACTGTAGCATAGAGGGTAGGTGCATTTAGATATATGTTTTATTTGTTAAAGTCACTCAGGACGGAACGCATCCTAATCAGGTGCCCAGACAACCTCACCTGGTACCTTTTATTTTAAAGCAGCCGGGACAAAATTCTACCTGCCCATTGGAAGTCTGAAACAGGCAGATCATCAAGCCTTTTTAATATATATGTATATATAGTATATGCAATCCTGAAAATTTCAGGACAGTCTACCCCGTGAAATCTTCCTGACTTGCTTGGAGGAGGAAGGACATTTCACAGAAAGGGTGGATGAAGAAACGGCACCCAAAGCTATAATTAAAGATTTTACCTTGATATCGGTCCTGAATGTATTCACAGTACCAACAAATCTGCGGTTAAGGACATTCATGAGAGCAGAACAGAGTATGAAGTCTTGTGATGTAAACTTCATCAAAGGGAATTTCCTGAACACTTCCTGCTACATTCCCACATGGACTCACCCTGGCTTCATGCAGACCTCTTACTGGGGGCGTGCAGGACAAACTGCAGGTAAAGTCTGGGTGAAACAATCAACTGTTTGAGTTCAAATGTACTAGTGGAAAAAATCTAAACTGATAGGAGACCCTGAGATTGAACCAGAACCCTCTGGAGGGGTTAAATGTCTCATCCTGCCTGTGTACGCTTTATTATATACCAGATGTCTAAACCTCATAAAATAATAACAGGATTCTTTGATTGCATTTCCACCGATGCATTCTGTCTTTTTGTTTTCCTGCATGCAGTCAAAGCGTGCTCGAGTGTGATTATTTGATATCACTTGAACTAAAAACAGACGAAACACACTTCCAGTATCAACAGATACTAGAACAGGCAGAATCTGTTTAAAGACACAAGGACACTGTAGATGCAATCTAATAACCACAAAAGGGCCACTGGAGGGAACTTGAAAGAATTTCCAAAAGAAATAATGTCAGTTGTAGAATACGTTTTAGAGATGCACCAATCCACTTTTTCAGTTCCTATCCGATTCTGATACTGATTCAGATATTTTTATTATCATAACTAATAGTTTTATTGTTGTTGTCGGTAGTATATGTGAGGCTGGCTTCACATACAAACAGGAAGCAGCAACAACTGTCAGGTTTTTCAAACTCAACCTTTTAAACTGAAGTGTAAGAATTGGACTTTTTTAACATACAGAAGGAGCGTTTCCATCTGGTCTGATCGTCGTCATGGAGATGATTATGTGGACACTTCTTTACAGTTCAGGCTGAACGTCTTCAGATTGAGCTGAGGATGTTTAAAGAGCCCAACCGTTGATTTTGATCTGCCACATTAGGTTAGGGTTCCTGATTCCCTGTTCACCTGTGACTCCTTTACTCGCTGCCTGTGGCTGTGGTTACCGTCTATGCTCGGGTGTGCAGGTGACGTAGCGGCGGAACGGAAGCAATGTTTACCTGACGTACCACACACACACAATACGTGTGAGAATCTCTCTGTGGAGTTTCAGGAGCTCTGTGATATGTCCCGATTGAACGTAAGATAAACATTTTTGAACAACCGTGTCTCCAGGCACTCCAACACTGACACCCCAATAAATGATCCTCCCTTGACTCTGGTTCATCAGTGCCCAGCGGATCAAAGGAAGCCAGGTTAAGGTGTAACTGGCTCTGTGATTCAGACCTTTATTTTTTTGTAAGTGAATGTTTGTGTGTTCAGAGATGTTTTTTTGAATGTGTGTGATTAATGTGTTTTTATATCAACATGTGTCTTTATAAAATGTTCATGATTTTATCTGTTCACATTAAACCTTATCATGATGATTCTACTCGAGCCCTCTCTGTTTTTGATTGGAGAACAAATACAGCCTGTAGGGGGCAGCAGAGCTCCGTCCTGCTGTTTGTGTCCGCTCTCTGTCCCCACCACTGACCGGAGGCTTCCTGCCAGCTATGACATCACTCCTCTGTGTCCCCTCTCTGTGCTGTCACACAAAGGGCCCCTCACACACAAAGCACACAGCAGTGATGTAACTGTGGGACCCTTCAGTCAAGACTTAATTACCAACAAAAGAAATCCTCCGCAGTGAGGTAATTACCCGAGTTCTAATTTTACCTTTTTTTTTTTTTGGGACAACACAAGGCCGTGATTGTATCGCTGCTGCACAAACAAGACGACGTGACAGCAGCCATGAGAAATGCAACGTTCATACTGTGCTCTTCTACACTCCCGAGTTTAAGTTCTTAAAGAGACAGTACGTCCTAAATAAAAAGACGGATATAGTCCAGAGCACCATCCTGATACAGAGTTAGGTTCCTAGAAGAGAATTGCAGCTAACTTAATATTACCAAGGAAACCAGTTTCATACAAACTTTGCTTTTTTATTTGTTGAGATGATGAAATGGAGTTCAGAGGGTTTGCAGCGATGGTCGGACACATAAAGCGATTTCAATGCATCAATTTGAGCTTCAAGAAACAACAACTTCATTTTAAACAAGAGGATGCATCGGTTCAACATCGGTTATCAGATGATCGCTAACAATGTGGCAGGAGACGATGTCAGTAGCCAGGGGCTATTTTTGTGGCTTTTTGTGCCTTTAATGAGGGATAGGACACTGGATAGAGCTGGAAATCAGGGAGGCAGAGAGTGGGGAATGACATGCAGGAAAGGAGCCACAGGCTGGATTCGAACCTGGGCCGCCCGCGTTGAGGACCACAGCCTCCATACATGGGATTTTGTATGATGCAGGGACAACTATTTATTGCGGGGCTATCAGTTGCCTAGTGGTTAGTTAGTGCGTGCGTCCTATGTACCCAGGCTACTGTCCTCCAAGCAGGCGGCCCTGGTTCAAGTCCGACTTGTGGCTTCTTTCCTGCTCCCCACTCGTCACTCCCCATTCTCCCCCCCTCCCCTCTCCCTGATTTCAGACTCTATCACCTGTCCTGTCTCTAAATAATAAAGGCAGAAAATGCCCAAAGAACATATTTTTTTCTTTCAAATTATGAGGTCACATTTTTTTTTCATCCTGTAGTTTCTCTAATCAGCGTTCAGAACTATGAGGAGGTAATTTAACTGTGCATTGCATAAAACAACATCACTAACATGTTACCTACTCCACATAGACCGTTAGTATCTAAGAAAGAAGTCAAATCTGCCGAGTATGTAATGAGGATTCTGAAAAACACTCCGATGTCACAAATTTCACTGAAAATAAAAAACAAGAGTGGGTTATAAGAGCAGGCCCAGAAGGCAGAATAAACCAAGTGGAGCATGATGTCCACTAACCTGGACATCACAGGGTTAGTAGAGCAGGCGTGTGCCCGAGCCTGTCTCATTGTCTTTCAGTTTTACCCTCCTCTGATGCACCTGTCATACACTCAGGTGTGCAGATTCTTTTTAACATTTGAATCGTAAGAGGGATCTTTTTAGATCTCTGGTTTGCAGAAAATTAAAAATTCTATATTTACTTCTTGTTGACATTCTCTCCTCTTCCTTCTGCCACTTTGAACTGAGGATGTTAATCCTCAAACAAGAGAGATGCTCACTGAATAATCGAATGTGAAGAGTCCAAACTTTAGCTTTTTAGGAATTAGAATTATATGGTAAAAACTTCTGATTGGGTTCCAAATATCTGCACACACTCAGTGACATGATGCATGAAATGGTTAAAGACAATGTGAGTTATTGGACTTGAGCAGTTTCAATAGATTAAAAAAGTTAATGGCGTCCTTGTAAAAAAAGAAAAACCAGCCAGTTTGCTCTGGTCCCTCGATCTTAATGCTGCCGTTTGTCTTATGTTTCAAATGTCTTGAGACACACAGACTGAAGTCCACTGACCTCCAACCTGTTTGTAGAAGTTTTAGCAGCACATATCTTTAACTCTTAAAGATTAAACTAAACAACATCAATAATGAAAGAACCTGAATCGCTTGATACAAGACATGAGAAACTTTCCTTTTTCATCACTTTTGTAGGCTGTAAGCTGAGACGTATCCCCCCCCCTAACCAAAGAACAAACAGTCGACATGTTGTGCTTATCTGGAAACTTTCATTTATTATATAGCAAAAGTAGTTCTCTTGTGCGAATCTGTAACACTGATCTGAGAACATTCATTGAGCTGGTAACAAGTGTACGACCTCCCCGACCGTTCAGCATCATCTCACCACTGCAGCACCACTCTGAACTCTGCACAACCCCGGAAAACACAAACCTGGAATATCAGCCTTGTGAAATAATCGTCTTTTCTCTCAGAGAACATTAGTACGTTTCAGTGACTAGGTCACTTTAAAGTATTAAACTCCTAGGAGTTAGTGTAACAGTCTTAACTAACTCAGACAACTGTAAGGCTGTCAGCCACGACAAACTTCTGCTACAACACAAAAACAGAATATCTTAAAGTACCGTTTAACATAAAATTAATCTCATACGTCTAATAAAAAGCATTCAAAGTGCTTTGCAAAAATTAAAGATATGGTAAAAATCTGAAACGTGATGATTTGATCAACATAAAGGGTAATAAAAAATTGCATTGCGTTTCGAGGGGCATAGAGTGAACAGTAGAAAACAAAGGAAATAACAAAACAGTCTCTGGTCCAGAAGCATGTTCAGAATACTCTGAGGTTATTTGGAGGAAGCAGTCTAAACAGTCTTATTCCACAGTCGTCCCACCCTGAAAATCAGTGAAATCTGATCCCTGGATGAGCAGCTGTGGTGGTAAAGGAGGCGGGGGCAGACTTTAGAGCGGTGTGATGAAGTAGTCTGCAGGTTTCTGGTAGCCGTGTGCTTGCTGGTTGTGTGTTTGAATCTGTTCCTGCTGCTGCTGCTGCTGCTGCTGCTGCTGCTGCTGGATGATCTGCCGGACTTCCTCCTCCAGCTCTGGCGGGATGATGAGCTGGTCGTCAGGGTCCGGCTGAGCAGGAGCGTTAAAGTAGCCCCCCTGTTTTCTGACAGGGGCATCGCCTGCCTCCTCTATGAGGTCCTGATTTCTTGCTTGGCAGGCGACGGAGCCGTTAGCTCGAGCGCGGCGGCCCAGACTCCCTGACAGAACCTCCCTGCCCAGGCATGGCGAGGAAGGGGGGACTGGGGAGGGGGACGGGGACTGGGAGGGGAAGGGAAGAGGTGAGGGCTCATGATGCATGGCAGCAGCTGGTGGGGTGTGTGTGCAGGGTTGAGTGTGCGTTTGGGGTGCTGGGATGTCTTGGCGGCGCAGACAGTGGACGTCAGCTTCCACCTCTACACGGCTGCCATTAGAGAAAACGCCGGCAATTGGCTCCTCGTCCTCGCTGTCAACGCCATTGTCAGAAAGAGCCCCAGAGAACTGTCTCTGGAAGTTTCCTCCTCCACAGGTTGGCCTTCGCACATCCGCTCGCCCCCCTGGCAGGTTCAAGTGAGATGTCAGGGGCTCGGTCTGAGGCGGCGGCTCCTCTGAAGACGCCGTGGATCCCACCTCGCTGCTCATCTCGGACGTGCTGAACTCGCTGCTTAGCTCACTCACTGTTCCGGAGGAGGCGGGAGGCAGCGGTATGCCTCCATCACTACCCCCAGAGTATGGATGTGTGCTGGTGTGCGCGCCCAGGCCGGGGCTGGGGGGCGGAGGAGGGGGCTCGCAGAAACAGCAGCAGTCCTCTGTGATGCTGAGCTGGACGACCACAGCGCTGAGGCTGTCGGAGCAGCCGTAACTCTGAGCCAGAGTCACCAGCTTCTTAGCAGCAGCCAGAGCGTCTGGAACATTCCTGACCGCCTCCACCGCCTCACTGGGAGACAACATCTCCCATAATCCTCGGCTTCCCAGGAGAAAGAACTCGTCCTGTGGCGTTAGGGTTACCGTGGAGACATGGGGTCTGGGTGTCACAGACGGGCACAGGAAGGAGAAACCCATGATCCTGGTGGAGTCGGTCACACCGCTGACTTTGTTGTCCTGCAGAGGAAGAGAACATTGTGTCGTTTTTTAGGAAAAACTACAAACATACATATCAAGGCTGCAACTAGACAAGTGACAGAACATCCAAGGAAATCTTAAATGTCCACTGGTTTGTGGTAACCGACATAGACTGTGTATGAAAAGCGGACAGAGCCTCTTATTTTCAAATATGAAGCCAATGCAGGGGTGTCATAAACTTCTAATATTTCTAACGTCCAGCAGGGGGCGACAGCAACAGCTCCAGAAAGAGTTTAGATTTTATTTGTGTCTTGTGACAATCTGCTTACTTCAAGGCTGATTTTTTTTTTTTTACATTTTACAAACAACTTTATTGTCTCAATCCTTATTTGAAAGTGTTCCTTCAAACAGAAAGATGGTCATGAGGAAGATTTTGGTTCCATTTGAGTGAAATAAAGCAAGACATGCTTCAGGGTTGGCTGCCTGACTTCTTTACTTTCTTTTGATCAACTAACTTCTGCTTCAGTGCTCACAAAAACTACCTCCAAACTTCACATGAATATGAGTGAGCAAGCTCTCCATTTACCTCGGTGATGATGGCGTTGTGCTGTCGGACCCTCTGATACTCCGGCTCCTCTTTCACAGTGTGCGTGGTGGAGAGTTGAACCGCTTTGCCATCGCGGCACAAAACCGCATGGCACCTGCCGACATTAGCAGCTTTCAGGGTGAAGCAGCCGCCGTGCTCGCCGGGAGCCACCGGGTCGTGTCTGATGTGACACAAAGCAGCAGAGCCGCCCATCCGCTGGCCTGCTGTGCCCAGCTTTCTGCAGGAGACACACAGAGACACTGGCTTAAAGAAGGTCTGATCTCAGTCTGGAGAGCTCAGCTGTGATGTACTCACTTCTTAGAGACTCACATAACGTGTAGGTGTGTGTGTTTTTACCTTTGCATGGTGAGAAAAGTGTTGGTCATGTAGTCTTCCTGTCTCTGGCCCCTGTGGAGCTCCTCCGCTAGCACATCTCCCATGGTGCACTGCAGCAGGTAAGGCACCTCTACGTTCCTGTCTCCGTCAAAGACTCCGTACAGAGCCTCACGAATCCCACAGAAGCTGTCCAGTGCCAGAGCAGCCACACACAGCCTGAGAACAACAACAACAAGGACAGGTTAGAGATGTATTATTATTCTGTCCAGAGACATGTAGAAACATCCCTGATTCTTCAGCTCTGAGCGGGCAGCCCTGTAGTTTAGTGTTTATTCTGAGAGCACTTTGTACTCATGCTTCTGAGAGGAACTAAAGAACCAGCTCGGTCTTTTCAATGTGTTCTTACAGACAATAAAATAACGTAGTCAGGTGAATAGAGGACTAGAAACAGGCAGTGTGTGGTGAGGACTGACTTGTTTTTGACTCCAGAGGCCTCGGTGTAGCCGTGGCTCCAGACTGCAGGGGACCCGTGGCTCTCACTCACACACGGAGCTGAGGGTGACGGATCCACCCTGAAACATCTGATATTACTGCAGAGAGAGGAAAAATATAAATAGATCAGACGGCTGGTTTTGTAGGTCAAACACATCCCCAGTTAGATCACCACTATTGCAGCATCTTTCAGGACTCGTACTTGAGGAGCTCCAGGCTCTTGTGGTCCAGGTTCAGGCGAGGGTTTCCTGTGAGGTCCAGCTCCTGAAGCTTGGGAGGAAGAGCCTCAGGCAGAGTGACCTCGGTCAGCTCGTTGCAGCTCAGGTCGACACACTGAGGAAGCGAAAGATTAAGAAAAAGACAGACGGAGACAGAGGTCAGTTCACATGAGACAAAATCTCTGGGTGCTTTTCAGCCTGATTTCTTTATAAGCGCACTGCTACAAAGAGAATTCTAGCCTCCATACAATTTAAACTATGTGACACTTTAAACAGCATAATAATGAATATGAATAATAAAAATTTTAGATAAATTTACCCTCCACCAACAGATTATTTCAACTGAAAATGTTGCACTTCAAAATGAGCTTCACCATTTAAAGGAAGAACGTGCGACTTGTTGATCCAGTAGATGTCGCCCATGAGCACCAGCATAAACCAAAACAAACTGCTGTTTGGCCACAACTCCTCTATTCTCAATCCTCCGCTCTCCTCCAGAGACACACCTCCAACCACTCTCTGCTGCACCATTAAGCGCAAGTAGCAGACAAAATTGTCCTTAGCTTGAGCTGCAATCACCTGTGTCCTGCATTGTTGTGTTAGCATGCTAGTGTTAGCGCTCTTTCGTTAGCTCGTAGCTTCATATTGCACATACACTGACACAGAATAACTGAGATCTAAAGACAGTTACTTGACATCCAAATAATCAGTGAGTATATTATTCTTCTTCTCTCTGGTCCTTGACTAAAACAGCTTTTATACACAAGGGGAGGAGCCAGCTGCCCAGTCCATGTGAACATGGCTCTGACAACAACACAGCCAGCGGGACTCGAGCTTCTCCCTCATTGTAGACAGTCATGACTCAGAGAGACATTTACACAGGATAGACTTGATTTCTGATATATTTATGTGTAAAATGTTGCACATTCTGCCTTTAATGACCTGTGTATGAAATGTGTCAGGAAAACTAGTGCAGGGAGCAGGTTTATCAACAACATGCTTATTCTTTCAGAAATACTGCATGTGATATCTTAATGTTACAATTTGCATGACCCTGATAAAGGCCAGAACCTGAAACGTGTCGGACTAATTATTAATAAAGTTGATCTTGATACTTGCTGGAGCTTTTTGACCTCTTCAAGCACCTTGGTAGTTGGTGAAGTTGTGCCAAAGAACCCTACTCAGCTTCTTCATATTTTAAATGTTACGACAGTGACAGCTCTTACTTTATTTAATAGCTGACTGAAATATTTGATCCTTAATGTTCTAATTCTCTTTTTAGGCACTGTTTAAAAAAAGGATTTACATCCAAAAAAGGGGTTTGGTCATCAAACAATAAGCATTTCAAACTTCAGAATCATTCAGGGAATAATGTATTCATTTTTCAAACAGACTAAAAATCGACAGGACTGAGGGACTGTCATTTGTGTTCAGAGAGGAGCAGAGATTAGGGAGCTACGAGGAGATTACAAAGGATTTCCTACTCTGACCCAGCCCAATAAAGATGAACACCGAGGTACAGGGATAGACAGACACAGAGATTAAAAAAAAAAAAAAAAAAAAAAAAAAAGGGACAGGAGGGTGCACGTTTTTTTCCCATTCAGAGTAGAATGACATGATGCAGATTTTCTCCCTTAAAATAATTGAACTCTGACTAGAGCTGATACTGATGTGCGTGAAAAGGGACCTGCATACGTCAGACTAACCTTGATCTCAGGCAGCTGGAGAACCTCGGGGAAGGCGTTGATGCAGTTGGAGTGGGCAGAGAGCGTGTGCATGCGCTGGCAGCTGAGGATGGTGGTAGGCACGGCTCTCAGTCTGTTGCCGCTCAGATCCAGCTCCTCCAGCTGCTCTAGTCGTGCCAGTTTACTGCAGGAGAAGGAGGAGGTACACTTAGAGCAGAGCAGTGGGCATACAAGCTCTATTTTTGGGAACCACATTCATCAAACTCATCTCTCTTGTGACCATAACCTGATTCTGAAGCGAGACATGAGATTCAAGACTGCTGAAATGTGACATATTTTAAGTAAGAACGACTCAGGCAAAGAAAGCAAAGGAATGAGAGAGAACTCAATCTTTAATGTGCCTACAAAACTACAGGGACTCACACACAGTTTGGTGATGCTGAAGCTTCAGATGTCAACCTCGGTATGTTTTAGGAGACTACATTTTTAATAATTCATCTGAAAAACCTCCAAGAGCCTTTACCGTACACATCAGCTTCCTGTTTTTAATGTTTTTTTTCCTTCAATCCAGCATATTTTTAAGTATCATAGCTTATAAATAAAAGTCTGTCCTGATTATAAATGTAATTGTGAAGAAAGGCAGGCTACATTGAAAGTCTGAGGCACTCTGGTGCAGTATAAAAATCCTTTATTAACAAGGACAGGCCTGTTCTGAGCAGGATCTTTACACTGCATCAGAGTGCCTCACTTTTTAGTTTAGATCGCCTTTTCTTCACAATGAACGTTGTTTGTAATCAGGACAGTCGTTTACTTATAAGCTATGTGACTTCTGTCCACTGTTCTTGAAGAGCACCTGATTCCTCTACATTTTTTTTTACCAGGTGCAGCACTCGCTACAACCTTTTTTCTACATTTCAAAGTATACTGAAAATAGTACAGATAGACATCCAAGAGGTCCAATGACTTAAAGGCAGCATATGTTTTGGAATTTCTCCATTTTCAGCCAGCTGTACTTTGATAAGATAAGAGTCTCAGCAGATTTAACCTGGCTCTCTTTAAAGCCACTAGACTCCATTGTTGGAGTAACTTAAAAATAAATAAATAATAAAGGCACGGTTGGACCAGGGACTCCCGCGTTAAACTGTAAAATAACTATTTTTGTCAATGAAGTCTGGTGGAGAGAGAGATTGTAACAGCTGTTCCTGGTTTGCTTTACTCTCGTCTCTCTGCAGGGATCCGTTCTGTAATGTTTTCAGACACTCAGACTAACAATCTGAGCCTGTCAAAAAAACAAGAACACACACAACGGATGTTATCTGACGAACCGCGTTCACCCATAGGCATCTTCATACAGCTGTTATTTAGTGAGAAATGGGAGCATTTACACTTTTTAGTACCATAACTCAATAAGACCCCATTTTTGTAGAAATAGGGTCCAGGTTTAGGAATACCATAATGCATACTTCATTTCAAAACACTGATGTCTTACTTTGTAAGCTCATTAAAGTGTAGAACTGTATGTTACCTGGCAGTGAAGGTCTGAAGCTGGTTGTAGGAGAGGTGGAGCACCCTGAGGTGTCCGTGTCCGGTCAGCAGAGGGACACATTTGTCCGTCAGGCAGTTGTTGGTTACATAGAGCTCCTCCAGGCTGCTGGAGCTGTCCTCTGACAGACTGGCTGCAGGGAGGTTCTCCAGCTTATTGGCCGACACATTTAGGTACCGCAGGCTGCAGGAAACCCCAACAGAGGATACAAACTTAGTCTTTGAAATAAGTAAGAGAAAATAACTCTGACAGAAAAGAAGGGAAGAAAGAACAAAATTTGGAGAGAAAGGAAAGGATGGATGTTGTGTTTTTGTGTGCACCTCTGTGCTTTGATGAAAAGGTTGTGTGGGAGTTCGGTCAGTTGGTTGTGTTGGAGGTCCAGGACTTCGAGCTGAGATCTCTCCATCCTCTCAGCCAGCCGACACACTTCGTTCCAGCCTGACAGGAGTTTTCTGAGGCTCCCGCTGGACAGCAGCCTGAAACACACAAACACCAGAGCCAGCTCAGTCTCCGTCTGTGTTTACTGTAACTCTGTTTTACCCTGATGAGAACACAGAGCAGTACTTTGTGTACACTTATATTACAGCGACGTCATTTTCCACAGAGGTTCAACAGGTCCACCTTGTGTTGAATAAACTCTAAAGCCATGACTGCTAAGAACTAGATGACCTCACAAATCTAACTGGATGTTCGGACACAGTGCATGTTTTCATCATTGCTGTAAAAATCTGTATCAGTGCATGAGTGTGGGCGTGTTGCTAAAGGTACCCATGAAAGCTTATGCAATATGAATAATAATACATCTGAGTTGATACAGTTATCAGCACTTTGATCCTCCTGTGTACCTGTGCACTGTGTTTGCAGAGAACTATAAACAACAGACATTCAAATATGAAACCTCCAGAAACTATGTGAGAGTAATAACCTTCACAATGATTTCTAATAAACTTTTATTCAACCTGTCTTCTTTTTTCATCTGTCCTATTTTCACGGACTATCAATAACTAAGGAACTCTGATTTGGAACAACTGCTTGGTTTATTGTGTTTTTCAGATATTTTCCCCTCTTTTTCTCAGTTAACTATTGGGACTGCTGTGGATTGTAAACAAAACAATGAGGAGCATCTGATTGCCGGCTTTGTGTCTGCATGTTATTGCATAGTTTAGTTTGTATTTTCTGCCAGATCGATAGGATTTCAGCGACAGTCCTCCTGAAATACTCTAGAACTTTGCAGGAGTGCCTAAGTGGATACAGCTATAGCTTGTTGATGTCACTCAGTAGCTCAGGATCATGGTGGTTGCTGTTCCCATGATAAACAACAACCACTGCCGGTGGACATGGTAATGTCATTTTTTAAATTCCTGTTAGTTTAGTAACATTGATTCAAAATAGTGATGATTTCTCTACTCATCATGGCTAATGAAAACTGTTCACTGACATCCTTCCTCACTCTCTGACATGGTATCTGAAGTTTCCCTGGCAAAGTGTTTAATTAAAAAAAAAAAAAAAAACCTTTATCTTGAATAAATCTGTTTTTCTTTGGGTTTGAGCAATAACTGTTGATACATAAAAGAACACAAAAATACCAACCTCATACAGAACACTAGCTGTATCATTTTCACAGATTGTTGGTGAAATGTTTCTATGCAGCAGGTGTTTGTCTGTGTTATGCTTACTGAACAGGGAGATCTGTGACAGAATTATGGTTGATGTCCAACACTTCCAGTCTGCTGCTCTCACACACCCAGTCAGGGACACTTCCCAGCTTGTTCCTTCAGTAAAGGAAAGACAGTCATGTTAGACCAGGCACATTTCCTTCTTTTCCAAACAATAAGCAGGAGAGGTGAGTATTCATACCAGGACAAATCCAGAACAGTCAGATTCTCCGGCACTGGCTGCGCCTCCAACACCGTCAGCTCTGCAAACACATCATACAAGAGTCTGTTATCGCCTTTGGCGCTTCAGATATTATCGGTTTAACTTGTATTATAAGTGTCTGTACCGTTGTGTGCAGCATGTAGGCTCTTGAGGGCGTGGCCGCTGACTCTGAGGAGAGAGATGTTGTTTCTGTCACAGCGGAGGAGCTCCAGCCTGCAGAGAGACCGGACATCCAGCTCCTGCAGACCGGTGTCCCTCAGGTCCAGATGCACGATGTGGACCAGCTGCTCCGAGTCTCCCACTGTCAGCTTTTGAAGCCGATTCAGCCTGAACAAAAAGAAACATGCTCATTAGGTCAGGGGTTAGAAAGAGGATGAAATAGCTTATGATTAGAGTTTAAATAGAAGTGAAAATATCTAGCAGTGGACGTAAAGGGCACACCAGCGGGGAAATATGGAGCACAGTGAAGCTGCATCATCTTAAAAAAGTAAGAATTTTAGATGATCTTTGTTCCAGTATTGTGTCTAAAATATGTGGTAGACCCTTGTGGTTACATTTACCTGAGATCTATGTGACGAGCAGGCAGCCACTGCAGTCCGGCTACATCCAGGACAGAGAGCTGGTTTCCTGCCAGACAGAGTCTCTCCATGCTTTTAAGCTTCTCCAGGACGGGGGGGACGCAGTAGAAACAGTTGAAGGACAAGCCGAGGTAGGTCAGGCCATCCAGAGAGCCCAGCTCGACGGGCAGAGAACTCAGAAAGTTCCCGTCCAGGAGGAGAGTCTGCAGGCTGATACAACAACACATGGAGGGAATTTAATCTCAGACAGAATCCGGAATTATATTTAAAATATTTTTCAAATATCCAACATTCGAGTTGAACAGACATTCCTGAAGTACCACAGCTTAGTTTAACCATTGAAATTTTTATTTTCAAAAACAGTTTTCATACATACGACTATATGCAAGAGCTAGTGTGCTGGCACACTCGTGCTGGTGGATACAATAGAGCACAGCGCTTGTCCCCAAACTCCCTTTCATGCAGAGGCAGCAGCATGACTCTGCACTCTTATCACCTGAACAAACCATCTGCACTGTCAGGAGCAGAGTCTGGTGCACAGCCAGTTGTCCACTTAATACAGAGATAAATTAATCTGCACTGATGGAACCACAATGACAACAAGTGCAAGAGGTCACAGAGGAGACATTCTTCTCCCAGGCAGATACCAGGTGAATTAAAATCACTGCTATCATTAATGTCTGCAGCCCTGAGAGGTAGGTGCCTCTCTTATTTTCTGGCAGACCACTTACTTGTGCATGGATCCGACGTCTGCGGGGAGAGACGAGAGTCGGTTTCCAGACAGGTTAAGCTCCGTTAGCGAGGAGATGTCGCACAAGGCCAGAGGAAACTCTGACAGGGTGTTATTTGACAGACTGAGGCTTCTCAGTTTACAAAACCTAGAGAGAGGAAGAAACAGGGAAACATCCGGGGGGGAGAGAGAGAGGGGAAAAAGGCAGACAACAGGGACAAAGATATTAATCTTTCAGACACATATCCAGTCAGACTATTCCGATCAATTGAACTGAGGCTTCACTTCCTGGCTGTATGCCTCATTATTAGTCAAGAAGGAATTTCAATTCATCAGCGTTTCCCATAGAATGACAGTGTAACTATGGCTGAATGGGGATTATATTAAACATGTTATAAAGTATAAATAACTACAAAGACGTGCAGCCACATGGCACAAAACCCAACACAGCTACTCTGCCGAGCATGTGATTGTGATAAGATCAAATCGAGATCAAGATCAGTAAAGTTAAAGTGAGTAAAAAGTGAGAGTACCCTTCATCAAGGGATGGCACTCTTTGTTGATTTAACTAAGGCATTTGATTGTGTGAATCATGCCCTACTCCTGCAAAGGCTGTGTAATATTGGTTTCAGTGAAAATGCATGTAATTGGTTCAGGAATTATCTCTGATAGACAACAATCTGTAAAACTAGGACGCTACTGTTCCGATCTTTTAACAGTAACAAAAGATGTTCCATGAGGTTCAATTTTAGGCCCGGTTTTATTTACTATGTACATAAACAATATTGTCTCATCTCTATCAAACTGTGATGCCCATCTTTATGCTGATGATACAGTTCTATATTGTGCGGCTGACTCGGTACATCTTGCAGCCACAAATTTGCAGCAGTCTTTTAATGCACTGCAGGATACCCTAAATGACCTGCGATTAGTCCTCAATGCTGACAAAACTAAATGTATACTTTTCTCGAGAGCTACAGAAACTAACGAAAACGATATCAAGATAGTTGCCAGAAATGGGCTATTGATTGAGAGAGTCACAGAATATAAATATTTGGGCATGTGGATTGATGAAAGACTGACATTTAACTTCAACATAATAATCTATATAGGAAGACTCAGGCAAAAAATTGGTTATTTCTACAGAAATAAAATTGTTTTTCCAATGTTCTGTAGGAAGAGGGTTGTGGAGTCTGTTTTAATGTCAGTCTTGGACTATGGTGATATTATTTATAGGCATGCACCTGGCACAACGCTTAAACGTCTCGACTCTGTCTACCACTCTGTATTAAGATTTATTACAGGTGACCCCTATGATACACATCATTGTATCTTGTACAACAAGGTTGGATGGTCATCTCTAACAGAATGTCATGATATGCACTGGCATCTTTTTATTTATAAAGCTCTCACAGAAAAATTACCCTCATACCTGACAGAACTTATCCATCTTTCGACTGGGCATTACCAGACACGTTCCTCAAGGCGATTACTGTTGAATGTTCCTTGAGTCAGATCGGAACTGGGAAAATCTGCTTTTTCTTATTCATCACCGGACTCTTGGAACAACATAAAGCATCTTCTTGAGGGAAATTAACTTTTACCTTTTGGGCATTTTAGAAACCTGATTTTAAGCCTCCCAACCTCTGTTTGTAACTGTTTTCCATAAGTGTGTTTATTTATTTCAGTTTTGGACTCGCTTAATTATCGTAGTACATTTGAGACTTTTGTAGACTGATTTTAGCAGTCTTGTATTATCTGTCCCCTGTTTTTCTTTTTGATTTAATGTCTGTTTTCCAATTATTTTTGTCATGACTCGATGTCATTGTAAATGAGGGTTGCCCCTCAATGATCTTTTGAGTATTAATAAAGGTTGAATAAATCAACAGCAGAATGAACAGGTTGGTGAGATGTCCATTCATCAATCACAGAAGGCGTTCATATTGGACCTATAACAAACCACATCTTCTAACAGTCCCTGGATGTTGCCGAATAGCGATCACCGTGACCTTTACATTTTAACCACCAAATCCAATCAGTCCATCCTGGAGTCCAAGTTACAGTTTGTTCAAAATCTAAAGATTTTTCTTGCAAGCGTTTGTGAAACACTACACAAGATTGCGGGGGAGAGTAAACTTATTACCTTTTGAGTAAGAAATGCTTTTTGATAAATACCAGTAAGCGTCAACCTTGACCAGCATAATCAAGTAATTTCTTCCAGTAATCCCAGCGGATCTTTGTGCAAAGTTTAAAACTATTGCCTCCAGACTTTCCTGAGACATCACGTTGATAAGAACGGGCTGGAAGATGTACTGACAGAGGAATGTATGTATATGGATAATATTAAAATTCAACAACAAGGTCTGAAGGACACATGGCCAGAAAACTTTGAGTACACATGCTATTTAAAGCTAAATGTTTACACAACTAAATGTTTTACAGTAACAAAAGAGCATGTGGACCAGGTATGAGCTTGTGTGTGTGTTTTTCTTTTGTTGTGTGTTTGTGTGTGTGTATGTGTGTGCCCTGCCTTGGCTTTTCCTAACGTAATCCAGTTTACTGAGGGTTCAGCGTGAAAGGCCGAGCCGGACCAGCGTCCTTCCGAAGGAAAGTCACAGGGACAAGGAGGGGAAAACACATTCCTCAAAGCACCAGCAGGGAAGTGAGTGTTTACAGAGGAACAATGGCTGTGTATGGAATTGTATGAATGAGTTTATTCCATCAAGTTATAGTTGGACTGTAACATCATGTTCTCTGGACATGAAGCGGTGTCGAAGGAGCCAACATGGAGAGGGACAATTTTGTTATGAATTTTACATACTTTAGAGAGACATGCTTCTTACACACATAGGCCCGACGCACACACATGCACAAACAGGACCTGTGGACATGCTTTAGTGGAGAGATGTCAGAGTGGGGCTGCTACGCACTACTACAAAGGGAGCGCAGTTGGGGGTTCTGTGCCTTGCTCAAGGGCACCTCTCCAGCTACCAGACCAACTTCCATATTTTGGTCCACATTGGGACTTGAACCAGTGACCCTCCGGTTCCCAACCCAAGTCCCTACGGACTGAGATACCGCCACCCCAAATATTGATGTAAGGTAAAGGTTTTTGAGTCTAATCATGATGTCTTCTCCAAACTGTTCCCAATGTGATGACATCAACAAAGGGGGGAAGTGAAAGGTGAGAAGTTTCTGGATTCAAACTGAAGAAGGTCTATCTAATACATTTGGTTTGAAGATTAACTGCTCCCCACAATTTATTTTGTTGAATGATGATCCAGGGCAGAAACTCATTCTCACTCAAAGACTGCTGTGGTTATTGGCATGCATTGGCACTAAAAACAGTTGACGGTCAGGTGGCAGCCACATCATATTCTTTGTATACAGTACACCAGTGGAGCCGTATCGTAGCTGTTTTCAAAAGGTGTAAGGCCCGCCTTAGCTCTAGCTATTTGCCTGTTGTTAGGTTGACTGAAAGTTTGATAAGAGTTTCCAATATGGCAACTGCCTTGAATAAGCTTCCAAAACAGCCCTTCAGAAACCAACGGGTCACTTGGTCCATGTTTATACAGTCTGAGTCTATGGTCTTAACAAGAATTTAAGTTGTATGAAAGTCTATGCAATAAGTCTGATAGCAGGAAAATCAGATGAGCACATCACCCTACTCTAAGTTTATTTATAACCTCAGTTAACATTAAACTGAGACTGGTTAAGAGTCTTTATTAGTTTGCTTAGTTTGTTTGTATGATCCTGGGACAATATCGGTTTATTACTGATTTCTGGTTTATAATCCAGTTGATGACAATTTAGGGTAGGCTTTAGGGCGAGGCTACCTGATTTCTGACAAGTCGCTACAAGTCACAGCAGCCTATGAACAAAGATATTTACGCAATTGTGTGTTTCAGACCGGTTGTGTATGGTACATGAAATGGCCTTGTTGCTCCTTGTTATACAGCCTTTGGGAAAAAGTGCACTAGTTCTACTTTCCAAAAACTTAGAGGAAGTGCTGATAACCTAGCAGTTATGTCATAAGCCTCGTGCACAGAAGCCATAGTCCTTGTCGCAGTGGCCTTGGGTTTAAATTTGACCTCAGCCCTTTCCTGCATGTCATCCCCTACTCTCTTATCCCAGCATTTCCTGTCTCTCTTCAGTTCTCCTATCCAATAGAAGACAAAAAGGAACTAAAAATGCAAAAAAACACCCTAAGGTACCTACATCTAAGATGTGCACTTTACACTTAAATAGCCTTTACAACTTTCTATATATATATTGCCTTGCAGTCCTTACATTTCACCACAAATCTGTATGAGCATGTGACAAATAAAAACCTTTCTATCTTAACTCTGATGAATTCCTTCATACTCTCAGTGGCACTCAGTGAATTCCTCCTTACGCAGGAAGTTGTCATTCAAACAACAGCATGGCATGTTACTACAAGTCATAAAATGGGCCTGTGCTCTCGGAGTGGTAAGAAGATACATTATTAGGGAAGCTGCCTTAAATACGCTTCACACACAAGCTTAAAGTTAAAGGTCAGTGCACATTTTTTTAACAGATGGCCACCCTTATGACGCTGGAAATGAGAATCATGTCGAAAAATTGCCAGCCTTATGTTTGTGTGATTGAAGCAATGTGTCGTATGAGATGTTACCCTTGTAGTAAACATTATGATGGGGCAAATGGAAGTGACTGACACACAATGACATTGCTACATAAGGCTTTGACGTCAGCAAACAATTGGACAAGTTGATCTGGGTAACAAGAACAAACATTTCTGTCCCAGAAGTCGGGCAGCAGCATGTCAAATCTGTCATCACCAGTGTAGCTCTCTTTTAATCATCAAAACCACGGGGCTGTCCACACACACGCCATCTGCAATTTGATCTAAGCTGCTTCCTCTTTACACCATATGGTAGCTCCCCAAGACAGTAAAAACTACCGAGGGGGATGTTCCACATCCAAAATAGAGAGGATAACAAAGAGAAAAATAGAGCCTCTCATCCGTCAGCTCCTCATGTGGCCTTGTTTAAACACACTGGATGGCAGTACACTCTGCGTGATTGTAGTTGGTGCAGGAACTCACCTGGTGAGTGCTGGAACACCTTTGTGCAGGGAGATGAAGTTGTTTTTGAGATTGAGGTGTGTGAGGTCCTGGCTGTAGAAGAGCTGAGTGGGCAGCTCCTCCAGGCTGCAGAACGACAGGTCGACTGAGTTCACCCTCTGGGATGCAATCTGAGAAGGAGAGAGGGGGCGGGCAGGACATCACAGTGAGCAGTCAAAAAGGCAGTAAAGATGTGTTAAAGTAGTAGTTGGAGAAGCAAAGAGAGTTAATGTGGACACACATAGAACCCTTTAAATACCTTTGAGGCGGTCCGGTGCCAGCGCAGGTGCTCTGTGTACGAGTCGTAGCTGATGTAGTAGGTCTGACTCTGAGGACCAGCCGAGCTGAGAGCCAGACAGTGGCTGTGTCTCTTTACTTCCTCCACCTGCACCAAAGAACATCTTTAGTCTTAAACATATATCAGGCCTACTCATTGGCTAAGGCTTCAAAAAGATGTCATCCGTCACCTGTAACCTTTGAGTGTGTCATAAAGCATGTATTTTTTTTAAAGGTAGGCGCATGGGTGAAATTCCAGGATTGCTCGATTTATGCTGAGTGTTCACAATATAACCAATATTGTGGGATTGCAAAGGAGGCTTAAAGAAGCCGTGAACTTCACTTCAAATCAGAAATGTTTTGCACCAAAAGTGGAAACCATGAGGAGGAATACTAAGCCGGGAATACCTTTCCTCCGATGAGAGGGAGGATGTGCATCTTGCCGGTGTGGGCGTGTTTCACCGATGAGACAATGAGGCAGGTTCCACTCAGAGTGACCTGACGCTTCGACCACCGGTTCACCGGCAGCGCCAGCTTCCCTTTCCGCACGTTGAACACCCCAGAGAGCTGCACACGCTCAGAACCGCCCACACTCCGAGGCTTACCTAGAGAGAAATAAAAGGAGCGTGTTATGTGAGCCAGCTGATGATCATTATGCACACTGGCTTTATTTTTCATTATGGCGCATGTTTTTTTTGCACAATGGAGCAAGTTATTTTTAGCTGTCTGGGACTTTTTTTGAATCAGCTCTTCCATGCTGGGTTTTTCTCTTTCAGACAGTGAGAGTGACAGAGAGCGGTGCAGTTATATAAGTGAATTGAAGCTAATAACCCGTGGGCTCAGAGACTGAGCAGTCACTCAGCTGTGATTTGTTACATTAACCCCTTGCTAACACAAAAAGCAGCCATGGTTCAGTTACAGCCACAGGGCAGAGTAGAGGAAGGGCCAGATACAGCAGAGGTGGAGTTCCCCTGCATAACACTGTGTGTTTCAACCCTGATTAATCAGCTTTAACCTGAGGTTTATATCATTATTCCCTCAATAAAACTGTATTTACCAGTCTGTGTGTTTTGTTGCCTGCTCTAGGGAGAAAACACACACACACACACACGCACACGCACACGCACACGCACACGCACACGCACACGCACACGCACACACACCCACACCACAGACCCAAGAGCGCGGCACACAGATGAAGAGTCTGAGCCACAGAGAGGCCTGAAATCAGATTAGCTTGTTATGTAATGTCTTTAAACACCAGCACCTTGATCCTCTCTGCCGCCTCCTTCAGTGACTCACACACAACTTCACTTAGACATTACATTTCACTGGGACTAAGGTGCTCCTGAACAAAGCTGGATACTGAAGCTCAACAGGTGTCTGAACGATTTTAGTTTGAACTAAAATCTGTCTGCAGCACTGAATCTTTAGTTATTTAGAAAAAAAGCTTGCTTGAATGCAAATTTAAAGTCTTTGAAAGCTTTCATTTGTTCAAATAGTTCCACATTTAAAAAAAAAAAAAAAAAAAAAAAACTATTGGCGCTATAAGTTTCCTTTAAGCACAGCTGCCATTTAGCTGTCTGTGTGAGTTTATGATTCTTCCATTTTAAGAGGAAGAATTTCGGGTAAAAAAAAAAATACAGACGCTGTATCCAAATATCAAAATTTGGTGTTTGGCATTTGGATCTTTTTTTCAGTTCTGGGCATCACTAAATTCTTGTGTCAGCCTAAATGAGTCTTATGTTTTACCTGTAATGTGTGCAAAGATCATCAGTGGGTTACTATAGCTGTTTTCACATAGGCACTCGTGAAAATTAGAATTTCAGGAGGACTGCCCCTAAAATCCTCCTGATCCGGTTGTTCACACATGCACCTTACAGCAGGAGACTATCCATGTTGGACGGGAGAGGTTGGAGAGAGCAATAAACAATGGAAGTAGCGGACGAAGCAACGGAGTCCACTATACAATCCCATTATCAAAATATTTGCCTTCATATCAATGCTATGTGTAGTTCAACAGAATCACAATATCAACAAAAGAGTGGAGAAGAACATACAGGAGAACAGTCAATATGCAGCAGTTTAATTTTGTGCAGAGATCGTAGCGGTTACATGCAGGCAGTCTATGGTCGTGCACCGATCGCAAGGAATTAACGTCACCACCCCCTCCCACTCGCTTGAGGTGAGTTCTCCTGATAATATCCTGCTGAGTTCTCACGTCAACTCAATCTGACTTTCTTCTGGTGCTGGTTGGAAATTAGAATTGGATGTCTTGGGTTGTAAAAAAAAAAATTTGTGAAATCTTTGTTACCTGGTTTAATAAGCAGGTCAGTTTGTTTTGGAGAGAAGGAGAACTTCACGGATAAATTGGCTCATAAAACGTGGTTTACAAAAAACAGAATGAATCCCAAAAACAAGCTGAGCTAATACGAGAGGCCACTCAGTTTGTGCAGAAGTTTATAGCCTGTCACAAAGCTGCTCCTGCATTGCTCTGTGTACAATAATGCAGCTAAAGAATGTGCAGCGAATGATTCAAAAGCATGCACTTTCTGAGGGATGCTAACGTCACTCAACTAAAGGTTTTCAAGAAATGTGACCAAAATTCAGGTTCTGATTCTTCAGTAGTGTCAAAAAAAAGTCTACTAAAGTCATGCAGAATTGAAGGAAGTCCTTTAACATAACATAAACCCTGGTTTAACCCTTTTTTTTTTTACTCATAAAAAGAGAAAAATCTTCAAAGGAAGACATCTCAATACAGTTTCCTGAACATATATTCATGAGCGCACTTTGGGTGACTGCCATTCATAATTTCAGAGCATTTCTGTGGCTGAAAAGTCTTCCCACATAACGTTTCCTCTCTAAAGTTTTGTACTCTCCGTTCAAACAGGAACAAGGAGTCCTCAGAGTGCAGACACTGATGATGCAACTAAACACAAATATAGATATGACTGGAGCCACTGAAGGGGAACAATTCATGCTTAACTTAGAGCTTGTGGTTATCCGCACGATCATGTGTCATCATGATCTAAACTAAGTCAATACGTGAAGTTTTTACATGTGACGGAAACTTATCGTACGAGTGACGTTTTCAAACACACTCACATTTAAACTGAACAACAATGTGGAATGTGTGCATTGTGAAGGTCTACCCTTCCCTGGGCGTTGCAGGCGAGATCTAGCACGTTAATATATACACGACACATACATGCCCTTTCCTTCCGTCTGTTTCTCTGAATGGGACACATCCTGTCTCTCATCAAGCGACCACTAGCCATTTCCTGTTCGTGCAATGACTTTACTTTTCTGGTATCTTGAAGCCCCATGTGCACAGACTCGCTGACATCCAGTTTTCCATCTCTCTTTTATTAGTTGCTTCAGGCTGTATTTTGGATTTCAGCTAAATCTAAGGCAGCAATAATACGCTTGGCAAAATAACACAGCCTGCAGATATTTATGCAGGTATCCATGAAGCAATTTATGCAAGTATTTAGTGATTGTTGGCAACGGGTATCAGATGCATTTCATGACCGAGTATTTAACCTTGTGAGTGACCTCTGGGTACTGCGGTTCTGCGTCTGTCTCGAGCAGATCCAAAACACTGAGGAGGTGAAATCTGAGTTCCACTAAGGTCACTTTCTCTTACTGTCAGCACAGAGAGAGCGATAGATAGAGAGAGAGAGAGAGAGAGAGAGAGAGAGAGAGAGAGAGAGAGAGAGAGAGAGAGAGAGAGTGTGTGTTAGTGTGTGTGTGTGTGTGAGAGTAAAAAGACAAAGGAGAACACTTGGCCATGTAGGGAAGAAATAAAAGGTTTTCCTTTGTCAGGTGAATAATTCCTTCTGTGATGAGTTGTAAGTTAACTTACACACAAGTAGGCTTGGCCAACTAACGCTAATATTAGCTTAGCTTCTTTTTCTCTTGATTTGCTGATGTCCAAGCGTCAATCTTTAATCTTTCAAAAAATAAGACTTAATGCGTTCCGGTAAGTGACACTGATATGACTGCATTTTTGGTGACATCAGCCAAGCCCTGTGTCCGAGACTAAATATCCAACCAGATCTAAGTTTCTGGAATTTCTGTGTGAGAAGAATGTTACTGACACCCAGTGATCATCAAGTGATGTTCAACACTTGGCACTTGCAGCTGTGGGAAGCTTGCAGCCAGTGAGGCCCCTCAATGTATCCCTATGACCCTATCTCATGTTGCTGCCAGACCCTATCATAAAAACTAATCGGGGGGGGGGGGAATTCTTCTGATCATGAATTTCTAAAGTCATATCATAACTTCATCACATCAAGTCCTCTTGATAATTGTCCCTGTCATGCCAGCAGTACTTCCACTCTCCTGTCACACCAGCCTCTTGCGGCTTGTTTCATGGTCATGTGTGTTTGTCGGCAGTAGCTGGAAGGGCCCCTGCCTTCAGCGGCCGAACTCTAAATCACCCTTTGTTTATCTGTTATGTCACTGTCGGAGCCAAGAGTGGAAGGGATAGGGACTGGGAGTGGGGGAATTTTTACTGAATGCTCTGTGTAACATTTCAGAGTAGAGGATACGTATGAAGTGTCTCTCTATGAATGGAATGTGGAGTAAAAGTATGTTTTAAACTTCATTTTTGGTTGGAACTAAAGAAGAGCTGCAACAATAAATGGAATTGTTGTCAGCTATAAAAATAATTGTTAACTATTTTGAAAATCTATAAGTTCTTTTTTAAGAAAAAGAAGTCATAATTCTGTGATTTTAGCTGGTTTCTGGTTTCTTTACTCCTCTATGACAGTACAGTTAAGTCACTGAGGTTGTAGACAAAAAGAAGACATTTCATTAAAACATCAGAGGTTTTGGGATACGCTCATCAATCATTTTATACATTTACTAATATTCAATTGACCAAACATCTTAAAGACTGTCAACCAAAGTAATACACAGAATAATCAACAACACAAATGCATGAAGGATTCAGATAAGTAATGCAAATAACTTAGTAACAGCCGTATAACAGAGAGACCCTAAACCAGAGGTAAATCAAAAAATATATATACGTTTTAGTAAAGCTGTTTTCTGTTTATTCCTCTGTTATCACACCAGGACTATTTATCCCAGCCGCCTTTGAAGATGGTGTTAAAAACAAGGTCAATAACAATATCCAGTTGTGTTAATCCCATAAGAGATCATGGCTGGTTATCCACCCTCTTACCCTGCATGTCAGCCACACAGGATATTTATCAATAACAACAACAACAACAAGAGCAGAGGAAGAAAAAACAGAATCCATCGTTTTGTGGGAGCGGTGTGGCGAAAGATCACACCTGTTACCTCCAGATGTGTCTCCCTACAGGCCTGCACACAGAGGGTGTGGGTGTGTTTACAGGCCGAGTATTGTCCCACCAGGACAACTGAACACGCTCGTTTAACAGTCCGACTGAACAAACACAATGACAGCACTCACGGTACACTGAGAATGGATGAACAATGAGTGAGTAAAACTAAAGAGGCATGAGGTAACTAGCAGCTGGTGGCTCTCTGAAAGCTAAGGTGAGGTTCAACTGGGGTGGGCAAATGAGTAAGCAGTTTTATCCATCTGAGGAGTAAAGATATCCAAAGTCGAACACTTTTTCTATCGATCCCCTATCAAATTGTTTCATCTCTCTGCGTTCCATAGTCATTGTGTTGTGAAATCTACACTCAAAAGGGTCTAATTTCAATCACTGCAGCTCAAAACTTCAATGTACTATACATCCGCCCCAACATCAGCAAGTTGTGAATGTTTCCCTCTGAAATAAATATCTACTTTAAACATTCCCATTTTGGATTGGCTCTGAAATAAATTCTCATTCACCTGCAAAAAAATGATTTAATGAATATATGTTTTAACAATTTAAACACTCACCAAAGTAGAAGCGTATGAGGCAGCCGATTTCAGGATTCATCCCCTCCGCCTGCACCCTCCATTGGTCTTCAAACCCCAGGTTAGTGAGGTACTCGTTTAATATCTGCAGAGGCCTCTCATCATCCCCCAGCCGCCTCACTGCTCCACCGTGCAGCTGGACGTAGAGAGCCGGGGTAGGACTGGTATTGATGGGCTCGGGCCATCCTCTGCTCACCCCAGGGATCTCCGGGTCAGGCTGGACAGATGCTTGGCTGGTCAGGGGCCGAGTCTGAGAGCTGCTGGCGCATTTAGAGGGAGGTTTGATTAATTTAGGGGTGTCGTTGCAATCACCAGCTCCTGCAGCTTCGGTGTCATCCAGTGTAGTTGGGACTTGACTGGAAGCACTGCTGGGGTCTGTGGAGGACAGGTCTGGTTGCTTGTCTGCAGCAGAGTTGTCAGCTGAATGTGATGGAGAAGAGGTGAGCTCCACCTCATCTGAGGAGCTCTCAAACGGGTCAGGTCCCTCTGTGGCACTGTCACAGTTTGGGCTCAATGCGGAGGAGTCTGTACCCTGACCCAGCCCTTCACTGAGCGAGTCCCGGAGCTCTGTGCTTCTGGGGCCACCTGGGCTGAAGTCCTCGCAGGTGCTGCTCTCCATGTCTGAACCAGAGTAGACTCCATAGCAATCTGCCACACTCAGGCTCAAATCCATCTCAATGTCATTCAGGTAGATTTCAGATGAAGAGTTACTGGCGGTTTTATCATCCAACAAGTTAGAGGACAGTTTAGCATCAGGAAAATACTGCTTTGGGTCATCATTCTCGTCAGATTTGGAGGTTTTGATATCCACGCTGTCACTGAGACTTTCACTCTCATCCGTCTGTCCATTACTATCTTTACAATTATCGTTTAAGTCCAATAAAGCAGCAGTTTTGTAGTAAATTCTTAACACGGCCCCAGCTTTGCTCCCCTCCAGCTTACTGGCCACATCTCGAGCAGTGGTGTCCACCGTGCACAGCACCGGCCGCGGGTAAGAGGGCGTGAGCCAGTCGTGTACATGAATGCAGCCCCGCCGCAGGTCCGATCTCACCCATGTCTTATCGGAGGCCTGAAGCTGCTTGGACTGCTTCTGCCGTAGAAAAGTCCTCCTGTCCAGGCTAAGTGTGCTCAGAGGCGAGGCTGAGGGAGCAGGGCTGGCTGCCTCTGCGGGGGACACGCCGGTTAAACTGCTGGTCGGCGGAGCCCCGAGAGAGAGATTCCTCTTGTGTCTATGCCGCCTCTTGCTCAGCAAAGAGTTGACAGAAGTGTTGCTGTTGACGGATGTCAGGCTGTAAATGTTGGCTGTCTTCACGGAGGGCATGTTCATATTTTTGGCCGCCCCGCCGATAGCGTTGGCAACTTGGTTTTGATAGATCCCGTTCCTGATAGCAATCTGGAGCAGGGAGGTGGCTGCCAGTCCCTTCCCGAAGAGTTTCGCCTCGGCTCCCCCGCCGTCATCCTCCCCGATTGAGGGTCTTTTCCCCGCAGACTGAGGCGCTAATCCTCCTGGCTTCATACACACACTGTCACCGCCGGAATCAAGTGGCGTTGATGAAGTTGAAACCCCCCCAGATCCGTTTTCCTTCACACTTTCCATCCTGTTAGCTCGCTATTTAGTTAGCAAAAACAGCCTGCAGGTGAACGCTAGCCTGCGCTAGCTCGTTTAGCTCGCTCTAGTTACAGGCTGGTTTCTCGTCAGCGGCTCCACGTAAGCTCAGCATTCTCAATGTACTGTGTGTTTCGTCCGAAGAGTTATCCCGCTACATTATCCCGTTTCGTAATATGCCCATTAGCTCTCTTACGTGAGCTAACCGGCTGGTTGACATGAGAAAATGCTCTTTTAGTTGGTCGCCATGGAAGCTAGCGCGAGTAGGCGCGACCGCTGCCAGTGTAGACAGATGAGAGTGACGGTCAGCAGTACACGGTGGCCAGGGCGGGGTCTCATTGGATATGAATTATGACGCCTTCAAGCACTACCAAAAGCTCGGAACTTAAAACACACATTGTAATTGTGAAGTAAGAGTTTCATCAGCCTGATTTGGGAAGTAAGAGAGATGGCGATGAACTCTTTATAATCATACGTATAGATAAGTGAGTGTTTGAGAGTTTTCTTTGTAGACAAAATAGGTCGATTTTAAATCAGTTGTGATCAGTGGGTCTGTAGATTGGATACAACCTGTTTTATCTGCTGACTGTAAAACATCTGAATGGATCACGTCAAACGAGATGTTTTGACTATTTTGTGACTCCCAAATCTAAGAGACAGTACAAATATAATTACGGAAGGAAGAGGAATTTCTATTTATATGTTATATGTTACTGAAAAAAGTAAGGCAACAGTTTCGTTTATTATAATTTTACCATCATTTTCTTGGCTGTTGCAATTCCCCTTTGTTTCTTACTCGCTTTATATTATTTTTTCTGTTAGTATTTATTGTTATGCGCCATAAAACAGAGACAATTTTCTTGAGTTCGTTTAAAAAAACATGATACTGAATGCGCGGTAACTTTCTTTTTTTCACGACCACAGAAGCCTCGAAGTACGAGCTTAAATGAGTCAGTGAATGCAACATAAACTGCAGTTACACTTTGTTTACTTTGTCTTTAACGTACACACATTATGATCTTTATTTTAAACTAAAAATACATTTGATAATTTTTTGATAACATATTATCCTGTAAATGTAAACAACGAAAGTTGTCCACCAATCATTGTGCAACTTTGCTTTTTGACCGTAAGAAAGGTCATCGTAGCTGTAACTCGTCTTCTAATGCCATCTAGTGGGACTGCGGCCGTATCACTATGGAGGTAAGATATGGGATTCACATATTTACTTTCTCACTACATAGTTTATCAGTTTGTTGTTTTAATTGTTCGTAGACATATTGCTTCCACCCTTAGTATTCTGTTAACCTGGCTATATCTTCATCATCATCATAGTTACCACCAGAATAGTTACTTGGATTCAGAAACAGTCAGACACAGGCCAGACTTAGCTTTGAATTCATGTAATAGGCCTACCCTACCTGAATACTTAAAGAATTGAAAACAAATACAAAGAAAACAAATCTGATATTATATAGGCATATAAAACAGCAGAGATATGGTTTAACTGGATAGACCTATATGTTTGTATTATTTTAGAAACAGTGGGTTAAAATGGTGTATTCTCATTCTTACAATTGCCCCCGTTCATTAAATTGACTGAACAAGTTATTATTCCAAACATAGAAATGGCTTTTAAAAATTAGTGCACATAACTTATGAGGGGTGCTGATGGCCTAGTGGTTAGGTCACACCGCACACCAGCTGCAGTCCTCTAAGCGTTTGGGGTTTAGGTCCGAGCTGTGGCTCCTTTCCCGCATGTCATTCCCAAATATCTCTCTCTCTCTCTCTCTCTCTCTCTCTCTCTCTCTCTCTCTCTCTCTCCTGATTTCCTATCCATTGTCCTATCTAATAAAATGCCCCCCATCCCCGCACATAACAGATAAAAAAAAACCAAGATCAGAAGTGTATTTCAAATTATCTGTGAGTTATGGAGGACAATGTGGAAAAGTGTTACAATTCCCCCCGGTCTACCCTATAAGTTTTTCTTAGAGTTTTATACAGTACGACTATAAAGTAGCAGAAAAGGGGACTCATCGAGCTCCTCTGATGTCATCATCATCATCATCATCCTAATTTTTATTGAAAGACTCAGGAGTCCATTAGAAAACAAATAAAAACAAACAAGATAAAAACACAATGTCAAAAACAAACATACAAACAGACAAAACACCTCCACTAATAATAATGCTGTACAGCACACAGCAGCAAGTAAGTGCGGTTATGTAATAAATCATTTTTATGACTCTGTTTATTGACTCTCCTTCTTCTGTGTCATAAAACACACAAATGTTCTGTTTCTTTGATGTTTCCGTTGTTCACAGCTTTATTTCCACTTCCTCGGAGACAGAGTAGAAGCCAAAATATTTGGTCAGCCATAGACCCAACGTAGGTCAAAGAAGTACTTAAAGTTTGTGGTTATCTTACTAAGAGTCTTAGTCACTTTCATGTGCACACGAGGGAGGCCTGCTGTCACACCGCGGTCCAACAGAGGGCAAAGTGCAAGTATCATGCTCGCTCTCTTTCTCTTTCTCCCTCCCCTCTGTCAAGTCTCCACCTCATTTTCTACAACAGTCACCGCCAGACGTTCACTCATCAGGCTTCTGTTGTACTGGCTTCTTGTTACCTGCAACATCTGTAAAGGTAAGAGGCTTTTATTTTGATAAATGAATATGTTTAATACCTCTTCTTCTGCAGGGTTTACTCTGCGGTAATGTGTATCTATCCCATGACTCACAGCCAGTTCAATGTTCATTCATGTAGGACTATAATGTTTCCTTGATAGTTTACAGGCTTTATTTTTCTGGAATTTAGACTGCCACTTTTAGTAAATAAAAGAGAATGTGACGGATGGTGAATCTCGAGGGAATTAATAAGGGAAGGAGTCCCCCTGCAGATGCTCTGAGAGGGGGAGATTAGCCCACTGACAGATTAAGATGCTGAACCCCAGGAATCGTGTTTCCCCTCGGATTCAGGCCACTTCAAGAGCTGATTTAATCTTGCATTAAGTCTTAAAATCCTCTTTTTTCTCAAGACAAGTGAAAAACACAGCCAGTGGGGTTGTGGTAATCACACTTATTACCAAATGCAAATTAACTTCATGCAAAAAGCAAGTGACATGAATTTGATACTGATTAAATAGAGAGAAAAGCAATTGGACATCCTTGCAAGAAAATCAAATAACCTCACCCTGCTGGTGGACTAATTTAATGGATTTGTGGAAAAAAAAAACAGGTTCTGTAACCCAATAAGGAGTCTATGTGGAGTCCAGATGGACCATAAACAGATTGGTTTACTCTTGTATAAAACACTCTCAGGGAAAAACAGAGAGGAGAGTGAAGTATTTTCACTTGGGATAAAAAGTGAAACAAAATTGAAGTGTTGCTGTCAATTTCAGTTCTGGTATTCTGCTCAAACACTTTCAATTCAAACACCAGTATAAAGTTATATTACTGATCAGTTAAAGACTATTCCTCTCGTATTTAAGAAAATGGAGGATGTTTTTTTAATGCCAACTTCAAATTCGGAAATAGAGACTATAATTACATGTGGCTAGTTGGAGCTCAAGGCCTCCGCTAGGCAACTCTCTATAGTAACATGTGTTCATATATATGTGTGTGTGTGTGTGTGGTTAGGGAACACACTTCCGTTTGTTTTGCTTCTTCAAGCCAAGCACTGACAAATTTAGGTTGCAGTGGGCTAAAAATGTTTTTAAAAACACGACAGAAATACATAATTGGAGAGTAGTTGCTGATTAAAATTGGTTTTCCCATCCTTGTCAACGGTTTCATCGAGAACGTGTCACATTTTCTCAACCAGACGATCATGTTAAGGTGGAAAGTACATTTTTCACACGTGTACCCAAACAGTTCTGGGGCCCAGATGTGTGCCATGTGGAACACCATACATGCACATGGTAATTACTTCTTGTTAATTGCACGAGTTTGTACCAAATTAGGCTCAACTACAGGCACCTCAGTTCCTGTGAGGGCAGCGGGCAGATTCCTGAGTTCAGTCCTCGGCTCTATTCTTCTAGCTCGGTCCCAAACACTTTGATTATAATGAGTTCTCTCGATTGGTTTTTCATCCCCGACTGAAAGAAAGTATAAGATAAAAATAAGATAAGATATAACCTTTAGCTGTACTTTTATAAAACAAGAAGAGGTTTGACATAAAAGCCCCAAAATAAAAGGTGGAAAACAATGAGGTAAAAGGTTTGAGAGGTAAATTGCAGGGACGGTCTTCAACCAGTCCAGCTGCCTTTGGATCAAGCTTCAAATTTACCATGACCTGGATGACTGAGAACCTACACAGACATCTTGCTTTGCAGGGACGGACAGTTTTTCAAGTCACTTCAAAGTGTAATTTCTTTTCAATAAGCCTTTCAAGGCAGAATGTGCAGAAATCAAGTATATCTGGTGTAAATATCTCTCTGAGTCATGACAATGAGTGAGGCATGCGAGTCCCTCTGGCTGTGTTGTTGTCTACGCTGTATTTACCGTATTGTGTTTACATGGACGGGACGTCCGGCCGACTCATCTCCTTGCTTATGAAAGCTGTTTAAGAGAAGGACTAGAGAAAAGAAGAGTACCATACTGTACTCACTAGTTATTATGTCACGTAAGCGTTTGTAGATCACGGTCATTCTGTTTCAATTTACATGCAATGTGAAGATATAAGCTAACTAAAGAGCGCTAACATTAGCATGCTAACACAACAATGCAGATCGAGAGTTTAAGACTCTTTGTTGGACAGAATATTTTAAGTTTTCAATTTGGTTTTTGAGAAATTTTAACTTTAAAACATTTATGGATATTTTGAACATTTTTTAAATTTCTTTTCTTTCTTTTTTAAATCTGAAGTAACCAGGAAATTCATGAAAAATAATCAACATTTTTAGTGCTAGCCCTCACACACATTTTAAAGAATAATCTGAAAATGTTTGATGTGCTTGTTTTGAAAACCATGTAGTAAATTCTTCTTTTTTTAAGATTTATTTTCAGGCTTTTATTTGATAGGAAATTGTAAGAGTAAGAAACAGGGGAGAGAGAGAGAGTGGGGGATGACATGCAGGAAAGGAGCCACAGGTCGGACTTGAACCCGGCCGCCCACTTTAAGGACTACAGCCTCTGTGCATGGGGCACAACATAACCGCTAAGCCATCTTTGCTCCATAGTCAGTTCTTGTTGATAGCCACTAACTTGATGTTGGGATAACTTTCTCTGTTGATAAATCATGTTTTTAAAATCATTATAATGAAAAACAGAAAATGCAAACCTGTGACATCAGAGACGCTGTT